GAATCGTGCAGCATGTACATGAAAATCTACCATTACAAGAAGAAAAAGGCTTGCAGAAAAATCTTCAAAGTTCTGAAGATCGAAAAAAAAAATCTACGGAAAAAATGAGTGCATCTTGCAGGAAGAAAGTAATCGGTTAACACAAAAACTTTCCTTTTCCGATCCAAAAAAATTAATTTTGTTTTTATTGATTTTTTCTTCTGAACCTAGAACCATTTTCGTATTGGCAATAGTTCGTTTTAGCATCTTCCATGAACAGGAATATATTCTATTCTCTTATTTTCATACCTGTGCTTCAACATTGATCTAAAGTCGAGGCCGTCTTCGGCCGTGACCAGAAGCTTCACGACGGCGGTGTCAGTGCCGTTTGCGTTTTCGACCGTAAGAGTGTAGGGACCATCATCCTGAATGATCAGAGTGAAATTCGACAATGATAATAATGATTCTTTTTTTCCAATTTTAAAGAGAAGATAAATGGATTATGACTCATGGACGGACTTGCGATCGGCACTTGAGCATGGCGAGGGAGACGGTGCCGGCTTCTCCATCGGTGATGTGTTTGAAGCGGCCGCCGTTGATCACCTCGCGGTTGCCTTTGAACCATTTGAAAGTCGGGGCGGGACTACCCGTGACTTTGCATGTCAGGATCGCCGTTTCGTCTGTAAATTTCACCGAAAATGATAAGTTTTGTTTTCTGAGGAAGCTCTAAATTTGTAAGATTGCCAATTTGCAGCTTCCAAAAGTTAAGCAGACCAAAATGCAGCTCCCAAAAAGTTAAGCAGACCGAAATTGATTTCAAGGAAGCTAAAAATATCAATTTGCAGCCCTCAAAAAGTTAAGCAGACCAAAATGCAGCTCCCAAAAAGTTTAGCAGACCAAACTGCAGCTCCCAAAAAGTTAAGCAGACCAAAATTGATTTCAAGGAAGCTAAAAATACCAATTTGCAGCCCTCAAAAAGTTAAGCAGACCAAAATGCAGCTCCCAAAAAGTTGAGCAGACCAAAATGCAGCTCCCAAAAAGTTAAGCAGACCAAAATTGATTTTAAAGAAGCTAAGAATACCAAAATGCAGCTCCCAAAAAGTTAAGCAGACCAAAATTGATTTTAAAGAAGCTAAGAATACCAAAATGCAGCTCCCAAAAGTTGAGCAGACCAAAATGCAGCTCCCAAAAAGTTAAGCAGACCAAAAATGATTTCAAGGAATCTAAAAATACCGAAATGCAGCTCCCAAAAAGTTAAGCAGACCAAAAATGATTTCAAAGAATCTAAGAATACCGAAATGCAGCTCCCAAAAAGTTAAGCAGACCAAAATTGATTTTAAAGAAGCTAAGAATACCAAAATGCAGCTCCCAAAAGTTGAGCAGACCAAAATGCAGCTCCCAAAAAGTTAAGCAGACCAAAAATGATTTCAAAGAATCTAAGAATACCGAAATGCAGCTCCCAAAAAGTTAAGCAGACCAAAATTGATTTCAAGGAAGCTAAAAATACCAATTTGCAGCCCTCAAAAAGTTAAGCAGACCAAAATGCAGCTCCCAAAAAGTTGAGCAGACCAAAATGCAGCTCCCAAAAAGTTAAGCAGACCAAAATTGATTTTAAAGAAGCTAAGAATACCAAAATGCAGCTCCCAAAAAGTTAAGCAGACCTAAATTGATTTTAAAGAAGCTAAGAATACCAAAATGCAGCTCCCAAAAGTTGAGCAGACCAAAAATGCAGCTCCCAAAAAAAGTTAAGCAGACCAAAAAAATGATTTCAAGGAATCTAAAAAAATACCGAAATGCAGCTCCCAAAAAGTTAAGCAGACCAAAAAAATGATTTTCAAAGAATCTAAGAATACCGAAATGCAGCTCCCAAAAAAAGTTAAGCAGACCAAAAATTGATTTTAAAGAAGCTAAGAATACCAAAAATGCAGCTCCCAAAAAGTTGAGCAGACCAAAAATTGATTTTAAAGAAGCTAAGAATACCAAAAATGCAGCTCCCAAAAAAAGTTAAGCAGACCAAAAATTGATTTTAAAGAAGCTAAGAATACCAAAAATGCAGCTCCCAAAAAGTTGAGCAGACCAAAATGCAGCTCCCAAAAAGTTAAGCAGACCAAAAATGATTTCAAGGAATCTAAAAATACCGAAATGCAGCTCCCAAAAAGTTAAGCAGACCAAAAATGATTTCAAAGAATCTAAGAATACCGAAATGCAGCTCCCAAAAAGTTAAGCAGACCAAAAATGATTTCAAGGAATCTAAAAATACCGAAATGCAGCTCCCAAAAAGTTAAGCAGACCAAAAATGATTTCAAAGAATCTAAGAATACCAAAATGCAGCTCCCAAAAGTTGAGCAGACCAAAATTGATTTCAAGGAAGCTAAAAATACCAATTTGCAGCCCTCAAAAAGTTAAGCAGACCAAAAATGATTTCAAAGAATCTAAGAATACCGAAATGCAGCTCCCAAAAAGTTAAGCAGACCAAAATTGATTTTAAAGAAGCTAAAAGAATACCAAATTGCAGCCCTCAAAAAAAGTTAAGCAGACCAAAAATGCAGCTCCCAAAAAGTTGAGCAGACCAAAAATGCAGCTCCCAAAAAAAGTTAAGCAGACCAAAAAAATGATTTCAAAGAATCTAAGAATACCGAAATGCAGCTCCCAAAAAAAGTTAAGCAGACCAAAAATTGATTTTTAAAGAAGCTAAGAATACCAAAATGCAGCTCCCAAAAAAAGTTAAGCAGACCAAAAATGATTTTCAAAGAATCTAAGAATACCGAAAATGCAGCTCCCAAAAAGTTAAGCAGACCAAAAATGCAGCTCCCAAAAAAAGTTAAGCAGACCGAAAATTGATTTCGAGGAAGCTAAAAAAATACCAATTTGCAGCCCTCAAAAAAAGTTAAGCAGACCAAAAATGCAGCTCCCAAAAAAAGTTGAGCAGACCAAAATGCAGCTCCCAAAAAAAGTTAAGCAGACCAAAAATTGATTTTAAAGAAGCTAAGAATACCAAAAATGCAGCTCCCAAAAAAGTTAAGCAGACCAAAAAATGATTTCAAAGAATCTAAGCAGACCAAAATGCAGCTCCCAAAAAGTTGAGCAGACCAAAATGCAGCTCCCAAAAAGTTAAGCAGACCAAAAATGATTTCAAAGAATCTAAGAATACCGAAATGCAGCTCCCAAAAAGTTAAGCAGACCAAAATTGATTTTAAAGAAGCTAAGAATACCAAAATGCAGCTCCCAAAAAGTTAAGCAGACCAAAAATGATTTCAAAGAATCTAAGAATACCGAAATGCAGCTCCCAAAAAGTTAAGCAGACCAAAATGCAGCTCCCAAAAAAAGTTGAGCAGACCAAAATGCAGCTCCCAAAAAAGTTAAGCAGACCAAAAAAATGATTTCAAAGAATCTAAGAATACCGAAAATGCAGCTCCCAAAAAGTTAAGCAGACCAAAATTGATTTTAAAGAAGCTAAGAATACCAAAATGCAGCTCCCAAAAAGTTAAGCAGACCAAAAATGATTTCAAAGAATCTAAGAATACCGAAATGCAGCTCCCAAAAAGTTAAGCAGACCAAAATGCAGCTCCCAAAAAGTTAAGCAGACCGAAATTGATTTCGAGGAAGCTAAAAATACCAATTTGCAGCCCTCAAAAAGTTAAGCAGACCAAAATGCAGCTCCCAAAAAGTTGAGCAGACCAAAATGCAGCTCCCAAAAAGTTAAGCAGACCAAAATTGATTTTAAAGAAGCTAAGAATACCAAAATGCAGCTCCCAAAAAGTTAAGCAGACCAAAAATGATTTCAAAGAATCTAAGCAGACCAAAATGCAGCTCCCAAAAAGTTGAGCAGACCAAAATGCAGCTCCCAAAAAGTTAAGCAGACCAAAAATGATTTCAAAGAATCTAAGAATACCGAAATGCAGCTCCCAAAAAGTTAAGCAGACCAAAATTGATTTTAAAGAAGCTAAGAATACCAAAATGCAGCTCCCAAAAAGTTAAGCAGACCAAAAAAATGATTTCAAAGAATCTAAGAATACCGAAATGCAGCTCCCAAAAAGTTAAGCAGACCAAAATGCAGCTCCCAAAAAGTTAAGCAGACCGAAATTGATTTCGAGGAAGCTAAAAATACCAATTTGCAGCCCTCAAAAAGTTAAGCAGACCAAAATGCAGCTCCCAAAAAGTTGAGCAGACCAAAATGCAGCTCCCAAAAAGTTAAGCAGACCAAAATTGATTTTAAAGAAGCTAAGAATACCAAAATGCAGCTCCCAAAAAGTTAAGCAGACCAAAAATGATTTCAAAGAATCTAAGAATACCGAAATGCAGCTCCCAAAAAGTTAAGCAGACCAAAATGCAGCTCCCAAAAAGTTAAGCAGACCGAAATTGATTTCGAGGAAGCTAAAAAAATACCAATTTGCAGCCCTCAAAAAAGTTAAGCAGACCAAAAATGCAGCTCCCAAAAAAAGTTGAGCAGACCAAAAATGCAGCTCCCAAAAAAAGTTAAGCAGACCAAAAATTGATTTTTAAAGAAGCTAAGAATACCAAAATGCAGCTCCCAAAAAGTTAAGCAGACCAAAAATGATTTCAAAGAATCTAAGAATACCGAAATGCAGCTCCCAAAAAGTTAAGCAGACCAAAATGCAGCTCCCAAAAAGTTAAGCAGACCGAAATTGATTTCGAGGAAGCTAAAAATACCAATTTGCAGCCCTCAAAAAGTTAAGCAGACCAAAATGCAGCTCCCAAAAAGTTGAGCAGACCAAAATGCAGCTCCCAAAAAGTTAAGCAGACCAAAATGCAGCTCCCAAAAAGTTGAGCAGACCAAAATGCAGCTCCCAAAAAGTTAAGCAGACCAAAATTGATTTTAAAGAAGCTAAGAATACCAAAATGCAGCTCCCAAAAAGTTAAGCAGACCAAAAATGATTTCAAAGAATCTAAGAATACCGAAATGCAGCTCCCAAAAAGTTAAGCAGACCAAAATGCAGCTCCCAAAAAGTTAAGCAGACCGAAATTGATTTCGAGGAAGCTAAAAATACCAATTTGCAGCCCTCAAAAAGTTAAGCAGACCAAAATGCAGCTCCCAAAAAGTTAAGCAGACCGAAATAAAGCAAGCCTACTTTTCAGAACCAGAATTTTTGACTGCATTTTGTAATTTTGAAATAAATGTGAAGTTTTTTTGGTCCACGAGATTATATTAAAAATTAAGGCTGGCAAATAATTGCAGTTTTTCAGTAAAAACCCACTTCAAACCAAATTTACGCTTTTCCTTCATATTCTAAAACTTCTCATCATTTCAGAACCTTTTGAAAACCGTTTCAAAATGTTATCTTGATTCACGACTCTTTCTGAACTCACTCTCAACGACGGTGACATTTTCTGGGACTTCGACGATTTTTGGAGCGCTGCCGGAGGCGCCGCTTGGGACTAGCGGCGTCGACACCTAAAAAAATTTTTTCTTAAAAAAAGGAACTTAATTTTTTTTCAAATTCGAAGTTTTGAGCTATGCTGAAAAAACAATTTTCAAGAGAATTGGAAAAGAATAAAATGTCCAGTTCAAATTTGTCATTTTTGAAAGCGACCATCACTCATTCATAGTATAGAAAAGCCCAATTTTCGATTTTACAAACCAGAAAAATATTTACCTTATCCATGATTTCTTGCACCGATTCGCGTCTCATGTCGATACTTGAGCGTCTCTAAAAATCATCGATTCATAAAAGTTTTTCTCTAGAAAACTTTCAAGAATATAAAATATGAAACATGCTTATGTCACTCAATAATGAAAGAAAAGAAAAAAAGCTATATTTTCATGCGAAGCGTAAAAGACCAGTTTTTCGAAAATGTTCAAACTTTTTCTGGAAGTAATGGTGGCGGTGGACATTTCTATAAATTATTAAATTATAATTATATTTTTTTCTGAACATCTTTCAGACTTATTTTTGCCGATTCGCAGTAAAAAAACCAAAAAGAAAAAAACTGTTATAGAGAATACTTGAAACCAAAATGAGCAGGATTTTTTTGAATTCAAAAAGTCTATTTCTTTTTTATGTTTCAGCCTCTGAAATCGGAATTACCAGTTGAAGCAAAGTAGCCTCGAAAAATATGAACTCAGAGATTCTACCTATTCTGAGAGTTAAAGATTTTCCAAGACTATTCAAAGTTGGAAGATCATTCGAACCATTGAATTTAATAAATGTGAGATCCGAACTGGAGAAATTCAGAACTTTTCTTAAACTCAAGGAAGTTTTAGACCAAATTGATCAACTTCAGATTTCAGATCTTCAGTAGTAATAAACCCCAGGAATTTTCAAACTCATTTGGAAAGAGAGCCACGATTTGGCCAAATTCAAGCCTGATTGGCTAGGTCCCAAGAACCACCACCACCATTCTACTCCAATCCCTCCCAAAATCCCAATCTTCAGCAATCATTCTCACTCTAGCTTCACGACCGTCTTGCGGGGCACGGGACCCTCGGCGCATCTCGCCGAAGATCGACCCGCGGCGCGATTCCGACTCGGACTGGCTGTCGTCATCTCCGCCGGGAGGACGGATGCCGCTGGAGACCTTCCGGAGTTTGAACGGGTCCGCCTCGGCGGCCTCCTCCTTCTTGCCCTTGACGACCTTCTTGAGCTGGACCTGGGTCAGCAGGTTCTTCGGCTCTTCTTTCGGCGCGATCGACGGCTTCTTGCCGACTTGTCGCCCTTTCAGCGCCGCTTTCGGATCAGCAGGTGCTGCGGCGGCTGGTTCGGGCGACTTTTTCGGCTCAGTCTTGGCTTGCTGAAATCGGAAGTCACACAAAATGTAAAAACCATGACAAATAAAAAAATTTATGAAATATTCTGAAAAAAAGAGCGAATAAAAACTGTTAGATGCAACATTCGGAGGCACGCACTTTGTTATCGAGTCGGTTTGAAGGGTTAGTTGCACGTCAATCGAGGGATGCCGAAGGAAATCAGAAGACGTTACTCTGTTGGCTTCGTCGACGGCGATGCTGACGCGCTTCGGCTTGTCGGCGTCCTGGAACGGATTTTTAGTTGGTTTGAGTAGGGGGGAAAAGGTCAAGTTAAGATTATTTTTTCATCTTGTCATTTGTAAAAATAAAAGTGACAGGTAGAGAAGGAAAAGGAATCGATAGACAAGCTTACACATAAACAGAAAATTCCATTAGTTATAGGGAAAATCAGGGTTAGAATTACTTTCATTGAGAATATGAGATTGTAAAAATGCACATTCTTATTTACGAATGGATATTTTCTTTCGATCTGTGTGTGGCCCTAGGGTGACCGGTTAGCAAATTCATTGTAAAAAATTTTTGGGAGCTGCAAGTCGTCATGCCGAACTTTTTGGGAGCTGCAATTTTGTCCAAACGTGCCTAATATTGCCGAAAAAAATAATAAATATAAGAATGTCTAAATCTCAAAAACTATTCCAAATGCGGCCATCAAACTTCTCATGCAACCAAATACACAAAACACATACATCGCTGCTCTGGCTCTCGGTCCGCTCATAGGTCTGCAGCTTGGTCCGCTCTCGTTTCTCCAACTTGAAGGCCGTCGTGTCGATTCCAGAATCAGTTCCATTTCTCTCCTTGAGCGACGTTTTCACCTCGCTCGACTCCTTCTTCACGACCTTCTTCAGCTGAACCTTGAAGCCTGACTCCTGCTCTTCGACCTTGTTGGCCGAAGTTTTCTTCAGCTCAAACTTCTTGATGCTGGCAGTGGAGTCGGACTTTTCGAGTCCACCAGTCTTTTTGAGTTGGGCGAAAGGATTGGGTGCTTGGGACTTGTCATCCTTCAGGCCAGCGATAGAGCCTTTCCGGCTTCTGGACTCATTGGAGAACAAGCTGGAGGTCGATTCGTTCCGGTCGAGTGGGAAAGCTTTCTCTTCACCGTCAGCTTCTTTGCCAGCTCCCGCTGATTTCTTGACTTTCTTCAGCTTGACCAGTGTCTTGAAGTCGACCTCGCCATTGTCGTTCTGTTTAACCGTTTTGCGAAGTTGCGTCTTTTCCTGAAATACGGACATGAGAACGGACATTGGACAAAGGACACCTGGACAGTCGTCGTCTCGGTTCTCGTCGTCGACGACTTTCTCAACGCGTCGCGGGAGTACATTCCGCTGGCCGCGTCGTCGTCCCGCGTCGACTGAAAAGGACATTTGGACGGAAATTGACAAGAGACATGAGACTTTGACAGGATAACAAAGAGACATGCAAGCGGGCAAGAAAAAACAGGAATGAAGTTTGACAAAACGTGAAAATTTTCTTGTTTGTACAGAGCCGTAAAAGGCAAAAAATAGACCTCTCAACTTTCAAAGGTAAAAATATCTTCAAATTGAGACCATTAAAATCTAACAGTTACAGATTTTGAGGGCCTAAATATTAAAAACTTCCAAAAATCTCAGGAAACCGAATTTCTTTGAGAAAATGAGTTTCATAAGAACCACAGGACTTTCTTCAGTTCTTAAAAGAAAATTGATCTTTTTTTTCAATTGATGATTGACAGGTCATTTTGCATCTCAAAGAGATTATTTTATTTTATTTTGAACGAAAAAAAAAATCGATGAGACGTCTAATTGATTCAAACTCAATATTTAACCCGGTTACTGCCTTTTCTACTAATTTTTGAGCTTTAATGTTTTCAAAAGAGCCTGAAATTTCGATAAAAGTTCTCTGAATGGAAGGGTTTCCAAAATTGATCAACTTCAAGACCAAAAATCGACAACTTTTTCCAGACCAAAAATCAATAACTTTTTTCCAGATCAAAAATCGATAATTCCCAGCCTAATCAACTGGTTATGATTATACCTCGGTCTTGCGGCGCGGTTTGCTGCCGGCAAAGGAAGGGAGCTCGGAAATGCTCTCCGAGATCTCGTCCTCGCTGGTCACGCCCAATAACTCGCGGCGTCGCTCCTCTGGGATCGTCAGACCCGAACCTGGGATCTCGTCGATCTGAGATTCCTGTAAATTTTGTTCATTGTTCAATCTGCTTCTTATTTTGAACAATTTGTAAAAATAGGTCGTTTATTTTGAAAACCTGAGGTACTGCAAAGCTCCGCACATTTTTTTACCATTTGAAATTAAAACAAAAAACCAAAGTCGTTCTAGAATCGATTAAAAATCTAATTCCACAAAATAAAATGCTGAAGAAGCTATTGGTCCCGAGAATTCCTTTGAAGATGATAATATAGTCCATTCTATTAAATCGAGTAGTCGCCTGAAAAATTGGACGGAAAATCAGTCGATTTGCCTCGAAAATTCAGGTTTTTTGATTCCAATTGCCTTAAATTAATTCAATCGTTAAAAACCTTCATACCTAAAGATTTCCTACAGAAAGAGTTTAAAAAAATATTCTAACATTCCCAAAATGATTAGAATATTCCCAATGAAGTAACCTTGAATAAAGGACAAAAGTGAAATTCCTTAAAAACTGCTCCGAAGCCAAAAGTCCCCATACAACTCTATGAACGAAAAAACTTAAAATCAACTGAAAATCGTCTAGGAACCAACCTAAGCTCGTCAAGCAACACTAAAAAGTCAGAAAATCTTAAAAAAACACCATCTTCTTAAGAAACCTCTATGAATGAACTATTTCCCAAATCTCTCAAAAACCAACCCAAGCTTGAAGAGCGACGTGAAAAAAGTCAAATTAAGGTAGAAATACTCAGAGAAGATCCGAAAACATCGAAAAATAGCCGAATGGAACACCAGGAGGAAAAGTTAAAGATAAGCCAAAGATAAGTACTTGGAGAATATTTGTGAGTGAGTGAGTGAGTGTGTAGGCGGCTTAGAGTACGTGGATTTTTCCACACGGCCTGAGAAGAAGAAACCGTTCTTTTGCGTTCTCTAGCCCTGCTGCCTTCCTACAAAGCGAGGCTCTCTCTTGAGCACTTTATTTGCTCCATCGCTAAAAAATCAACCGAAGAGATAGGAGAGGGCTTTCCGTGTGGCTTTGGCACGTTGTGTGGCGGATTTGTACTCTAGCAATTATTGATTATCGATTAATTATGAAATGATAGGACAATAAATAACTAAGATTGAGATTTTGAAGTTTGTGCTTCCAGTAAAACTGGGTTAAATCGATGATGACCTTATATTGATGAATTTCCATTGATTTTCGACTCAATTCTATGAACATCGATTTTTTTAAATCTCAAACTTAGGACTCATTTTCAAAGCTAGAACTTCACAAAAACCATTTCAAAAATCCAGGAAATTCCAAAAATCGATAATTAGCGATTCAAAAGTTGATCAAAACCGACATTTTCCTCTTTGAGAATATAAGAAAAAAATCGTAATCATTCGAAAAAAAAATTGAAAAAGTACAATATGACGTGAAGAACTGACTTCAAGTTGGAAAAGAGATTTTTTTACTGTTTATTAACCCTAAATCTATTTTCAAAGATTCATCACACAATTACTCTTTTTTTTTCAATCACTATATCATTTCTATTGTTAGCGTTCTTCACTAGAATCCGCCTTACTCATAATTCTTGGAAAAACGGATATAAGTAAACAGTTTGAGAGAAGAAAAGAGGTTAACTGAACTCGGGATTGTCAAAAAAAGAGGCTATTGAACACTGATCCCCTCGAAGCACGGTTTTAAAAATTGAAAGTACCTTTTTAAAAAAAATTAAAACTCTCACATGAATAAATGTAAAATAATTATTTGAGCCCTTTTGCAGCCTTTTTTGTGACAGTTTTCAAAAAAAAAACAACATGAGATGTCAAATTTCAACTGTGAACAAAATTGCATTGAAAACTAGGATCTTAAAACAGTTTTCAAATCGAGAAACATCCAATAAATTGCAAAAATTTTTTTAAATTTATCAAAGCACTTCAGAACTAATTAAATAGATAAATCAAAAAAGTGTGACCAAGAAAAAAAAACAAAAGGTCAGAAAAGGTCAACAAGAGGTGACGGAGAACAACAGGAAAAAACAGAAATCCATCCCTCAAGTGGCCACTTCAGAACCGCTAAGCCAAAGAACGGACTTTTGACTTCTTTTTCGCCAAAGGCGGTGTTAGTGCCGCTCAAAAGAGCAATTTTCTCACCGCCTAGTCGATTCCATCGGACTAAAACAATCAATAAATATTGATTGATTGATTGAAGACAATTTTGAACTTAATTTGAAGACACCTTTCAAACTCTCAAAAGTTCTGAAGTACACTTTTTTTCAACTACTTTAATCCCAACAAGAAGTTTTAAAGACTTTAATACACTTCTTGTATACCAATTATAGTCAATGTTTCCCGACTTGAAAGGCGAGGGAGGCGGGGCAAGGGGCGGGGCGCGTAGCGTGCGCGTACGCGGTTCTTGGCGCCAGTTCAATTCAATCGCCGCCGACTATTTAAAAAGCTCGGCCACCGCTCTTTTTCTGTATTTTCTTCTATTTTTTGATGCACACATGAACATAATCAATAAATAATTAAAAAACAAGTCAAAAGAGCAATAAATAAGCTCTCTGAATGCTCGCTAGCGGTTGAATTGAACACGTGCCAAGAACCGCGTACGCACACGCTACGCGTCCCGCCCCTTGCCACGCCTCCCTCGCCTTTCAAGTCGGGAAACATTGACTATACACAACCATTAAAATATTGAACTCCAGCCGAAAAGAAAAAAAAATCGATAGTTCCTTCAATTAAAAAGTACCTTTTTCACCCAAAAAGTCCAATCTTTAAAAATCTCTCGAAGCTCGATAAAAGGCGGAAATTCAAAACTTTCTACTTTATAAAAAGAACCAGAAGATTAGTTTGAAAAAAATATGAAAAATCGAAAAAAATGGAATAATTCAGCTTTTGAGAAAAGCATTGTGGAACAAGCTTTTTGAGTATGTGATAAAAAAACACCTTTCAAAGTAGAGCTCCTTATAAGAAAATGCAATTGCTCAAAAAAAAAACAGCTTCAAAATAAAAGTTCAAACCCTCAAGTACCTACTTAAAATCAAACAATTCTAATTTTCTTTCATAAAATTATTCTTAATTTTTGAACATTGAAAACCCTAAAGTAGATCCTTGAAATCTTTCAAAATCCTTGAAAAGCGAACAAAAAAACAGAAAAAGATGTGCGTTGAGTTTTCAATTTAAAAAAAAGAACAAATCAGATGAATTTTCAGATTTCAAACTTCTATGGGCGGAGTTTTATACTATTACTTCGAAAAGGAAAAAAACTCAATCGTTCTATTTTTCGGAAAACCATTCCTAAGCTGTTTTTCTTCAGCTCTGAAGTCTGAACGATCCAAAACTGTTCAAATCTCAACAAAAGTGACCAAAAATCGAAGAGAAAGGTTCAAAAAGGCCTCAATAACAAGGAATCGAACAGAAAGAAAAAATTTTTTGATTCTCCGCTCATTCTACCGAACCCGAGAAGCAAGAGGCTCACGGGGCCAAACGTTTTTGTGAAAAATGAGGTCAGTTTTAAAATTGTGTACTTCTAACGGTGATGTTTCTATACACAATCGTAAACTTCACAGGGATTTCCAAAAGGCGATTTTCTTTCTTCTTGTTCTTTTCAAAAACCCACTTTCAAAGCACACTTCTTCAAACACAAACTTCTCAAATCCCAACAAAAGCGACCAAAGATCGAAGGAGACAAGTTCGAAAAAAGTTCCGTTGTAACTAAATAACAAAAAAAAGGGCAGGACAGGTGGAAAGGAAAGATTTTTGCGTCGGTTCTACCGGACCCGAGTAGCAATCGGCTCATGGGGCCGCATGTTTACTGCGCCTCTTCACCTCCCACTTTTAGGTTTCGCTGCTGCTGCTGCTGCCAGTGCAATGCCAATGGATGGAACGAGGTGGTGGCGGAAAAAAAAAGAGTCGGAAAAAAGAAAGAAAAAAAAATGGCTGGTGCCTCAGAAACAAGCTTTCGAGCCGCGCGGATCTGCCGCTTTATCACGCGGGGATGTTCTTGCGTTCCTTTGCCCCCCTCCGATAAACAGTTCAAAGGTTATTATACTTTTCGAGAGTGCACTTATGGCCTTTCCAAGTCGTTACAAACAGACGTTTTTCAGACCTGCTCCCATAGCTATTCCAAAATTCCAGGGGTCTTGAATCTTGAAAAATTCAGCTTCTCACAGAATTTTTACACTCATTTCGTTTCCACTGTGTTTCGGTATATAAAGGAGCATGTACCTTTTTTTTTTACTATCTCGAGAAGAAAAGCCGTTCTTTTTCCATAATTCAAACCAAGGAAGTTCTCGGAGTCATAGAAGTCTGGCGAGCCCTAAAAAACACCGGAAACGGCTCTTCCCTTCGAAACCTTCAAAAAAAACTTGTCCATGCTCCTTTAAACGGCCCAGTAAGGACTTTTAGCAGGTTTCAGTTCTAAATTTTCAGAAAAGCTTGGAAATTTCTTTTTGAGAAGGTCAAAATGCTTCACCTTAAAAAAATTGTTTCAAAAAAATGAGCAAATGCCGTAAAATTATTTTTTTCCTCTGTTCCTTGGAAGTGTAACAAAAAAATTCCTTTTTTTCATAAATATTTACGACAGATTGGTGATTTTATACTTAAGAGAAAAATTAAGAAATACAACACTTGTCTTGATTGATAAAGTTATCAACTTCCATCTATTGGATTCATCAGTTTTACTGAATTTCGGGATTTTTTTAATTTCGTAAGAGACTTTGCTTTCCAAAAAGCTTCAACTTTATTCTTAAAAACCCTAAAAATTCAACTCAAGAAAAAATAATGAAAATTAAACTTTCCGCAAGACTTTTTCAGTTGCGAGATACAAGCCCAAGATACAAGTTATGTACCTTCCTTTTTTTCGGAAGATTCATCAAGATTTTTTATTTTTTGCTTTTTTTCCATTGTTAAAGTCCCCTTTTCAACAAAAAATGAAATTTTTCGCACAACGTCTAATTTGTTGAAACCAATAAATTTCCCAAAAGTGTCATATCTAGCACCCGAATTCTGAATTTCACAACATTCCTTCAAGATCACAGAAAAGTTTTTGTTGTGTAGTACTAGGCGTACGTGCAAGTGGATGACTTGCAAACAGGAGAGAGGCTCAAAGTCGCAAAAATCCGCTCGTTTTGATCATCGTCCTCGTCTCGGAAAGCCCCCGCGGCCCAATGTTTGTCGACATTGTGGCAAAAAGCTGCGGATGTTGGCGCGTTTGAGTTCGGTTCAGGCAACTCGATTGGCTTAGGTTGTTGGGAAACAAGTTGATATAGCCGATTCCGCGCAGGCTTGTCACGATTTTTATTCTCCTCCGAGCTACGGAACCATTCTTTTTCACATTTTTGCATGCGCCTTTAGCGTATTATATTTTCGTCTTATTAAAGGCGCATATACAGAGAGAAGCTGGCACAGAATGGGTTACAGTAAGTTCAATAAAGGTGAAAGATCAAGGGACAGGAGTAAAAATAAAACTTCACCGGGTTTTATTCCTGATTAGATAAGCCTAAACGTACATCAAATACACGAGACCTTCTCTTGATCAATCTAAAGAGCAATTTCACATCTCTATAGAACATACCAGAAAAAACAGCTAAAAGTTACTGAAAATCGAAAACTCTCCCTACTTATTTCTTTTATTTTGTGCCAAAAAAAGTCACTGAAATCTGGGAAAATGCTTTGGTAATGATAAGATCGCCGTGGACGTGACAAACTTTTTTTTTCGTGGGGAAAAGATCAAAAGATCAAAAAATAGAAGTCCTTCTGAGTTTCGAGCACAAATAGCTTATTAATCACGACACACTTGTCCAAGATTTACACGAATAAAAACTGTAGAAAGCAGTAATCTTTGAAATAGAATGCCATAAGCCACTGCGAAACTTTTTCTGCAACTTAATCTTCCCAAATATTCATTTCAAGTCATTTTTCACCTAAATTGAGCCCCAAATCTGGCAGAAAACGTCTCCTATGAGTCTAGCTTCATCTTTTTTTGAAAGGTAACTGTGACGTTTAGCAGGCTTTTTCAGGGGCTTCAGTAATAAAACCTGTCGAACTACTTAGCGTCATCTTCCAAAAATTTCCAATTCTTCTCACTCCCCAGAAAAACCAGAAAAACCAACGTTACTGCTAATGGAGGAGCGACTCCGTGCCGACTTGACGTCGAGGCTGTTCTTCCGCGAGTCGAAGCCGCCGTCCAGGGGTCTCTGAGGCGGCGGCGGAGGCGTCTCGAAATGGATCAGAGACCTGAGATACTTGTCCTTGGCCGGTCCATTCGGCATCCTCGACAGGATGAACGCGTGGATCTGGGAGATCTTCGAGAGTTCCTCTTCCGTTATTTCCATCGGCGGCTGTTCAGACTGACTTCGCTGATAGTTATTGGTTCGATTGGCCGCCGGTTTGAGTCCGGCAAAACCGGCGGTCAGCGATTTCGGAGGTTTCGCGGTGGGCACGACGTCATTCCTTCTGAATCGGTCGGTTGGGGTGACACTTCGCGAAGTGGTCGCGGAGGTGCTGTGGTCGGAAGCACGTCTTCTGGACTGTTCTGGGATGGGGGGAGGGGGCGTTTTGAAGCGGTCATTCAGCGAGGGAGGAGCGTCACGTCTTCGGAGTCTTTCAGGGCGTTCTGAAGTCCCGTTTTCTTTGACAGGAGGGCGCGGGGGTCGATTGGCCGTTTCCAAACCCATGCTGGTGTCACTTCTGGCTCTGAGTCTCTCATTATGGCTTGAAGCTCCATTTTCTTTGATGGGCGATTTTTCTGGAGGGATGTTAGAATCTCTCGTAGAAACTGGCGGCTTTTCTGGAGCTATAACAGAATCTCTTCTGGTTGAATGACTTTCTGAGCTCTCCCGCCTTGGGACATGCCGGAGCTGGTTGAAGACCGTGACTTTAACGTCATCAGAATTTGCTTTGCTTGAATTTTTGGGTACCGGTCTGAGGCCGACATGGCCGAAAACCTTCTGCGATTCTTTCGAAGCCGACGCTAACTTCAGCTCGCCATTCTTCAATAGATCGGTAATAGGCGTACCCGAAGCCCGCTTCTCTCCCGTTTCCCCAGTTTTCTCCGCCGCGTCTTTTTCGTGCCGACGCTTGAGAAGCCCTTGGAAGAAAGGCCCCGGCGCGTAGTTCATTGCTAAGAACTACAACGCCGTTTGATTCGGAAGAAGAATTCGAGGATTCAGTAGGATCCTTGGATTATTTTCTTCTTCACTTTTTTTCTGTTGGGCTTGAGTTTCTTCAACGATGTCGCATTGTATCGGCTAGCTTTTGCCGATGGTAACGACACGAACTTCTGAATAAATTCGTTTGGAATATTTTCTGAAAACTGAGAGAGAAAAAGGGCAAGGAAAATGTACTGGAATTGATTGAGATGAAAGAATGTAAATTATTGAAGCTGTATTCGAAAAACTTTTGTAAGGATCGATTAGCTGATTAGTTGAAAAAATCAAAGAAAAGTCTGAAGATTCAATTTTGAACTCACTTATCAGAGCCATCAAAGGTTCTTGTGAAATCCGCGATCAAAAATTTTAAAAACCAGTAAAATTTCCAAAAATAATTTTTCAATGATGAACTCTGAGCTAGAATCTCCAAAAAAAAGAAATGTTTTTTGATCGAAAAATGAAAAATGCGAAAATTTGAAAATAAAAAGCCAAAAAATATTTAATGGCAAGCTTTTCTAGCTAGGACCTTAACACAAGCTCAAAAATCTTGAAGAATTCCATCTCAAAGTCGAAAAATGTCAGAAAAGTGGGCCGAAGAATGTTGAGAGCCGACATGTGCGAGGCATGAAAATACGAAATCAAATCCGTTTTCATATTTTATTGCTCAAAAACCCTTTTTCCTAGGGCCCCGCCGCCGTCACACTGTGTAACTTCAATAAAAATAGACAAACGTTTTCTCAAAAAAATGAATATTTTATTGTTCACCCTCGGATGAAGTTTGCCTATAAACTTTTTTTAAACAGATTGTTTGTTTTTTTCTAATTTATTATTGTAAGAATTTCAAAGTCTACGGAAAGCTTTCAAAAATATAGAAAAAAAGAAGCCAATTCTACTTAAAAAAATTTGAAAGATCTAAAAAAAGTTCTACAATTTTCAGAACATCTCAAAGTTAAAGTTTTCTAGCCGAGTTGAGAAATTGGAAAAAAAGTATAATATTTTTTTATGTTTCTAAAAAAATTCCAGATCAATTTTGAGATTTTCTCGATTCCAAAAAAATATTATAGCTTTATTATAACCTCTTGTTTCTGAAAAAAATCGCTCTTTAATTATTGATTTATTGATTGATCAGAAGGCGGGGCCTAGAAAAATCGATAAACATTATTTTCTACACAGAATCTTGCTTGGATGTTCAGTGAATCAAAAAAAGAAAAAAACTCAGAAAAAAAGGTTGATATCTAAAAGTAAGCTTCTGAATTTTTTTGAAATTTCATTATGATATAAAAAAATAAAAAAATAAATTTCGATTTCACCTCGAAAAATCTGGAAAAAAACTTATTTTCAAATAACCCGTAACTGATATCAGAAACAATATTTATCGAATGAAATGATTCAAAAAAATTTTTTTAGAAATTTAGAAAAAAATAAAAAAAGCAAGAGTAAATCAGATGATTTTCGTCGGAAAGTAGGTATGAAGCGAAAAAAAAAACGGGTGAAACAGCAAAGTGCGCGAAAAACGTCGTGTTCGGGCCCTTTCGGCGCGGCACCCGTGTCGAGGGCTTCCGGCCGTCTTCTGTTTGAAGATTTGTCTTGTACATTTCGTATGTATGTACCTATTATCCAAGTACTCTCTTGTCGCAAACTTTGCGTCACATTTTGGTTTTCGCCGCCAAGTTCTTCTTCTTCTTCTTTTTTTTTTCCAAGTTGAATAACTTCTTCGCATTTTTCCTGTTTTTGAGGCATCCAGAAGCTTGCTTTGCTCCTACTGTATTCACAGGGTTACTGTACTCGTCCTTTTTGCTGAACCTTACAGTTTAGTCAATATTCAGCTTTTCCTACTGTAACTTCGATTTTTGTGTTTCATTCTAGGTTTTTCAAGGTCCAGAATTCCAGGAGCTTCATTATGTCCTACTGTACTTCCAGGGTTACTGTATTTTTCCATTTTCTGCTGAGATCAAAAGTTCAACTCATGTAGTTCAGTCGAGATTCATCTTTGCTTACTGTAACCTTGATTGTTGTACTTCATTCAAGGTTTTTCGAGGTCGGGATGTCCAGGAGCTTCATTATGTCCTACTGTACTTCTAGGATTACTGTTCCCGTCATTCTCCTGCTAAAATCGAAGCTTTAACTCTAATTGCTCAGAAGGCTTGAGTTACTGTAACTTCGATTATCGTATTTTTACTTTCTGAACAATGTCTTTCAGATCTACATCAACGGCTGGACATCCAGGAGCATTATTATCTCCTACTTTACGTCTAGGGTTACTTAATGGCCTTTTGCTGTTAACATGGAAGCTTGAAAGTTTGATCAATGTACAACTTCGGTTACTGTAACTCACACTATAAAAAATGACGGTATTTCAAGATCCATATCGACGACTGGAAATCTATGATAATCACTACGACCTACTGAACTTCTAGGATTACTGTAGATGAATTTGGGCGATTTCTCAAACTGTAGTTTGCTCACACAAATTGTAGCTTGCTCACACAACACAACTTCCTAATAAGACTTGAAACAGCTTTGAGGGTTCAACAAAAACTACTGTAAAAGTCCTTTTACCGTACTTAAAGGCTACTGTAAAACCAGATTGCTCCAAAAGCTTTTCGTAGTTTGCTCACCTCTAACAAATAGACGCCCTTCGAAACTAGATCTTTTGAAGTTCAGACAAGGTTCAACTAGGGATACTGTACTTCTAGTTCAGTGAGATTTGGAAGCTATATGTACTCCAAGGGTTACTGTAGCTGTATGGAATGTAGGCCCGATAGGTCCTACTGTACTCCAAGCACTCCCAATCAATATTCAGAGGTTACGGTACATCTTACTGTAGGCCTTCAGAAAAAGTTTTAACGGCTCAAACTACTTCAAACTAGCTCCTCAGAGCTTTTCGGTCTTGAGGTCAGACTCAAACCATAAGGTCTCAAAATTCTAATGGACTGTCAAAGATGCCGACAAAAAAGCTCTTGGAGCGTGAAAAAGCACAATTTTTTCTACTGTATCCAGTGTTCAGAGGGGGCGGAGATCCACTCATATACGACAAGTTCGTTTGACCAAATTTTCAAGGTATAAAAAGCTGTCCTAATAACTTCTCTACAATAAGATAAATTTTTAAAAATTCTTCAAAAATATTGCTTCAAGCTCCACAGTACCACAGACCTGTAACAATATCCAACAGACCTCATCGTCGGGTTCAGGTCGGTTGCTGTTTCGGCGACTGGAGCTTCGTTGGTCTTCTGATTCCGAGGCCTGAAAAAGCATAAAGTTTTAAAAAATCTAAATACTATTATACTAAATACAAAAATTATAAAAAGAATTTTTCTAGAGTTTTTTTATTCGATATTTTTCTGAAAAAGTTTACCTCAGCCTTCTGAGCATCAAGCCGGCTGCTCGCTTTCCGTGACGGCGGCGCCTGGAAAAAAAGATATTTTATTCACAAAATTTTTGAAGAAAACCTCAATTCATCGTCAAAATGCGTTTGAATGCACATTTGTTCACATACAATAGAGCGTGAGAAAATTCAGAGGTTTCATATCGATTCAGGAATCGGAAATCGCATAAAAAATACTGGCTTATGAAATATATACGACGTTAAACTTTCCGTAAAAGATCAATAATTTGGTATATTCGAAAAAAACTTTTTTTCTAAAACTTATATTTTTTTCCAATTTACTCGGTAAATTATTATAAAAATTCTTATCTGAGCTCTTTTTAACTGATAAAACTTTTGCAACTGCCCAGAAAAACACTACTGAAAAAAACTTCATCTGTTGTAGTTTCTAATAATTCCGTTTTTCTCGTATAATTTTTCATTTTTTTGGAACTGTTCGTTAAAGACTTTTTAATGACACTATTTAAAAAGCGCAGAGACAAAACTTTATGAAATTTTCAAAGCGCAGATTCGTTTTTCAGCTGTATTCTAAGTCTAGGAAGCCTTGTAGAATATAAACTCCAGTTAATAAAAATTTCAAATCCAAACAGACGATCAAAAAAATATATAATAATCTCAGTTTATAGCCAGTAAAATTTTTATAATTTTCAGAACTATGAATAAAAATTACTGCATATTCCTCTTGAATATAATTCTCTCAAAAAAACTTGATACATAACTTCAACTAGAAGATTCTCTTAAACGCTACTAACTAGTCATATTTGATTCCAGAACTTGTTAAAAATGATTTTGACAAAAAATCACCGGGCTCTTGCTCTTCGACTTCGATCGCCTCGTCGTCTTTTTCTTCGCCACAAGGCTTTCGCTGCGATCTTCCTCTTCGATTTTGCTCTGTTGTTCTGTTCGCCGATGTGAATATTCTTCATCTTCTGGAAAATCGATAAATTGTAAATTGAATTTGAAAAAAAATCAACCGGAAGCATCCAATTTGACCATGGCGCTGCTCTGAGCTTCTCCATATTCACAAGTGGCGTGGCATTTGTAGAGACCTAAAAAAATTATAATAAATACTGAAAAAAGTAAAAAAAAAAAAAGTTGAAAAATTGGAAAAAGCTCGAAATTACTCTCTCACTCGGAGAGCACAGAGAAAGAGGGGAGTGCGGTGGAGCGCGTTTAATCCGCAACAGCAAGTTCTCACAAAAAGTTTTTTTCACTTTTTTTTTTTTCTCAATTTTTTTCCTTTTTGTTGCTTGAATTTGTTTCAGCGAATATCATGAAAGATTAAAAAATCACCAGTTTTGTCCTCGGACAAATTCTTGACGTTCAACCGCGCAATGTTGCCGTCGAACGTCTGGGAATATTCCGACGAGTTCTTGATCAATTTTCCATCTCTGGAACATGAGCAATATAACAGGTAACATGAGTAATATATCATACCTGTACCACTCGATGATCGTCGTCGTGTGGCACTGCCATTCGACCTCGAGAACCACTGAGGAGCCAGTTTTTTTCCGGTCTGACAAGAATGATTATTTCAGAATTATTTCACATTTTTTTTGTTGAAAACTTTTCAAAAAGTTAGAACTGCTTGAAATATTTGATATTTTCTATCCAGTCTTCTCACCTTGGACCGACTGGCTTCGAGAACGATCGGCGGCCGAGTGAACTTGTCACGAGCGGAGGAATTGGCGCTGCTCGATTTCGAAGCCGGCGCGGGCGATGGTGACTTCCTTCCGGGACTTCGGCGCGAGTTGGGACTTCCCGCCCGAAGTTTCTTCTCGTCAGCTGGCGGTGGCGGCAAACCGTCGGGCTTCCGCTTTCCTGACACTGAAAATCCGAAAATGATTCTATGTTTCTCGTTTCTCTTCATGTGAGAAACTTAAAAAGCCTAAGCTAAAAACTACACATAGTGTTTGCTCAATGAGGTCACTTGCGTAACAAAATTTTTCCTCACATTCTCAAATTATAACTAATTATGACACGAAAGGGGTATTTAGAGCTTTGGAAGCGTATTAACTCAAAAACCAGATCTGTTTCAACCGTTTCTTTTCTTGGGGTTCAAAGTACAGTCTGGATCTTTTTCATCAAAAATTTAACCGTGCGCTAAAAAATTTTTCTATGAACAGAACAGAATGCAGCTCTCAAAGGTTTGACAAAAATAAAGTTCCTAGAAGCTAAGCAGGCCAAAAAAAAGTCCCCAAGTAGAAAAAAAGTACAAAATGCAGCTCTCAAAAGTTTAAGCAGACCAAAATCTAGAGACGATTCTAAAAAAGGACTTTTTTTTTACAATTTATGAATGTATTTTCCAAAATCACTCCTGCCTTCCATACCTTGATCGATTTCCATCTTGTCAGTTTTACTTGATCTCCTCGATTCGGACTGCTGTTGAGCCTGAAGCGACTGGGACTGCGACGCTTCTTCTTGTGTTGGTGTCGATGTTCGAGATCTGGAATAAAAATCAAGTTCTCTTTTTCAAATCATTTTCATTTCACACTCGAAGTCAATTGTTTTTGAATCGAAAATTTATCGAAAAAATTTTCATAAAATTCATATACCTTTTTTTTTCAAATCTTATACTAACCTCAATTTCTTGCTGGGCGATCCTTCGCGCGGCTTCAAACTGCGCTTTGGGGTTCCTTCGCGAGATTTGAGGGACTTTTTCGGGGAGCTGGGACGCTCGCCGGGGCCGCGGGACGACGGCCTCGGGCTTGCGGTTGATCTCTTGCGCTCTTGTCGTTCAGTTGGGTCAGGCTCTTCGAAATTCAGAGCCAGGTTAGCGTTGGTTTCGCCTTGGTCGTTTCGGATGTTGCATCGATACTGGCCGGCGTCAGAGGCTGATGGACCCTGAAAGAAATATTTGCATGTTTTTTGAATCAAAATTTGAATTTTTCGAGTATTAAAAAAGAGATAGCCGAAGAGCGGTATTTTAATACTCGATTTAACATGTTATACTTAGTCAGATCAGAAATTTCAATAACTAATTTTCAGGTTTTCAAAACCTTCCGGTTCTTTAAGCGCACTAGAAAAAATCCCAAGTCTTAGCAACCAAAATCCAGCTCTCCAAAAAGTTGGGCAGACCAAAATTGAGTTTCAATAAACTATGATGCACCTCTCAAAAAAGTTAAGCAGACCAAAATAAAAATCCGATAAACTAATGATAAGCAGACCCAAACGCAGTCCTCAAAGAATTGAAAAGACCAAAATTGAAGTTACGGAAGCTAAGCAGACCAAAATGCAGCTCTCAAAATTTAAGCAGACCAAAACAAAAATCCGATATAGTAATGCTAAGCAGACCAAAATGCAGCTCTCAAAAAAGTTAAGCAGACCAAAATGCAGCTCTCAAAAAAGTTAAAGGCATAGGGGCAGTAAAAAACGGTGTTTCAGTTCAAAGCAGTACTTTGTAGAGCTTTTCATTGCGAATCGAACGGTGAACTTGGAAACGTACAGTAGTTCCTAGTTTTGAAGAAAAAATAATTCAAATTCGGAGAAAGGAAATCTTGAGTTCCCGCGAAAAGAGCGCTTTGCAGTAAAGTTGCTCTATGGACAATAGGCTTCGCTATTTTTTTCGAATTTCGCTTTTTTTCTTCGTTGCTTTCAATTTTTAATTTTTTCTGTTGTCACCAAAGTTCTTTTTGTCACAAAAATCTTTATATTCATGTTAAATTTGCAAACTTTGATCGCAAAAATGCTACTCTGGTGAAAAATGATGATTTTACACAGGTTTCGATGGGGATTGCGATGTTTTGTGTTTTCTTTATTATCAATGTGTGTTTTCTGTTTTCTTAATCGATTTTTCAGAGAAGAAACCCTTAATTTGAAGCAGATATCCGGTTATATCTCACAAAATTCGAGTCTATTGGCACGTCCGCAACATGGCGTGCACAGCTACTGTAAACAGTTGTCTGCATACCGATCCAAAGCTTTTTTTAAAAATAAAGGCGGGAAAGTAAAATCGCGTTTTTCTTCTAAAGTTGTCACATCTGTAATCTTTTGGAGTACACCATTCGATTCGCAAAGAAAAACTATATAAGATACTGCTTTCACCTGAAACCCCATTTTTTACTGCCCCTATGCCTTTAAGCAGACCAAAATGCAGCTCTCAAGAAAGTTAAGCAGACCAAAACTGAGCTTTAATAAGCTAAGATGCAGCTCTCAAAATCTTTCAATGAGCCAAAGTTTGGAGAAGAGCGAGAAAAGTACCGGTTTGATTCTTTCGTTTCTTTCTTTAGATCAACACAATGCAATTTTCGCCTTTTCTAATCATTTCAGAAAATACTCAGGAACTATTAATAAACAGACCTAACGTTCTTCAAAAATGTAACTGATAGGCTCCAAAACAAACCCTGATTTCCAGCTGGCAGAGGAAAGTCTGATCTCCAAGATCAGAGAAGACAGCGTGAAAGAGGCCTCCCATTGTGAGTGGAACTCCATCCTTCATCCATCTGAATTGAAATGTTTGGTTCATGAAAAAACTGTTTCAAGTTTCGAAATGGAAAAAAGACAAACTTGGCGGTAGGGGTGCTGGCGCTCTTCACCTTGCACTCCATGACGATGAGGGCACCGCCGTCCTTCGGAATAATCCGCGGCTTGCCGACGAACGTCGGCCCACGCGCCTTGCTCTCATCGCCACCCGATCCTTAAAGTTGATAAACTATTATTAGGCCTCAAAGTTTTTTTTTTCAGCCTCAACCAAAAACTTTGTGACTTTTTCAGAGCGAAAGAGCTCGAATTATCGGAAAAATCATGCATTCCTAAACTATTGAAAAGCTGATCTTTTGCGAAACCTACCGGCAAAATTGAGATTAATATTGGCGTTGGATTCGCCGAGCTGGTTCTTCGCTGTGCACTTGTAGGCGCCGCCATCACCAGCACTCGGCTCCTGGAAAAAAATTACCCTTTTTATAAAAGTTATTCAATTCAGATAATCACAGAAAAAAATAACTCTGTCGAAATAAATCAGAAAAACTTGGGGAAAAAATACATCAAAAAAATTATTTTCCAATGCTCAAACAAAAACATGGGATGGTGTTAAAAGTTGATAAACTCACATTATTCAAAAATAATACAGATGCTTTTTGGTAAATTATTTTCTAAAAGTTAGAGCAAACTAGAGGAAAATGTTCAAATATAAAAAATGACCTTATTAGCAATTATTTTTCTTCAACGTCCCCTAACAGCTCTAATCGCCAATCCCACAAATCTTGCTCCCTTTCTGCCAAACGAGCATTTGGCACCGTTCGGCCGCCAGTCATTAATCATTCAAAACGTCAGGTCTTCTCCTGACCCCCGCACAGTTATTTTAAACTATTCAATTAGCTCGGGTTTTTTTTTTGCAGTGTATTTGAGAGTTTCAGGTCCCTTGCGCCTATGATTTATCACCTGAAGATTCAAAATATGAAGAACCTGAAGAAAGAAGATTCAAAAAATATCATTTTTTCGTCTGAGAGAATTCCAAAACCCTTGGAAAGCGTCAAAAAAAAAAATCACAAAAGCTCATTTATCGCTACGGAAATGTGTCCCCTAAATTCTCGAAAAACACCTGAAAATCCATTCGATTTTCATTTTTTGTGTGTGTGCGCGGATATTGCGGAAACAAACGATTCGTCTTGACCACTGCGCAAACAGTCGCAAAATCCGAGCCAAGTGCAAAAAGCGCAATCTTTGAGCAAGCTCTAGCCACATGAATTTTCCATTTCTTCAGATTTGACAGTTTGGGATTCTTTAACAGTCTGAATATTAGAAAAATGCAAAGAAATGAAAAATCGAAAAACTTTAAAATTATTCAGAGAAGCTCAACTGAAAGATAACTATAACTATTATTTTCCGCTTCAATATTTTTTTTGAACTTTGGCTATTTGTTCGAGTCCACGAAAGAGTTTTTCATTATTCCAAATATCTTAGGGACGCCAGAGTGGTCCCTATAGGGGTAACCTTGAGAATCTCTGAAAATTCCCCTCTAGAGCTTTAGGGACTTAGGGGTCAGACCGTAAATCCTATGAGGATAACTGAATTTTACTTCTATAAGGAGCACTTTACGAGCTCTGTAGGAGCCCTCTAGGGGCCACTCTGGTGTGTCTAAGATGAGAGCCTCAGCCAATCTTGAAACATGATTGATTCCAAAAAATCTTGAAAAAATGAGGTTCATGATTTTTTTTTTACGAGCTGATCATTGAGGGCTCCTTCTGCAAAACTTTCTTTTCTCAGGCCGAAATCGATCAATAAAAAGTCCCCCTCTCGGCGAAAAAAAAATCGAAACAAAATTTCCGCGTTCTCCAGGCCGACAAAAAGGTGTCGACGGCATCTTTTTTTTTGCTCATCCAGCCGCCGTCGCAGTAAAACAGACAGGACGGACGGCCGGAGCCTCGGGTTGTGTAACATTGGAAAACGCGTGGGGGACAACCGTTGAGCAGGAGCAGAACGAAGACAAGAAAAAAATAGCAGTAGAAGCGACGATGTGCCATTTTGCGCTCCAACGCTCTCCTCCTTGATGTTTGCAACAACCGCAAGTATCGATTGATTTTTGAGAAAAAGTTCAAAAAATCAAAACTGAACAAAAAAAAACAACTGCTGTTTAACATTCCGCTCTTGCTCGAAAATTCACGGAAAATTTTATCTTTGGTCCTAAAAATGTTCTGAAACTTCAAAGTTTAAGCAATTTTTAAAGCCTTGCAAGGCTCAAAATGAAACTGAAGAACGGCTTAAAAAATGGGCCTTAAAAGTTCAAAAATGAATTTTTTAGAGATTTTTTTCAGAATCATAAATAATTTTTTTGATTGACTCAGTATACAGAAAAATCAAAAAAACACTAAAAATCGATCAATAAATATTTTTTTAAATCAATTAAAAAAACTTCCCATAAAAAAACACAGCTTCAGGATAAACTCCAAACAAAGAATAGGCTTTTTTTGAAAAAAATGAATTAATCAATATTCTGGATTAAAAATCGATAAAAAAATTTTTTTAAAAAAAGTAAAAAAATATTAATTTCAATTAAAAAATTTTTTTTTGCGATATTGACGATAAATGATCAATGCCTACTAGAATTCAAAAAAAGAAACAAAAAAGTTCATTAAAAAAATGCGATTTGAAGGTTCAAACTTTCAGAGGGTCTGTTTTTATTTTTCGAATCAATCAATTAAAAAAAAATTTTTTTTTCTGATAGTCTTTGTCCTGTCATTCAAAAAAACAATGATATAGTTAAATTAACGGTAAAATTAACGATGGAGCGACTATTCCAAGAAAAAAACTAAAATTTTTTTCCAAAACAGCGGAAGATAGAGAAGCTTTTCTAACGATAATTGTAACAAGTATGAAAAAAAAAAAAATTTGAAAAAAAACCTTGATGACGAGGGTAGCCTTGAAGAGGTTGCCACCCAAGGGAGTCAGGGTCTGGACGACCCTAGAGGACGGCGGCAGCACAGTTCCGCTGTGTTGCCAGGCGATCGTCGGCTCCGGATCCGCCTCTAGATGACATTCCATCAGCAGATCGCCCTGAAATTACATGAAAATTCAGGAAAGGTCACGTTTGAATCTTTAAAAAAAGGTCATGCGAATGAAATTTTTTTTCATTTCTACTTTTTTCCAGCCATTGAGGTTCGCATACATTTCAAAAACTTTTGCGTTCCCTATGTTAAGGTTATTTACGTTGCGTAAACCTTCCCGTACACTGTCTATAATCTTAAAGATCCGTAAATTTCGCTAACTTCTTTAGAAGTTTTTTTTAGAGATGCAGGATGTAGTAGTGTAGTGTCGGTCTCAAAAATTGCAAGTTTCCGTTCCTAGGAGCTCATCTACGCCTCACATTTACATTGCGTAAACCTTCCCGTATACTGTCTATAATCTCAAAGAATCCGTAAATTTCGCTAAATTCTTCCTTATCTTTTTTAGAGATGCAGGATGTAGTAGTGTAGTGTCGGTCTCGAAACATTAAAAAGAAATTGATTTTCCCATAATTAAGCTCATCAACGCCTCACATTTACACTGCGTAAACCTTCCCGTATACTGCCTATAATCTCAAAGAATCCGTAAATTTCGCCAAATTCTCACTTCAAAAGCTTTTTTTAGAGACGCAAGGTGTAGTGTCCGTCTCAAAAATGGCAATTTTTCCCTTCCTCAAGCTCATTTACGCTGCGTAAACTGTCATAGCTATCATGGTCTCTGATTTTATAAAAATCACAAATTTTTAGTCATTTCAGTGGTCATTCCAAAAAAGCTTGTTTCTTCAGAAATGTAAGAACATCAAAAAATCACGAGTTTCCCTTCCTCAAGCTCATTTTTTAAATTGTCATGCAAATTAGGGCCTTTGAATTGAAAAGATCCATAAATTTATAGCCGTTCCAAATAAGCTTCCCGAATTTCGTTTAGAGACGCAGGATGTAGTTTTCCCCCCGATTAACATCAAAATGGTCCTTTGCTCCAAAAAAATGATCAAACATTTAAAAATTCTGAGCTTTTTCGGAATTTTTCGATTTGTTTTTCATTTTTTAATCCATTGAAATTTAAAATTCTTATGTCCAATAACCTGAAAATGATGTCCAGATAGAATTTACAGCTCTAATAAAATCAATAAAAAGATTTAAAGAAAAAGCTGTAGGAAAGATAGAAAAAAAGCCGGCTTGTAACACTTTTTTTGGAAAGGAACATTTTTAGAACCTTAAGAAAAATTTTTTTACAACCTTTGCACAAAGAAAAAAACTATTTTTTTATTCGAAAAAAACCCTCGTTTTCTCCCCAAATGCACCCTCAAACATCCCGCCAAACAGTCCGAATTACGGGGCGATTCTCACGCGCAATCACTTGAAAAAAAAGAACCACCCACTTGTATTTGCCAACGTCTTGCAAAACGCCGAAAATCTTTGGATAAAGTATAAAAAAGCAAAAAAAGTGGGTAAGGTAGAAAAAAAAATATGTTTCAGTTTGTTAAAATTGGTAATGTTTTGATGTACCCCTTCTGTTTCTATAATCTTATGAGAACCCAAAAAAATGATTCATATCCCTTGTACAATTTGAAAAAAACTTGAAAAATCACCTTATTTATCACCAAAAAGCAAAGATTACACTTTGAAATTGGATATCTCAGTTGTCATCACCCATTATTTCTGGAACGTCTTCAAGGACTACACTTTTGAGGGAAAAATGTGAATATTTTCGTAAATATTTATTCTAGCAAGTTTTTGAAAGCGGTTTCCTACTCACGTTTCAACATACTACTCTCTCAAAAAATATTTCGTATTTTTTTTGTTTTCAAAGCCTTAGGGTTTTGGAATTCATCCTTTCAAGCAAGTGAGAAAAAGACCAAATTCATATCAAGCTTCGTAAAAAAGCCTCAGAAAGCTAATCATGATCGAAAATGTTCATTCAAATCCGCAAAAAAGGGCTGAAAATTCAGATAGGCTCCCATTAAAACATTTTTGAAACTCCCAACAAAATAACTTATTTTTTAATAAACCTTGGGAAAAAAATAATTTCAATATATTCAAAAATCTCACAATCAACTCTAGATCCCCATTTTCACAATTTCAAAGAAAAAAAGTTTTTCGAAAGTGTGAGTAAAATCTAGCCATTTTTCTCAAAAGCCCATTGATTTTTCCAATCAATCAATAAGCCTTTATCGATCGATTGTCAACACTCGAGATCAAAACAGCTTGCCAGAGGTCGTCACAACTTTTTTCCTCTCCCCGCCGGCCGCCGTCAACAACTTCTTCCTTCGTACTCCTCGGCGCCAACAATCACTTTTCCCCGAGAGAACTTTTTCTTTCTCTTTTTTTTTGCCGTTTCTCAAAAATGCTCTTGGTGCAGCTGCCATGCAACTACTGTCCATCCTCCTCAATTAACAAACAATTTTTTGTGGGCATGTTGCTTTCTTGAGGTGAGAGGAAAGAGGAAGTGCGGACGTGATTAATGGGTCCTACCTCACCTCAGTTATACGAAAAAAGGTGGAGAAGCACTTTGGATCGACTTTGAAGCTGAGAAAACCTTTTAAAAGGTTAAGATATCCTTGAGACCGTCTGACATGTCTGAGTCCTGATTTTTTTGTTGTTACTACACCGACGAGAGAGAAGAGAGCGCAGACAGGTCAAACAGTTTGTAATCGTGGAAGAAGATTTTTTTTGGTTTGGGGGGTTCTAACGCTCTCAAAACCAACGTCTTCTCAACGCTCTGTCTCCTTGCTGAGTTCTGATCTAGTCCCACGACCGAGACGTTTTCCCTTGTTGCTCAAGACACATTGCTCCGTTCTGACCGGAGCTCAGTCTGAGCGAAAATTGCATGGTCTAAGTTCTTCAGATGTACTTCTTTTTCATCTTGGGCCCTTGTACCGCTTGAGCGACGTCTGAGCCCCAAGTCGACGAGCCAAGGTCTTATCCTGATATCAGGGATTATCAGTGGATTCGCTCTAGTGACATATCCGTTCTTGTGTGTGTGTGACAGCTCATGATTGTGAAGCTGTGGTTTTTCCACTACCAGCACTTCTCAAACCGCTTGGCTGGGATCGAACTCGTGCTTGACGCCTTCTGAAACTCCCCAAACCTTCGACGCCTTCTCAACGCTCTGTCTCTTTGCTGAGCTCTGATCTAGTCCCATCCATGAAGACCAAAACGTTTCCCTTGTTGCTCAAGACACATAGCTCCGATCTGACCGGAGCTCATTATAAGCATAATTGCAGTGGTCTCAGTTCTTCATATGTACTTCTCCCCTTCTCCTTCTTCTTCTTCTTGGGCCTTTGTACCGCTTGAGCGATGTCTAAGCCCCTTGTGAAGCTGTGGTCTTCCCAATACCAACCCTTCTCGAACCCCTTGACTGCATCACGGCGGGGATCGAACTCGTGCTGGACGCCTTCTCAACGCTCCCCAAAAATGAAACCATGGGTTTCTTTAGTATTACATCGTTGCGGAAGGATAAGCGCCGCGGAAAATGGGGAGACGAAGGCATGGCAGCGATGCGGACAGTTGCCTCGCCCCCACACACACGCACACTCGGCCGCAGCACATACACTAGCATGCCGAGTTTTTCGAAGCGAGAAAAAAAAAAACGACGTCGAGCTGGACGAACGTCAACCTTGTTTTTTTTCCCGTCTTCTGCTTCAGTCGAAACTCGATAGTTGAACTTTGTCACGAGATTTTTGGAAGGAAAAAGTGTTTCGGGAAAAGCTGCAGAATGGTGTCTTATGGGTCGAATTGTAGCTGATCTTTGCTTCACTAGATTCTGGAAGTTCTCGAGAAAGTCTAGGAAAAGCTCCATTCTTATAAATGAAGGGATAGTTGATCTCACTGAACGTTCTAAAAGGCCTCGAAGACCCGAGGAAAAATCCAAATGAAAGGAAAATCGATTTTTGATGACTGAGATTCGTTTAGAGCTTCTAGAAAGGGACGCTTCAGAAGAGATTTCGTTAAAAGTTTCAACTCATTTTGGAGCAATTTATTTCGAATTTTCGCAAGTATCTGCATCGACTTCGATCAATAGATAAATAGGCTTTCGAGGCAAATCTAGAGCTCCCAAATCTTTAAGTAAACCGGTAAAAGTAAATTTGTATTAATAGCCAAGTTTCCAATTATCGATTTATTGCTCTTTTCACCTCTCTGGGGCAAAAAAATAATCCTGAATCTAACATATCTTCACAAAAAACTTGATACCAATTAAAAAACTGAAAAATCTCGGAATACATGACTTTCTAGCTGGAATAACCTCGCCCTGAACCTATTTTAAACCTGAATTTTGAAAAAATGAAGCCAATATAAAACTGAATATCCGCCAAGGTACGTCGAAAAGCCCTCCAAAATTATACTAGAAACAAAAATTTGCGAAAAAAAAATTTCTGACTTCTATACCAAGAAAAACAGAATGAACCTTCAAAACCATTTTTTCTACCACTTCCTGCCCAAATTTCGAAAATAACCTTCAGTCTCACAAAGTTTTCCAACAACAAGGCCGTTCGGAACGACTCAATAAAGCGTCGCGAAATACTTTTTAAACTTTTTCCCCCCTTACGACGAAGCCTACTCGGAAGCCATTGCAATCTACACACACACGCGAGGAACGAGCTCCAGATGTACGTGTGGAAAAATCACGTAGGGATCGGAGGAAAATCAAAAAATGATGAAAAAAGGGCTATGAAAGTTCAGGAAATGGTGCTCTTTTTGTAGGAAAATTGAGCTGGGATCATATTGAAACGAAAATAAAAGCGAATAATTCAGGGAATTTTGAGTTTGTGGACAACATTTGATTTTAAAAACTGTTCTTTTGGTTGAAAAAAAATTATTACAAGCAAAACGATCTCATTTGAGTACAGAAGTACTTGCTAGATTTTTAAACGAGCATGGATCAAAATTAAAAAGGTCTCGACACGTTTAAAAACTTTTTCCTGGCCTAGCAAAGCTTCAAAGACAAGCAAGGTTTCTAATAAGTTATCCTAATTAAAAAAATTAATTTGAAAAGTCAATTTTTTTAGGCGACCTACTCAATTTTGAACCCAGCGAAGTCGTAAAACAAAAAAAATCTATACTCCTATTCCCCCTGGCCGCTAAAAGGGAGAGGCTCGAAAAAGGCAGCAAAAAGGCCGCAGAAAGGCTCCAAAAAGGTCGCAGAAAGGCTCAAAAAAGGTCGCAGAAAGGCAGCAAAAAGAGTCCCTTTTTCGAGCCTTCCCTTTTTCTGGGACTTTAAAGGCTCGAGAAATGATGGAGAAAGGGAGAGGCAGCAAAAATGGTGAACAAGGGCTGAGAAAATGGCGCAAAAAGGCAGCAAAAAGGAGCCTTTCAGCAGCCTCCCGACTTTGTCTATGATATTAGTTCATCTTGACCTTATTTCCGTTTACCAATCAGAACAACCAAAAAAGCCATTTCTCTAAAAAAAAACCTTCTCATTAAAGGTAAATCCCCATGAATCAAACCCAGAAACTTTTCGTTTGAAATTATGTAACTAGAACATTTTTTTTAACCAGTGAAAGTAAATGATAGCGGAAATAACCAACTAAATTCGAAAAATGCATGATTACGAACCGTAGGCGTCTGCTGAATGGAGGGCTTCTGGGTAAAGCGCGGCGCGCCAATCATTTTATCGTGCGGCGCGCACGCGTCTTCGTCTCGTGCCGAAGATACCGGTGATTTTCGTTGGACCGACTTGTCGCGGGTTTCCGCCGAGCGACGACAATCTCAGTCACAACGACGGCCCCGAAGTCCAATGGGGTACCTGGAAGGGAAATCATTTTTCTTTTTAAATTTGAAAAAAGGGTGATTTGAGAAACTTCCCATGGGAAGACAGGTAGAAGGAAAATTTTCAAATCAATGAAATTTGCCAAGAAAATGAAAGGACGAGGAATAGAGTCAGAAAGAAACGTATAGACTCGAAGAATCGTCAAGAAGATCTAAATTTAACGAGGAGAGATATTTTTCTCGGATAAAAAATGGTTAAAAATTCCGAAAACTGCTGAAAATTACTGGACAATGATTAAAAAACACGAAAAGACGAGAAAATAAAATGAAACTTCTCAAAAATCCAAGCTTTCTAGCTCAAGAAAAAAAAGGCTTTTTTGAGATATCCTTTTTTGGCACGAGAAAAATTTAAAAAAATGTAAACACGCTGAAAAATGATTTAAAAGTAGAATTGATCAATTTTACGCTTATAACGACTTTAAGGATTACATAAATTGAAGAAGAACTGAATAACTTCAAACTTGAACAAGTTCAGCATAAAGTTCATGACAAGAGTACCACTAAAAAAAATTCAAGTTTAAAAACAATTTTCATAAATTTGAAAGCATAATTCATTATTTTTATCAAGTCCTAAATCAACACAGAACAACTCAAGTGTTAAAAAGATCCCTTCAAAGAAAAGCCCCTTGTCAGAAAATTAAAATAACCCATCAATCATAGGCAGGCCCCTTTTTTTCCAAAAAGCCGTCGAGTTTCAAGAGTTTCCGTTATTTATTTGATAAACAGTGATGAATGGCCGGTGATAAATCTTGGAACAAAAAGAAAAAATGAAAGACGAAAGAAAAGGTTGCTGGATTTCGAGTGGGCGTTTGGGGAGGTTGCTCCGATGTAAGAAAAATGCAGGAACAGGGGCACCAAAACTTCTTTTTTTTCGATTGATTGATCGATGAGATTGATTTGATCGAGGATCTTGTTAGTTACAATAACGATTTTTAAACAAAAATATTACTTTGAAACGGGAAATATTGTAAATAATATGAAAAACAAGTAACCATGGAACAGAACATTTTTGTTAAATGACCGTTTTAAAAAAATCTGAAAAACAGTAAATTTATAACTTCAAAAATATTCAGCTTCATTCTGAAACTCTCAAAAGTTATCTAACTGAAGAAAAAAAAGCAAAAATTATTTCGAAACCAAAAATTTATCAAAAAATCGAAAAATTATTATTGAGTGTACAAAAACGTTACAACGAGACCAATTTTGAAGCATTTTGAGATATGTTTCAATGATTTTTACAATACATTCTGTTCGAAATTGCTTCCTATGATATTCGAAAAATGTTATAATGTTTAATGGTGTTGAAGCAAAAGGTCATTCTCACTGTTATTTTGAGCCTTCCAGTACTTATTCACTCAAAAAACCTTTATAGATTTTTGAGCATAATAGCGAAGAAATTTAAAATGAAAAACCCTGAAAACTGCAAAAATATGGCTAATCATTTGACGCAAAACGCTCATAAACCGTTGATCGCTATTGATTTTGAACCCTTTCCAAAGAACATCAATACGCAGTTGTTTCAGTATACATTGAAATAACAAACTGAACGAGAAATCGAAAAAAATGAATGGAAAAGAAAAAAAAACGTAAAAAACGCCACAAGCATGTTTTGCGTCGCGGTGTAGGAACTCGCGGCGTTTTGATTTACGCCAAAACATGAAATTCCTCGAATCCCTCAACGATTTCCCTTTCTGAAGAAAGATTTCACAGTTTTAAGTTTGAAATAAAGTTTCATCTATTTACTTGAAACTGTGTTTTTTTGATAAATCCACGACGATAACGAAAACAAATTTTCAAAACATAAAAAGTCCTTCACTTTTTTTTGTAAAAGTTCATGTTTTTTTGAATTTTTGAATTATAGTTTTTTTGATTATTTTCACTTATTTATGAGTTTTTTTGAGCAAAAAAACAAAAATAGAAATAGTGAAGATCATTTTTTTGGGTACGAAAAAGTATTCCCTTTTTAAAAATAGGAATTCAAAGTTTTTTTCAGTGAGTAATCAACTATTCCCGTTTGGACTTTTTGAGATACAAGGTGGTTAAGGTGCAAAAATAATAATTTAAAAAAATTCAGAAAAATATATGTTTTTTTCATCGAGCTTTTTATTTTTTTAACGCACAACAATTTTTTTGTTGAAGCTGAGGTTTCTTGAAGCGCAAATTGAATTAAGAAAAAAATAATTTGCATCAAATTTTCGGGGTTTTTGATTTGACACGAAAAACTTGAATCTTTCTGTGATTCGCGTATGTTTGCAAAAAAATCAATAATCAAAACAAACGAAAACCAAAAATTTGGAAATCCTGAATTTAATTGAGTTGAAATTTATCACTTACGGGAACATTTTTTTGACCTGAGGGGCAAAAAAAGGCCGGCCTCCTTGAAAAATAAAGTGAGGGTTGGACGTGAAAAATTGATCAATAGATAAGCAAAAATATGGAGGTCCAAAAAAATATTTTTAGAAAAAAATGGGTTTTAAAATTAACTATTAGACCAAGGTGCAGTACCAGAGCCGAAAAAAACTGATCATTAGTTCTTAAAAAAACCAGTAGAAAAAAAAAGTTGATCTAAAACCAATCTGATAAATACTTAAACTATGGTATAAAAAATTGATCAGTAGTCCTAAAAGTCCTCAAAACCAGCTGAATGACTTCAGAAAAAAAAAATTAATGCGAAGAAGAATCGATGAGTAACGGGACCAAAATCAAAAAGATAACCTGAAAAAAATAAAATAAAAAAAGACTAGAAACAAGGGCGGATATATCGAGATGAGTGTATATGTGCCAAGCGGCGGCGAAAAACGCCGAGAAAAAGCCGAGTTTCGGTGGCTCCGCGGAGCAGCGGCGGCCGCCGTCGTCGGTGGGCGTGGCCGGCAAGCTTTCACTTGGGCGGTTCGGCAGCGGCTGCCACGCAGCAGCCGAGGCATTCAAGGTGGGCATCCGCCACTAAAAATAATACACAAAACAAAACACCTTTCCACACTCAACAGGGACCATTTTTTGAGCTTGATATTTTGAAATGAATCATGAAAAAAGGTCAGCAACTACCTAGTCGGGTTGCTTTGTTTCGGATTTCAGATTTTAAAATCAAGCTGAAACACCATGAAAAAACCCAGAATTCTTCCCTGGAATGTTTCTCAAGAAAATATGTTTTTGGATGTCTCTGAAACCTGAAATCGAAATAATGAAAACTGCCAAAAAAATCGGATTCGGGCTTTTTTTTCGTATCTCACAAATTTTCTGAACTCAGGTAATTTCGAAAGATAAACAACGAAATGAAAACTCCTTTTTCCCACAAGAACCAGGCTTTTTTTTTGAAACTTTTTTTGAGTTTTATATTTATAAATTAAGCCAAACAGCCTCAACATAAATTAGAAGCTTCCGTTTAGAAATCGGGCCTGTTTGACTTTTTTTGATTGTTTTGGTCACCGAACTCAATCACCTTAATAGAAAATCACACACGAAATAAAGAACCTTCTTTGGGAAATTAATGAAAAAAAAGTCTTTTTTTTTGAAATTCAGCCGGACTTTCAAAAAATGATGAACTGAAAGCTTTTTTTGGACCATTGAAATTTTAAAAAGCAAAGTAATATTTAATTAACTAAAAAGCCTTCTTAAAATGTTCAACCGCTCAAAAAATCTCTCCGGAAAGTTTTTTTGCCTCGAGACCTGTATTTAACTATGTCTATGCTCCTTTAAACCTGTTTCGAGTAAAAAACAATAATAAAAAAGTTGGAAAGCTCAAAAATATCTTAAAGAAGCTTTTCGCCTTGAGACCTATATTAAACCATGTCCATGCTCCTTTAAACATCTTTTGAGTAAAATGTCCTAAGAAAAATTTTGGAAAGCTCAAAAATATCTTAAAGAAGCTTTATCGTTTCGAGACCCTTATTAACTATTCCTATGTTCCTTTAAACCTGCTTCGAGTAAAATAACACAATAAAAATGTTGGAAAGCTCAAAAAAATCTTAAAGAAGCTTTTCGCCTCGAGACCTGTATTTAACTATGTCTATGCTCCTTTAAACCTCTTTCGAGTGAAGTACCATAATAAAAAATTTTGAGCGGCTCAAAAAATCTCTAGAAAAGCTTTTCGCCTCGAGACCTGTATTTAACTATGCCTATGCTCCTTTAAACCTCTTTCGAGTTCAATATACTTAAAGAAAACACAAAAACAACAAACAAGACATGAAACGACTTTCAATTCAGTTTAACACCGATATAAAAGCCGTTTGGTTGGTCCGCGAGGCGACTTCTTACGTCAGTAAAAACAAATCGAGAGACGGGGGCTGTTGAAACAAAAAAAAGGCCCAGGAAGTGGACTTTTGCTTGGCATTTGCCCCCGTTTCTCAGCAAATCGATTGATTCCTGATCATTGATCACATTCTTGATGGAACTGGATGATTTTCCATGAATTCCTGGAAATATTATAAATTTCTGGCCGAAAACGCAGTCCTAATGCGGACCAAAGTCTCAAAATTTGGCCGAAAATCGTCCCAAAGCGAAAAAAATTCCGAAAATCTAGCAAAAATATCCTTTTTCTCATGAATGGATATTGAAGTCAAATTTCAAGAAATTTAAAAAAATTTCCTCGAAGATCCTCGAATATATAATTCTCGCTTGGAGAGCCATAAATCTTGAAAATGGCAAAACCTTCTTTTTTCTTTCACTTTCCTGTTTCAAAATCAGAATCAGTTCTTGCTGATAAATCCTAAAAATAAGAAGAGCATCATTAGGAATATTTTGGTACCAAAATCTCGAATTTAGAAAACCTACAACTCCACTTATGATTTTTCAAAAAGTCTACATACCCTCTAAAAATGAGCTCAATCGGAGACTATGAGATTTTCGACTTTTGAGGGTCCATAACTTTTTTCAATGACCTAGGTGTCAGTTTTTGAGATCGGATTCGGAATCAGCATGAAAACTACATCTAGAAAAAAATGCTGTCGAAGTCCGAGCAGAGACCGTTCCCTGGTAAGAAGGATTTCTCAAACAGCCCATTATTTTCCATTATTAACTCATCTCAACTTCCAAATATGTCAATCTTACCTTGACAGGGAAGTAATTATCACAATTGACACCTGAGCAAGCTTCCAAAAAAGGTGCCGTCGCACATTTTTCGCACTTTTCTCGGCCCTCCGGCATGAGAGCTTAATCAGGGGGCGGAGCCTACCGATTAGTATAAATAGGCACCATCAAATGGTAAACCTACCCGACTTTATCCAAATCTTTGGAACGTCACTTTTCTCCTCCCAAGCTCACGTCATCAAGATGAACGCCGTCATCGACATCGCCGCCATCGTCGCCGGAATCGTCGAAAAGGCCCGACGACAGGAACAGTGGATGACACGTCTTCAGAATCTGAAGACGTGTGGAGACCAGGTTCAGGCCGAGTTCGACAAACTGACCTTCTACGTGAGTTTTGAATTGAATTTTCAGCATGAAAGCTTTTTTTCAGTTCGATTTGACGCACAAGATGAGAGGGATCAATAATTTTACGAGTACCGATGCCCGATGGATGATTGTGGGTTTTTTCTCGTTTTTAAACTTTTTTCGATAACATTCAAGTAGACTTCGACCCATCTAGTGAGACTTCCAATACCTTTTTAGCTCCTAGAAACTTTTTGAATAGCTTTGGTCATTTCTAAAAGTCTTCTAGGATCCTCCAGAACTTTCTGAAAGAATTTTTGGTTTTATAAAAGATACAAGTTCCTTTTTGAAACTTTCAAGAAGCTCAAAAAGACGTCAGAAAGCTGAACTCCTTGAAGACGTCGGAATCTTTTTCAGAGCGTGGCTCAGAAGATCCTAACGACGCTGGACGACGACCTGGTGGTTCTGGAGAAGGAAATCGCAGACCTGACCCTTCTCCACCGAAGAACCGGCCAGAAGATCGTCAAAGAGGTCCTGAAAAAGGCACATAACATCCGTTATGAATGCCTTCGCCTCTGTGAAGCTTTAGGCCGTTTTCAGCACAACTGCGTGAGTTTTTATTTTCATTTTTACTTGCAATGAAAGGAATATTGGATTGGACCAGATTCTTTATTTTTTTCAATGCATTTTTCAATTTTTAAGTCACGTACTTTATAGAGGTTCGACATGTTCTACGCTATAATGGTCAAGGAACTCAAGTACAACGTCGGCTGTCTTCAATACGCTGTGGGACAAGTCCCTGACTACGAGAAAATTCGTCGTGAAATCAGGTTTTGAATCATTTTTATGATTATTCTGATTATTATAATACTTGTTCTGAATAATATTGAAATGAGTTCGAGTTATTTGTATATTGTTTATTTCTTCCTGATTTGTTCCTTTATTTTATATATCATCAATAACTTTACCACTTATTTGAACTCTCTTATCTTCCCTCCAAGTTATTGGACTATTTCTCCATTCCCAATGAACAGGTATTTTGATTATCTGATAACGGTTCCCATTTCATTCCTGGTAAGATTTCTCCTATTTGATCGTATTATCATTATTATTGTTTCTAATTATATTGTTGAGCTTAATAAATTATTTATATCATTAAACTGTTTTAAAATCATCAAACAAAAAACAAAAAACGAGTCAAAACCTAAAAAAAAATACGAAAACTTTGGACAGAGAACTCGATCATCATCTTTGGACAGTAGGAAAATCGCCAAGTTTCACTTGAAGGAAGGGGAAATTAGGATCTCAGGTAAATAAAAAACATTTTTCTGATTGGTACCGAATCCTCTAATTTAGGACATCTAGAACTTTAGTTTTCATTTTTTTTAAATGTTAGCAAAACTTTACAAATGAAAAAAAAAATAGTCTGGAGGTCTCAAAATGGACATATTATGGGGTTCTGTAGGTTTTTAAGTTCTGAACCAATAGCCTCCATAGCTTAAGTGGTCCCTAGAGGGGTCTTTAAGTTTCATTTGAAAAACGCTTGCATGGAAATGCTTCTCCGCAGAGAGTACATAAAGTTCTCAATTAGAATGCCCCGATAAGGGCCACTAACTAAAACCCCTTTAGGGAACATTTTTGCAAGCTTTAGTGGCCCTTATTGGGGTTGGTAGAGTGGTCGCTGAGATTGCCCCTATCCCTATAGGGACCATACTGGGGTTCTAAGGCTTGAAGCGAGTGCTGCCGAGGAGAGCACCTCCCAGTGGGCGGTATTTTTCGTGTCGGGCTAGATTTTGGTTGAATGGGAGATAGCAGGAATCACGGACGCTTTTCTGAGGTGTTCTAAGAAAGTTCAATCAGTAAAATCTTCATTTTGAGCATTTCGGTACTAAACACCGAACTGGGAGAAAGAATAGTTGAAATTTCGGTCAATTTTGAGGTCGAAGTTGAGGCGGCTTCAAAGTAATTTTCAATCGATTATTCTGACATCCAACGGTTTTGTAACGGTTTCAATCATGAAGTTTTAACATTTTCATCATAATCCGTCAAAAAAAAAAATGGCAAACAACGCTAGCGACAAAAAGATTCGAACCTTCATCATAGGCTTCGCAGGCTACTGCGCTAGCCACTGCACCATGCTCCCAGCTGCCATGAAATGGCTTGTCCTGCGGTCACATTCCTTCCGAACATTGTCACGTGTTAAAGGACAAATACTTTAAAAAATCATATCTACAAAACGAAAATTTTGCGCAGATAGCGGCTATGTGGAATCGATTCCCTGTCCATCAAAGAATGTTTGAGCAAATTTATAGAAAATTCCAAACTCTACGCAAAAATGACCTTCCATGTGAAAAAGATGATTTCCAATGATCAAATGAACACTAGGTCGGCCAAAAAAACACAAGAAATGAAATCGAAAACGTGAATCCGGGAAAAAAGAATCACTATTTTTATGATGGCGTTCCTGGCGATCGCCTGGGCCGCGATTCTGCTCATTCCATTGATTCAGTGCTGCAAGTCGCGACCCAAAGCCGAGAAGGGCAAAACATTGGCCTATCAGACACCCAAGGGTCCCATTAAGGTAGGAAATTCCAGAATCAAAATATTATTTTTCGGGAAAAAGGGTTTTTCGACAGCAAAATGTTTAAAAAATGTTTTATTTCGAGCTATCTGTCAAGGTTTGGAGTTAAAAAAACAGAGAGAATTTTTGAAATCGGGTTTTCGGACTTTTCGCGTAACTTAAGAAGCCAGTGAATTTTCAAAATCAACTAAAAATGGCCAAAAACCTTGAATTTCCTCTCTGGAACAGCAAAGTCCCTTAAAAAACCCCAAGAAATCGCTGGTTCCAAATAAAAATCTGAAGAAATTTCCAGCTGAACGAAAAAGTTCGACCCAAGGAAGATCTGGAAGATAAAAAGTCCGACGAAAACGTGCCCAAATTAAAAATTTCTGAGTGAGTTTTTGGACAATATTCCACCTTATTGAACTTTTTTCCAGTGACGATGTTTTCAAAAATCTGAAAATTAACTTGCCGAATGACGGTCAGGTTTGATTCGAAATTTTTTTTTTCCGCCGAAGAAGAAATTTTAGAAGTCGTTCTACACGGTAGAAGACGACGCGAATCCGCTGGCCAAGATTGGACCCTCGAAGACTCATTTGTCCCGAGGTTCGGCCCTAGGATTGATGGGAAGAAATTAGATATTAGTGGCCACTTAAGAGATTTCTCGAAGACTACTTGGAGAGGTCACTAAAGTGGACATTAAAATCCTCTCATGTAGTCGATTTTTTCCGCCGCGATGCGTGTGCGTCGCGGCTTTCGGCGGGAAAACAGTTAAATCGAAATCGTGAATTTTTAGTAGTCTAGTAGTACCCCTTGGACTTCTAAAGAGATCACTAAACTTCAGCCACTTTAGTGTAGGGACCACAGACCTATTTTTAGAACTCAAGCTAGCTTCTCGTTTTTGTTATAAATAAATAATGATTTTAACATGTAGTATGCGAAAACAGAAAAGAAAAACGAAAAATATTAAGAATAAGAAGAGAAAACAATATTTAAAAGTAATCGAAAAGCAACATTTTTTGCACTGAAAATTTGGTTTGCAAATTCTCATGCAATTTGCGCGCACTCTTATTTGCAAGGGCGGCACGGTTTCAGGAGCCAAAAGAGAAGGTTTTACGAGCTTTAATTCCACTTCACCATCCCTTTCGTCTCAGTGACTGCACAAATACAGCCTACAGTGCTCTTTGAGTCTCATGGAAATGTAATTTCGCCCACTTTTATTCATCTTTTTTTGTTGAAAAAAATTTTTTTCGGCGATCTTGAATTTTCGATTTTATTACTTTATTTGTTTGAAAATTGAAAGCTCTTATAAATGAGTAAGAAAAAACGCGTGTCTTCGACCGGCAAATGTTTCAAAACAACTCGCAAAAAACTCTCCAGCTTTTTTACCACTCAAAACAGTACATTTGCTTGTACAAGTATTATTTGAGCATTGTTTTTTTCTACCTTTTCTACATGTATGCTGAAATTTTCATCATTTTTCATTGTTGCTATCGGCTGTATGAAACAATCAAAGACGGAATACCAAAAAAATGGCCTTTTTTCCATCGCGAAAAGGGGCGGGGCTTTGCGGTCGCTACTTTAGTGGTCACTTATTCGACCACTAAAATGACCCCTAAAACGTCAAAACCCCTATCGGAATCCTTTTGTGGGGATTGTGTTCACTGATTCAGCAAAAATGCCAGAAAATCTTCTTTGAAAAATGTAAAATGATCAATTTCGTAGCCATTTGAGCCATTTGATGAAAACACGCGCTTTGAAAACTTAATTTTCTAAATGGATTATGAAAAGGGATTTTTTTTTTCGAATTTTAGAAGCTGCCAAATCGACGGAAAAAAATAAGCCGAAGCCAACGACAACGCCAACGCCAACGCCAGCGGCAAACGTACCGGAGCAAAAAGTGGGCGGATTTGCAATTTTCGAGAAGCTCCAGAGTGGTCTCTATAGGGGCAACCTTAGGGCCATTCGAGGGGCCACTTTGCCACCCCTATAGGAGCCACTTATGCTTGCAAAGGGCTTTTGGTTAGTGACCACTATAGGGGACATGCTCGCTGTTATGAAGTCTAATCGAAGTCGCAGAGGAAAAACTGAATAAATAATGAAATGAAATTTTTGAATGAAATTTAGAGACCCCTATAGGGTCCACTAGAGCTTTAGGGGCTAAGGGGTCAGACCCTAAACCCCTATAGGGACCACCTTGACGTTAACCTTATTTGGACCACTTTTTCGGCCCCAAGTTCTTTTTTTTCAAGTCTCAGGAGGAAGAGCCGATTTTTCGCGTTTTTTAAGCCTAGTCACCCTTTGAAGCTTCTCAAAAAGGGTTCTTGAACTTCAAAAATCGGTCAAGAATCAATAAAAAGTGATTTTTTCGTGATTTCAGGTGGAATCTCCACAAACGGAGGTTAAAAAAGATGTGAATACGGCGGAGGAAGACAAGGATAATAGTCCGAAAAAGGGTAGCAACCACAAAACCGGTGGCATCGACATGACCCAGGTCATTTCCCCGTTTTTTCGCTGTCTGTGCTCTCTTTTCCCTCATAGGAGAGATTTGCCGAGGGGCGAGAGAGCGCAGAGAAATTAGACATAAAATGGGCTAACATGAGCAATAATTAGCCAAAGTGCGTTGCCGATAACCTCGAAAATTAATTGGTATGAAAAAAAACTGTATCATTTTTTTTTCTCAAAAAAAGTTTTTTTGCTGTATGCGCTCTCTTTTCCCTCCTGTTCATCGGTGAGAGCTGCCGAGGGATGAGAGGGTGCAGAGAAATCAGACAGTTCCAAGCTCCCATCAACTTGGAAACACACCTGTGATTTATAGCCTTAAAATGGGCTAACATGAGCAATAATTAACCAAAATGAGTCAGTCACCAATAACCTCGAATATAAATTGGTACAAGAAACTGTATCTTCATTTTTTTCTCAAAAAACTTTTTTTTCGTTGTCTGCGCTCTCTTTTCCTTTCTGCTCATAGGAGAGAGTTGCCGAAGGATGAGAGGGCACAGAGAAACCAGACTGTTCCAAGTTCCAAGCTCCCATCAACTGGAGAGTGGAAACACACCTGTGATTGATAGCCTTAAAATGGGCTAGCATGAGCAATAGTTAAAATGAGTCACCAATAACCTCGAATATAAATTGGGTCACCAATAACCTCGAATATAAATCAGTACAAAAAACTGTATCTTCATTTTTTTTTTTCAAAAAAATTTTTCAGGCCTCCAAAGAAGTGGACGATGAAGCTAGAACCGCGCAGGAGGTATTTTTTTTTCTTATAAAAAGATTTTTCAATCAAAAATTTCAGAAAAAAAGGGGTCCAAAGGGTCGGCGGATCGTTCAGTGGTTGGATTTTTGAATTTGAAAACTTGAGGGCTTTTCTCTTTTTTTTCTTGCTCGAATCAAACGATTTGAGAATTTCTTACATTTTTTTTTCAGGAACTGAATCAGTCGGTTCACATCCAGAACTACTCAGTCAGAAAGAGCAACGAGGTTCGAAATTTAGAAAATATTTGAAGATTTTCTTTCAGACTATGATGTCCACGAGGAAGCCGATGACGAAAGCGGATAAGGTAGGTGAAAAATGTCGGAAAATTGCCAAGTTTGGATGGATAAATTCCTTTTTTGGATAATCCTTGTAGTGGTAAAAAAATCCCTAGGGTCAAAAAACAGTTGACGGATGATTGCTAAATAAATTTTTCATTACAAAAAGCTCGTTTAAGAAAAAAAAAACTAATTTTAAAGAGCCGCACGGCGTTTTTGTTAGTGGAAGAAAAAAATTATGGGGGCCGTTCCCAAGTGACGTCATCGGAAATACGCGTAAACAACAGAAATTATTAAAGGCGCATGTTCAATGGGTCATGAGACGAATCTTTTTTTCATTGAAAAAAACGCCATTTTTTTTGCTTCTTTTTGTTTTAAAACACTTGCCGTGTTGAAAGTGATTCCGCGAAATTTAAAATAGCCACCAGAGAGTGGAAAATATAACAGAATTTCAAAAGTTCAGATATGATTTCGAAATTTCTTTTTTGCTTTTTTTTTCCAGTTTCGTAGAGTGGCGGTCCCATTTTTGAACAGCAAAAAAAAAGCAACTCAATGTGACGTCATTGGAAAAACGCGTCAACAACAGGAAATATTAAAGGCGCATTCAATAGGTCATAAGACGAATCTATTCCTCTTTCAAAAACGCAATTTTTCTGTTTTTTTTTTCGTTTTAAAACACATGCCGTGTTGAATGTAGTTCCGCGAAACTGCGCAAAAATTACGGTGGCGTGTGCCAGAGCGCCGCAGTGTATGCACACGACACACTACACTTTACGGAATTATGGGCGGGCCGGCGCCAAAAAAAATGCCGTACGAATACCACTGATCCATTCTAAAAATGAACTTTTTGACAAAAATATGGCACTAAAAATGCCCAAGGCAATCTTCAAAATAACCAAAATTCTTAAAGAAAGCATTCAAAAATTAAAAGACGGCAGCTACTGGATTTAAATCGCCGGAAAATCCAATTTTTCGGAATTTTACAATTACAGATTATTCAGTCTTCAGAGTAAGATGTAGAAGAAATCTCTGCTGAATGATGGTTTAATCGAAGAGTTAGTCGTCGGCACGGGTTGCGGTCCACAATCGTTGTCCATTAAGTCCCGGCATGACAGCTAGCGTTGGGAAATAATGTGGTCCCGTTGGTAGTACCAGCGAATAGACTGCGTCACCATGTTGGAACAGTACAGCGCCTAGCTTGTCCAGGCCTGACGGGCGTCGGAATATTATCCCATGAGAGAGCGGCAATGAGACCGACCAGTCGACGTGATGAAATGAGATAATAATCTTTCGGAATTTAAACTGGAATATCCATGACCCTTTGTAGACACCCAGAATATAGTCTGTTCAAATTTTTAATGTCAAGTGCAATGACGTCATTCAAAAACACTCTGTGGATGGCTCGCTCTCTGATTGGTTTATCGCACCATTAGGGTCGGAGCTTGAGCGACGACTTGATATTCAAAATCTGAACAGACTATATGCGAAAGTTTTCTGAGAGTTATAAATTTTCCCTTCCTTGATTCTACTTGAAAAGCTGTACGAAAAGGGGATATTTTCTCAGATCAAGTCCAACGAATCGAAGCGAAAGACCAAGCCTGCCGTTGTACAGGTGCGATTTCATCGAATTTTCGTTCGGATTTTTCAAAATTTTTCAGGAATCGGCACTGGGACCGGATGGGGAAGCCACGACAGCCCTCGAGAGGAAAACTCCGAGTTTGAATTTTTTTTTTTTTGACTGATTCTTGTTATCATTTTTTTCGAATGGCCTTGAAGTTACGTACGGACATAGATGAGAACATTTATGGACCTCAGAAAGAGCTCCAGCTATTAAAATGATAGAAAAAAGCTTCTAAGCTCCTTTTTGAGTCCTTTGGAATCGTTTTAGGTTCTTTTCAGTATTTTATTTGAAAAAAGTGCAAAAGTGAGAAAAAAGACATGTTAGGGACCTTCAGAAGGAGCCATACAAAAAATTTAAAGCAAGGATTTTCAAAAAAGTTATGACCTTTCCTCGTGACAAGTCAAGAAAAATTGAACTTTTCAGGGATCTGACCCCGTCGAATCGCCTTCTTCCAGACTTTTCCTTTCCTTGTCGACCTATTTTCTCTACATCCCTTTTTCGTGAGCACAGTCGACGTTTTTAAATAAACATTTATTTCGGAACTCAACGTTTATTATTCCCAGATCCTCTGAAAAAAGATTGGATTTGCTCAAAATGAAAGTGAGAATGTGTCTAGTTATATAATGTGTACCACGACTTGGAATTTTATGGAACGACATTCCGCTGTTCCGCTGTGCGCCTTTGCGAGCCTTGGTCGCGCTTTCAATTTTTTTTTTTCTGTCACTAAGGTATAGTCAATGTTTCCCGACTTGAAAAAAAAGGGAGGCGGGACAGGGGGCGGGACGCGTAGCGTGTGCGTTCGCGGTTCTTAACACGTGTTCAATTCAACCGCCATCTACTCTTTGAAAAGCCCGTCTTCCGCTTTTTTCATTCCTTTTTCAATTATTTATTGATTATGTTCATGTGTGCATAAAAAAATAGTAGAAAAAATTGAAAAAGAGCGGTTGTCGAGCTTTTTGAATAGTCGGCGACAATCGAATTGAACTCGTGCCAAGAACCGCGAACGCACACGCTACGCGTCCCGCCCCTTGCCCCGCCTCCTTCGTCTTTCAAGTCGGGAAACATTGACTATACTCTACTTTCATGTGCAATAACAATCAATTGAAAGAGTACTTAGATTCGTAAGACGCTTCGCGAACGCACGCAGCGGAACAGCGGAGTGTCGTTCGGTGAAATTTCTACTCTATGTGACGTCATTGGAAAAACGCGTAAAACCAGGAAATATTAAAGGCGCATTCAATAGGTCATAAGATGAATCTATCCTCCCTTTTCAAAACGCAATTTTTCTGTTTTCTTTTTCGTTTTAAAACACATGCCGTGTTGAAAGTGATTCCGCGAATTTTAAAGTAGCCACCAAAAAGTGTAAAATTTAACTGAATTTCAGAAATTCAGATATGACTTTCAACTTCTTGAGAACTTGGCGTGTGCCAGAGCGCCGCAGTGCATGCACACGACACACTGCACTTTACGGAAAAAATATAGGCGGGCCATCGCCGAAAAAACGCCGTGTTAGAGACCGAAATCTTGGACATGACCAACCTCCTGAAATAAACTAAATAAATTGAAGTTCTTTTCTTTAGAAAGACCCAGCCCGCGAGAAAAGCTTCAAAGTACTCTTTCAACATCAGACAAGGAATCAAATTTCAAAGTTTATATCGTCGATACGACTACAAATTCCAAAGAAAAGGGGCCGATACACATGAAGAAATCGGACATGTGAGATCAAAGAGAGAAATTTCTCATTTCTTCTTGTTCTTGTTCTTGCTGCACTTCTCGATTTTGTCGTCCGGACCCGTTGGATGTGGGAGTGCTTTCTTCATCTCCACGTAGTCTCTGGGGACCTTCTTCACCGGGTTGATTCTCCAGTGACGGGCATTGTAGAGAATGCCGATCCTCCGAGCAACCTGCTTCTCCTCTGGAAACATTCCATCAAGATTGAAAACGACCAAATCTCAACTTATATGGCGTTTTCTCATCGTGAGAGGCGTCTCGCCGGGCAGAATGGCTTCATTGAGTCTCGTCGTCTCTGAAAAACTCGTTTTTGAGGCAAAGAGGCTGTGATTCTAGAAAAACCAAAAAAAGTTCAGAAAACTGAATTTCTTTGTTTTTAGCACTTCACGTTCACTGGAAAAAAACGGCTATCACGAATTTTCAAAAGAAAACTTTTTTTTGTTTTTTGATTTTTCTTTGGAAGTCTTCGGCAACTTAATAGAAGGTCAGAAATTACAGGCCTTTTCTCTTAAGAAATTATTTGTTACTCATTTTTCTACTCCTACGGAAACTCGCGTCCGAAAAAAAGACGAAACCCACTATCAAAGAAGTAAAAATAATTCTTCGCAGCGGAATGCAAGCGCAAAGCGCGGATTCTTTCCTGCTCCTCTAACAAGTTGTACAGCTCCTTGTCCTTCGAGTCGCATTTGGCGCGGAGCTGCACCAGTTCGTCGAAAAACTCTGGAACAGAGGACAACGTGATGACTACCACCTTGCACATCGAATCTCACTCGAAACATCAAAATCGTCTTTGAGCACATCTTTACATATCGGTTTCTCCGTTTTTGTTCGACGGCAATTTCGATTTCGGGTCCTTGTTTTTCAATACCAACGGTCTCCAAGATTTCTCGGTCAGAAATTGCAGTCGTTTGTTGACACGCTTCATTGAGTATAACCAGAACTAAAAGCGAAAAACAGATTTCCTTCAAGTTGGAACTCTTTGTTCACCTTCTTTGTGAGTCACGAAAAATTTATCGAACTGATGGCACATCAACGTGAACACGGTAAAAGCGTCCCCTGTAAAAAAGTCTTCCTTTTCATCTTACGATCGAGAGAAGAAGTAGTGAAAAAATGCTGAAGCACGATTTCTCTTCCAATCGACTTCATAACATTTTTTTAAAAAAATTTAAAAAAACAAATAAAGTTCTTTTTACATGCTTCAAGATTAAAAAAATAAAAATGTTCATTAGAGGATGCTTCAAAGAGAACCTCAGGGGACTTGTCAAGTTTTTTTCCAAGCATCTCTTTTCATTGAAAAATTTTTCCCTCAATCGGGAATGGTTTCGACTAATTCAGAAAAATTGATCAAAGTTCGTTTCCTATCAAATGAAACCATTTTTTTCTCTAATTTTTGAAGAATACGAATCGAAGAAAAACTCACTCAAAAACTTTCGACGGCATATCAAATTCGGGGAAGTAGACCGGGGAGTTCGGAGCAATCACCAGCGGCTTGCAGTTTTTTCTGTCGACTCGACCCAGCGGCAACAGTTGCGGCAATGGCTCAATCTCAGGCGCCTCGTTCTTCTTGTCTTCCATTTTTGGTGCGACTTTCTTAGACTCGTTTCTCTTCTGCTCAGCTTTTGGTGTGGTGGTATTGGTTTTGCTGAGAGGCGTATCCTCGCCGGCCTTTTTCCGATTTTGCTCTTCAGGCTTTTTTTCGTACCCTTTCCAGGGCTGTTTGGCATTCTCTTTCAATTTCTTGCCATTTTCTGGTTCCTTCGGCAAAACCCCACACTTCTTCGCCAGTACTTTCATATCTTCAGTAGGATTCTTTCGACGAAAGTCTGAGACGACTTTCGTATCCTTGGGTGCTTGGAACTGTTCGCCAGCCACGTGAGCTTTTTTGACGATCTCCAGCTTTCTTAGAGCTTCATCGAACTCTGGATTCGCATCTAGGACCTTGACACCGTCATCCTTGGGGTATTTTGGAACTTTCGCAAAGTCAACTTCGGGATTCACAATTTTGTTAGACTTGAACTTGTCCAACTGAGTGATACTTATCCGGTGCCAAAACTTCATCTGATTTCCTAAAATTCGAAATCAAAACAATTCACGCCTCGTTGTTAGCCATCTTCGACTTTCTGAGAGCTGCATTTTGGTCTTTTTATCTTCCAAAAACTCAATTTTTCTGCTCAAAGTTGTTGAGAGCGTCGGGAACAAATTTAGGACGACGATTTTTTTTTTTCATTATTACTCAAGGTTGATTCTCCCGAAATAGGATATTATTCATAGAATAGAACTACTTTCTCAACTTCTCTGAATAAACGCAGAATAAAAGTCAACTAACTGAGACGGGCGACCTTCGATGGACGAAAGAGAGGGATCGATTCAACTGAAATCTCAAATGAAACACGCCAAAAACTGAGGAACTAACGGATTTTGTGATCGTGCTCCGACTGCGTCGCCATGATTGTACAGATGAGCTGCGTTGCGTATGAGCCTCAAGTCAGATAATTAGATCGAGAATTTGAATCAAAAATCAAACAAAAATTGTTACAAATTTGCAAGGAAGCTAATTTTACTTGGCAAGAAAAAGAGCCTGCTCAGTTTTCCATTCTTTCATAAACCTTCAAAGTCAGAGAAATCACTCAAACCCCTCCAAAAACGGCCAATTCAGGGCATTGAGCCATTATACCTTAGAAACTGAACATTCGGGCAGATGAGATTCTGACCGTTAACAAAAAACCACTAACCACATAGTAAAATGACCTCCTTATTAGGTATGATTAAACAAAAAACCACTTGAAAAAATATTTAAAGCTTCGCTGTGGTAAAAATGTGGGTCGGAATCAAAGCATTACAGTCTTCCAAACAAGTTTGTTTCTAGAAAGGAGACTAGAATGCTCAATTCAATAAACATCACAAAATACTCACTGATAGACGCGAGAGCAATTTCCGTTTTCTTTTCCTGTTTTTCCTTCAAGGCAGCCATTCTCGATGCCCAAATGTAGACAATCACCAGGCCCAAAATCATGATCAGAAGGGCGACCACTGCTACGGCGACCAAAATATCTGTAATTTGAAACGTCTGCTGAATTCTGATAACTATTCAAGTTTCTTAGGACTATAATATGGAAAAACTCAAAAATTCAGAAAAATTTCAATAGAGTTTCTGATGAAACAGAACACCCCGCAAAGCGATCACTTCGCCAAAAAAAGCCTTTTTTTCTCAATTTCAGCTCGGCTCTCCGAGTTTTTTTGTTTGAGAGCCACTTCATCGAGAAATAGAATAAGGTTTTTCAATTTCTTAAACTCATTCTATTTTTCAATGAGGTTGTAGACCGGAAAAATAAGAAACTTTTTCTGTAAGGACAAACGATTTTCGACGGAATTTTTTTGTCTCAAAAAAACGAAAAAAAGAGACGAGGCCAGCTAACGTTTTCCTCCAATATGATTAATTCAAACAGAAGTTCTTATAAAACCTTTTTAGGAAACTCACAATTGATAGGGCAAACTTTGTCTTCGTCAACCGCAGCGCCAGCCTTGGGGTTGGTCTGAGCCGGGGCGCAAACCAGCGGCGAGTTGGTGGAAGAACGGAGAGACGTCGTTTGGTTGCCAGCCATCTTCGTAGTCTTCGTCGTCGTTGTCGTGACGATCGAAGTCGTGGTCGCGACTGTCGTTGTCAGTGTTGAGCATTTCGAAAGCATCTGGAAAAGGAAGAGTTAGAGAAACAGATATTAGAGATAGGCGGAACTCAATTTTGAAATTGCGGAAAGCCTCAAGAAGCACAACTTTTGCATTGTAAAGGTGAAATTTTTGTTCTTTTTTCCATTTTAAAAGATATGTTTTGATTGTTAGCGGGTAAAAACAGACGATTGCACTACGAAAAATTCTCAAAAAGTTGAATAAATTTTCTAGAAGGGGGTCTCTGATAAACATTCAAGCGACATACTTTGTTGGCGACACTTTCCAATCGGTCTTTCCAGATTTCCTTCGAATTCCCTTTGACAACGACGAGGTCCTTGTTGACACAGTACGGTCGAATGTCATCTACGGTGATCGTTTGGAAGTTTAAGAATGATGAATCATCCAAACGGGCATCCTCCAAATATATCGCTGGTCCTTCAAACACAAGATTTTTATCTTCGAAACTCAAATTGTTTGCTATTAGGGCTCTAGGAAGAAGTTGAATGTTAGAAGAGAATTCAAATGAAAAAATGGATTTAAAAAAACGTTATTTTAAGCCAATGAAGATATGAATAAGAACTGACCCAGCCCTTTGTGGACAACTTCCACGAGACTTTTGAACATAAGAGGCGCAATGTCCTTGCTGTCGATGATGGTCAAAGTACCAATTTTCGTTGTCGTCGGGAAATAAGGGAGGAACTGTGCACTATTAACGTCCGGCTTTTCTATGTGAATCGACGCTTCGAAGCAAGTCGATTTCACGCACTCAGGCGGAACGGCAGTACCAGTGGTATAGCACAGAACAGATCGTTTGCAGCATGAATCTGGAAAAAGGCCATTTCAAGCTGAATACAAACGAAACGCTTTTCCTCTAAAAATTGACCTTTTTAAAAATTTGTTTTGTTTAGATCTCGTTTCAAGATCAAAAACCCCCGTCATCCCTGATAAGAAATTATTTTCTTTTAGAATTGGTTCAGACTAATTTGTTTCACTAAGATTTGGTTTTCACGGTGTTTTCCTACAGTAAGCCTGAAAGTGAAGTTAGCTTTTAAGCTTTTGAGCCTATTAAAATAGGATTTGTTCTAAATATTCAGGAGGTTGTTTACTTTCTATGATAGCGAGAAGAGCTCTCAGGAACGAAGATGACGTTTTTTACAAAATCTTTTGGCGTTTGATTTTCTGAGAGAACGCTTAAAGGCAAAATTAATTCGTGTTTCTTCAATTTCGACAACCAAATCAACATGGGCCACCGAACAGCCTTGGAATAAACGACACCCTTCAGGGAAACCCTACAAAGTTAGTGTAACGGGATTTCGCAAAAATTTAAGCAAAAAAAAAAATCATAAATTGAAGTTTTTTCGAAAGAAGTTGAAACAGACCAGCGGCTGCGACTCCCAGAAACAAGATTGCTGTGTAGACGATGAGTGGAACCTTCGTACCGAGAGACCATGCTGAAACCCTTATTAGATGAGCTGTAAAAAATTAAGAGACTTGATAAGAATCCAAGGAGGCAGAATGTGCCACGTTCCAATCTATGTTAATGCCTATTTTGCTTCACGGCCTATTTTTGATGAAAGATAATCCAATAATATGGTGGACGGAGTTGAAACCTCAGCCGTTCATCCGTGATGTCATAGGAACGGCAGAGATTCCGGATCTTAGGGCGTAAATAACAGGGAAAATGCAAGAGGCCTTGCCGTTTACATACTGAATACGCCGTTTTCTTGCGCGAGAGCGACGCAGTGCATGCACACGACACACGAAACTTTACGGAGGAAAAGAGGGACAGAAAGCTCACCCATTCCGAAGATGGTCAGATCGTCGGAGCGCTCTGAGTAGTTATGAGACTAACTCGGTTGCTTTGCCTTCATTATATTTTTTATTCTTTCATTTCTAGTGAACGTGGTCATTTATGGGTTCATTTACCGCAATAAATAAATTAGACTTTTATTAAAAGTGTCCATCAAAGAACTCATTTCCCATTTTAAAAAAACCCGCTTAAATTTCGACGTCACGCTTTGAAATCGCATTCTCAAAAAACCATCATTAAACTTCCCATAAAAACAAATCAGATTTTTCTACTCGAATTCATCATTAATTTAACAGGCGACTCACTCCAAAAATATCCATGAATGTATTTGTGAAAGCAACAAAAGTCTTTAAAAAGTCTTCTAGTCCATAACGTCGATAGTTTCAGTTTGGCTAATCTACTGCGATAATCCAATTTCGGATATAATCTTTTGGTAAGTTTTCTCTGGACTGATTCTAGTTGATTTATATCATTCAAATTTAGCGGGCACATTAGTTCGGATCCGTACTCAATGATAGGCAAGATTTTGGCTTTATAGCATTTTAGAAAGTTATTTTGAGAGAAATGAAAACAGCGAAATAAATTATTTATTATTTTCATACATTTTTGTACTACTATACTCACATGGTGCCCCATTTTCAGATTACTCGTGAAGAAGAATCCCAGGTCTCTGACATTTTGTTTAGTGCTAAGAGTTTGATCGTTAATTTTGTATGTTCTGGGTTCTGTCTTTTTTCCAAACTGAACTAACATGCACTTCTCAGGAGATATTGCTAGTTGACGGCCCTCTAACCATTGATATACATTTTTTAAGTCTTCTTGAAGTTTGGCTTTATGGTTTGTTACATTACTAGATAAATACAGTTTACAATCATCTGCGAACATGCTCAAGTTACAGTATTTAATAACTTCTGACAAGTCATTGATATATACTAAAAACATAAGAGGTCCCAATGAGCTACCTTGCGGTACACCTGACGAGATTTTTATCTCATTCGAAATACTGTTATTGACTTTAACTTTTTGTGATCTATCTTTCAAAAATTCTTCCAACCAGTTGAGTATTATTCCCGTACATCCGTAGGATTTCAGGACTTCAATCAATCTTCTATGACAAACCGTGTCAAAAGCTTTTTTTATATCTAAATATATGACTTCAACGTAATGATTTCGAGTTACCTCAAACAGATATTTTTGAAGTGGCAACAATTGGGAGATAGTACTGCGATGATTTAAAAATCCATGCTGGCTATCAGAGATGAGCGAGGATTGCCACATATGGTTTCTCAAAGCTCTCACCATCAAAGATTCTAAGACTCTACACGGGACTGATGTCAAACTAACTGGTCTATAATTACCTACGTCGTTTGGATCTCTTTTTTGTATATAGGAACTACGATTGATTTTTTCCAAAAACTAGGCAACTTGCCCGAATCTAAACTTTTCCTGTATATCAGTGATAAAGGGAGAGCTATCGATATAGCTAGACCTCTGCAAATTGAACTAGGTAAACCATCAGGACCTGCTGAATTTACGTTTTTAATTCTTCTAAGGTACTCGTACACCACATGAGGTGCAACATCAACGTCCATTAGATTCCTGCTTGTTTTAGTAGCTATGTTGAAAGGCAAACTATTATCATCTGTGAATACCGTCGAAAAAAATTTATTGAAATTATTGGATTTCTGCATGCTATCTTTAATAACTTCATTTTCTACAATTAGGTCTGGTATTTCATTGGGACTTGTTGATTTTTTGCGAACGTATTGCCAGAAAGCTTTCGTGGATTTAATTTCTCCTAATGCCAGATTTTCTAAGTGAATCGAATGAGATTTCAGAGCTTGGGTGTACTTCTTGTACGAGAGTGAATATCGCACTTTATTTTCTTCTGAGTTTTGTTTACGGTATTGAACATAGTCCCTCTCACACTTTCGTTTAAGTCTCAAAATCCACTGAGGATTCTTTTCGGTATGAAAGACTTTATTAGGTACATATTTTGTTATAGATTTTTGGATTATTTTTATGAAGACATCATACATGGCCTCAACAGTTGAGCAAGTGCTGAAACGATAATTCCAGTCTATATAAGATAGCTCACTGTTCATACTAATGAAATCGGCTTTTTTAAACAACAAAACATACCTAGGAGGTTCTCTTATTATACGCTCTTCTAAATTCAAGTTGCAAATTATTTTATTATGATCACTGATTGGAGATCCTACTACAACTTTCTTAAAGATGTAAGAGTTGTTTGTCAACAGTAGATCTAATATATTATGATGATTGAACTTTTTTTTGCGAAAAAAGTAACTGAAAAGCTCCGAAAATGTTTTCGTGAGAATTTCTGGATTCAGAGACGGATGAAACAAAAAAAAGGAGTCCATTCACCGCGACTTGAAACAGTCTGATCTCTCTGCGCCCTCTTTTCTCTCAGAGACGTTCATTTTCTCGTGCTGTTTACGAAATTCGCAATTCAAACCCAAACATGAATAGTCCAAATTTGAAACTTTCTCTTCACCCTCTTTTCCCTTGTCGACTCTCTCGTTTTTACGTGCTCTCTTCTTGTTTTATGACCTTAGCGATGAGAAAAAAGAGCGCAAACATATCAGACTGTTTCTAGCGAGAAAAAATGACTGCACAAATACAGCCTACAGTGCTCTTTGAGTCTCATGAAAATGTAATTTCGCCCACTTTTATTCACCTTTTTTGGTGAAAAAAATTTTTCGGCTATCTTGAATTTTCCATTTTATTACTTTATTTGTTTGAAAATTAAAAGATCTTATAAATGAGTAATAAAAAAAGGCGTGTCTTCGACCGGCAAATGTTTCAAAACAACTCGCAAAAATTCTCCAGTTTTTTGACCCCTATAGGGTCCACTAGAGCTTTAGGGGCTAGGGGGTCAGACCCTAAACCCCTAGAGGGACCACTTTTCCGGCCCCTATAACTTCCTTTTTTCGGGTCTCAGGAGGAAGAGCCGATTTTAAACGTTATTTTAAGCCTAGTCACTCTTTGAAGCTTCTCAAAAAGGGTTCTCGAACTTCGAGAATCGGTCAAGAATCAATAAAAAGTAATTTTTTCGTGATTTCAGGTGGAGTCTCCTCAAACGGAGGTGAAAAAAGATGTGAATACGGCGGAGGAAGACAAGGAGAATAGTCCGAAAAAGGGTAGCAACCACAAAACCGGTGGCATCGACATGACCCAGGTCATTTCCTCGTTTTTCGCTGTCTGCACTCTCTCTTCCCTCATAGGAGAAAGTTGCCGGGGGACAAGAGGGCGCAGAGAAATCAGACAGTTCCAAGCTTCCAACACTAGGAAAATGTTTGGTGGCCACTATGGGGTTTCGACGTTTTAGTGGCCACTGTAGAGGTCTAAGTTCTACCACTCGACCACTAAACGTTTTAGTGGCCACTTTAGGCGGCCAATGGATCAACATAACTGGTCCAATCTGTTTGGTTTAAAATTATCAGAGTTACTGGAAGGAATACTAGATGAAAAACTACTGAAATGGCCACTAAAACGGAAAATAGAGAGTTGCCGAATGATTAGAGGGCGCAGAGAAATCAGACTGTTCCAAGTTCCAAGCTCCCATCAACTGGAGAGTGGAAACTCAACTGTGATTGCTTTAAAATGGGCTAACATGAGCAATAATCAACCACAATGAGTATAACCTCGAAAATGTATTGTTAACACAAAACTGTATCATTTTTTTATCAAAAAGTTTTTTTTTGCTGTCTGCGCTCTCTTTTCCTTTCTGCTCATAGGAGAGAGTTGCCGAATGATGAGAGGGCGCAGAGAAATCAGACTGTTCCAAGTTCCAAGCTCCTAACAACTGGAGAGTGGAAACACACCTGTGATTGATTGCCTCAAAATGGGCTAACATGAGCAATAATTGGCCACACCGATTCGCCAATAACCTCGAAAACGAATTGGTAGCAAAAAAGCTGTATCTTCATTTTTTTTTTATCAAAAAAATTTTTCAGGCCTCCAAAGAAATGGACGATGAAGCTAGAACCGCGCAGGAGGTGCTTTTTTTTCTTATAAAAATATTTTCAATTAAAATTTCAGAAAAAGGGGTCCAAAGGGTCGGCGGAGCGTTCAGTGGTTGGATTTATAAGTTTGAAAATTTGAGGGCTTTTCCTTTTGTTTAAATCAATATTTGAAAAAAAAAAATTCCTTTCTAATTTTTTTGCCCAAACGATTTTTTTTTTTTCAGGAACTCAATCAGTCGGTACACATCCAGAACTACTCGGTCAGAAAGAGTTTTCCGCTGTTCCGCTGCGCGCCTTTGCGAACCTTGGTCGCGCTTTCAATTTTTTTTTTCTGTCACTAAGGTACTCTACTGTCATGTGCAAGAACAATCAATTGAAAGAGTACCTAGATTCGAAAGACGCTTCGCGAACGCACGCAGCGGAACAACGGAATGTCGTTCGGTGAAATTTCCACTCTATGTGACGTCATTGGAAAAACGCGTAAAAAACAGGAAATATTAAAGGCGCATTCAATAGGTCATGAGACGAATCTATTCCTCCTTTTCAAAAACGCTATTTTGCTGTTTTTTTTTTGTTTCAAAACACATGCCGTGTTGAAAGTGATTCCACGAAATTTAAAAAAGCCAGCAGAGGGTTAATAATTTAACTGAATTCCAGAAATTCGGATATGATTTTGAACTTTGCAAAAATTAAGTTGAACACGGCGTGTGCCAGAGCGCCGCAGTGTATGCACACGACACACTACACTTTACGGAGAAAATATAGGCGGGCCACCGCCGAAAAAACGCCGTGTTGAAGAAAACCTAGGCCATGGCCAACCACCTAAAATAAACTAAAGAAATTGAAGTTCTTTTCTTTAGAAAGAGCCAGCCCGCGAGGGACGCTTCAAAGTACTCTTTCAACATCAGACAAGGAATCAAATTTCAAAGTTTATATCGTCGATACGACTACAAATTCCAAAGAAAAGGGGCCGATACACATGAAGAAATCGGACATGTGAGATCAAAGAGAGAAATTTCTCATTTCTTCTTGTTCTTGTTCTTGCTGCACTTCTCGATTTTGTCGTCCGGACCCGTTGGATGTGGGAGTGCTTTCTTCATCTCAACGTAGTCTCTGGGGGCCTTCTTCACCGGGTTGATTCTCCAGTGACGGGCATTGCAGAGAATGCCGATCCTCCGAGCAACCTGCTTATCCTCTGGAAACATTCCATCAAGATTGAAAACGACCAAATCTCAACTTATATGACGTTTTCTCATCGTGAGAGGCGTCTCGCCGGGCAGAATGGCTTCATTGAGCCTCGTCGTCTCTGAAAAACTCGTTTTTGAGGCAAAGAGGCTGTGATTCTAGAAAAACCAAAAAAAGTTCAGAAAACTGAATTTCTTTGTTTTTAGCACTTCACGTTCACTGGAAAAATAAAACGGCTATCACGAATTTTCAAAAGAAAACTTTTTTTTGATTTTTCTTTGGAAGTCTTCGGCAACTTAATAGAAGGTCAGAAATTACAGGCCTTTTCTCTTAAGAAATTATTTGTTACTCATTTTTCTACTCCTACGGAAACTCGCGTCCGAAAAAAAGACGAAACCCACTATCAAAGAAGTAAAAATAATTCTTCGCAGCGGAATGCAAGCGCAAAGCGCGGATTCTTTCCTGCTCCTCTAACAAGTTGTACAGCTCCTTGTCCTTCGAGTCGCATTTGGCGCGGAGCTGCACCAGTTCGTCGAAAAACTCTGGAACAGAGGACAACGTGATGACTACCACCTTGCACATCGAATCTCACTCGAAACATCAAAATCGTCTTTGAGCACATCTTTACATATCGGTTTCTCCGTTTTGTTCGACGGCAATTTCGATTTCGGGTCCTTGTTTTCAATACCAACGGTCTCCAAGATTTCTCGGTCAGAAATTGCAGTCGTTTGTTGACACGCTTCATTGAGTATAACCAGAACTAAAAGCGAAAAACAGATTTCCTTCAAGTTGGAACTCTTTGTTCACCTTCTTTGTGAGTCACGAAAAATTTATCGAACTGATGGCACATCAACGTGAACACGGTAAAAGCGTCCCCTGTAAAAAAGTCTTCCTTTTCATCTTACGATCGAGAGAAGAAGTAGTGAAAAAATGCTGAAGCACGATTTCTCTTCCAATCGACTTCATAACATTTTTAAAAATTTAAAAACAAATAAAGTTCTTTTTTTACATGCTTCAAGATTAAAAAATAAAATGTTCATTAGAGGATGCTTCAAAGAGAACCTCAGGGGACTTGTCAAGTTTTTCCAAGCATCTCTTTTCATTGAAAATTTTCCCTCAATCGGGAATGGTTTCGACTAATTCAGAAAATTGATCAAAGTTCGTTTCCTATCAAATGAAACCATTTTTCTCTAATTTTGAAGAATACGAATCGAAGAAAACTCACTCAAAACTTTCGACGGCATATCAAATTCGGGGAAGTAGACCGGGGAGTTCGGAGCAATCACCAGCGGCTTGCAGTTTTTTCTGTCGACTCGACCCAGCGGCAACAGTTGCGGCAATGGCTCAATCTCAGGCGCCTCGTTCTTCTTGTCTTCCATTTTTGGTGCGACTTTCTTAGACTCGTTTCTCTTCTGCTCAGCTTTTGGTGTGGTGGTATTGGTTTTGCTGAGAGGCGTATCCTCGCCGGCCTTTTTCCGATTTTGCTCTTCAGGCTTTTTTTCGTACCCTTTCCAGGGCTGTTTGGCATTCTCTTTCAATTTCTTGCCATTTTCTGGTTCCTTCGGCAAAACCCCACACTTCTTCGCCAGTACTTTCATATCTTCAGTAGGATTCTTTCGACGAAAGTCTGAGACGACTTTCGTATCCTTGGGTGCTTGGAACTGTTCGCCGGCCACGTGAGCTTTTTTGACGATCTCCAGCTTTCTTAGAGCTTCATCGAACTCTGGATTCGCATCTAGGACCTTGACACCGTCATCCTTGGGGTATTTTGGAACTTTCGCAAAGTCAACTTCGGGATTCACAATTTTGTTAGACTTGAACTTGTCCAACTGAGTGATACTTATCCGGTGCCAAAACTTCATCTGATTTCCTAAAATTCGAAATCAAAACAATTCACGCCTCGTTGTTAGCCATCTTCGACTTTCTGAGAGCTGCATTTTGGTCTTTTTATCTTCCAAAAACTCAATTTTTCTGCTCAAAGTTGTTGAGAGCGTCGGGAACAAATTTAGGACGACGATTTTTTTTTTTCATTATTACTCAAGGTTGATTCTCCCGAAATAGGATATTATTCATAGAATAGAACTACTTTCTCAACTTCTCTGAATAAACGCAGAATAAAAAGTCAACTAACTGAGACGGGCGACCTTCGATGGACGAAAGAGAGGGATCGATTCAACTGAAATCTCAAATGAAACACGCCAAAAACTGAGGAACTAACGGATTTTGTGATCGTGCTCCGACTGCGTCGCCATGATTGTACAGATGAGCTGCGTTGCGTATGAGCCTCAAGTCAGATAATTAGATCGAGAATTTGAATCAAAAATCAAACAAAAATTGTTACAAATTTGCAAGGAAGCTAATTTTACTTGGCAAGAAAAAGAGCCTGCTCAGTTTTCCATTCTTTCATAAACCTTCAAAGTCAGAGAAATCACTCAAACCCCTCCAAAAACGGCCAATTCAGGGCATTGAGCCATTATACCTTAGAAACTGAACATTCGGGCAGATGAGATTCTGACCGTTAACAAAAAACCACTAACCACATAGTAAAATGACCTCCTTATTAGGTATGATTAAACAAAAAACCACTTGAAAAAATATTTAAAGCTTCGCTGTGGTAAAAATGTGGGTCGGAATCAAAGCATTACAGTCTTCCAAACAAGTTTGTTTCTAGAAAGGAGACTAGAATGCTCAATTCAATAAACATCACAAAATACTCACTGATAGACGCGAGAGCAATTTCCGTTTTCTTTTCCTGTTTTTCCTTCAAGGCAGCCATTCTCGATGCCCAAATGTAGACAATCACCAGGCCCAAAATCATGATCAGAAGGGCGACCACTGCTACGGCGACCAAAATATCTGTAATTTGAAACGTCTGCTGAATTCTGATAACTATTCAAGTTTCTTAGGACTATAATATGGAAAACTCAAAATTCAGAAAATTTCAATAGAGTTTCTGATGAAACAGAACACCCCGCAAAGCGATCACTTCGCCAAAAAAAGCCTTTTTTTCTCAATTTCAGCTCGGCTCTCCGAGTTTTTGTTTGAGAGCCACTTCATCGAGAAATAGAATAAGGTTTTCAATTTCTTAAACTCATTCTATTTTCAATGAGGTTGTAGACCGAAAAATAAGAAACTTTTTTTCTGTAAGGACAAACGATTTTCGACGGAATTTTTTGTCTCAAAAACGAAAAAAAAGAGACGAGGCCAGCTAACGTTTTCCTCCAATATGATTAATTCAAACAGAAGTTCTTATAAAACCTTTTTAGGAAACTCACAATTGATAGGGCAAACTTTGTCTTCGTCAACCGCAGCGCCAGCCTTGGGGTTGGTCTGAGCCGGGGCGCAAACCAGCGGCGAGTTGGTGGAAGAACGGAGAGACGTCGTTTGGTTGCCAGCCATCTTCGTAGTCTTCGTCGTCGTAGTCGTGAGGATCGAAGTCGTGGTCGCGACTGTCGTTGTCAGTGTTGAGCATTTCGAAAGCATCTGGAAAAGGAAGAGTTAGAGAAACAGATATTAGAGATAGGCGGAACTCAATTTTGAAATTGCGGAAAGCCTCAAGAAGCACAACTTTTGCATTGTAAAGGTGAAAATTTTTGTTCTTTTTTTCCATTTTAAAAAGATATGTTTTGATTGTTAGCGGGTAAAAACAGACGATTGCACTACGAAAAATTCTCAAAAAGTTGAATAAATTTTCTAGAAGGGGGTCTCTGATGAACATTCAAGCGACATACTTTGTTGGCGACACTTTCCAATCGGTCTTTCCAGATTTCCTTCGAATTCCCTTTGACAACGACGAGGTCCTTGTTGACACAGTACGGTCGAATGTCATCTACGGTGATCGTTTGGAAGTTTAAGAATGATGAATCATCCAAACGGGCATCCTCCAAATATATCGCTGGTCCTTCAAACACAAGATTTTTATCTTCGAAACTCAAATTGTTTGCTATTAGGGCTCTAGGAAGAAGTTGAATGTTAGAAGAGAATTCAAATGAAAAAATGGATTTAAAAAAACGTTATTTTAAGCCAATGAAGATATGAATAAGAACTGACCCAGCCCTTTGTGGACAACTTCCACGAGACTTTTGAGCGTGAGAGTCCCAAGATCCTTGTTGTCGATGATAGTCAGAGTGCCAGTTTTCGTTGTCGTCGGGATGAAGCTGAGCGGCGATGAACTTTGAACATCTGGCTTTTCGATATGAATCGACGCTTCGAAGCATTTCAATCTCTCGCACTCCGGCGGAACGGCAGTACCAGTACTATAGCTCAGAACAGATCGTTTGCAGCATGTATCTGGAAAAAGGCCATTTCAAGATAAACTAAATACAAAACGAAACGCTTTTCCTCTAAAAATTGACCTTTTTAAAAATTTGTTTTGTTTAGATCTCGTCTCAAGATCAAAACCCCCGTCATCCCTGATAAGAAATTATTTTCTTTTAGAATTGGTTCAGACTAATTTGTTTCACTAAGATTTGGTTTTCACGGTGTTTTCCTACAGTAAGCCTGAAAGTGAAGTTAGCTTTTAAGCTTTTGAGCCTATTAAAATAGGATTTGTTCTAAATATTCAGGAGGTTGTTTACTTTCTATGATAGCGAGAAGAGCTCTCAGGAACGAAGATGAAATTTTTTACAAAATCTTTTGGCGTTTGATTTTCTGAGAGAACGCTTAAAGGCAAAATTAATTCGTGTTTCTTCAATTTCGACAACCAAATCAACATGGGCCACCGAACAGCCTTGGAATAAACGACACCCTTCGAAGAAACCCTACAAAGCTAGTGTAACGGGATTTCGCAAAAAATTTAGCAAAGAAAAAAAAAATCATAAATTGAAGTTTTTTCGAAAGAAGTTGAAACAGACCGGCGGCTGCGACTCCCAGAAACAAGATTGCTGTGTAGACGATGAGCGGAACCTTCGTACCGAGAGACCATGCTGAAACCCTTATTAGATGAGCTGTAAAAAATTAAGAGACTTGATAAGAATCCAAGGAGGCAGAATGTGCCACGTTCCAATCTATGTTAATGCCTATTTTGCAGTGCAGTGCAGTGCAGCGACGCAGTGCATGCACACGACACACCAAACTTTACGGAGGAAAAGAGGGACAGAAAGCTCACCCATTCCGGAGATGGTCAGCTCGTCGGAGCGCTCGGAGTAGTTATGAGGCTAACTCGGTTGCTTTGCCTTCATTATATTTTTCATTCTTTCATTTCCAGTGAACGTGGTCATTTATGAGTTCATTTACCGCAATAAATAAATTTGACTTTTATTAAAAGTGTCCATCAAAGAACTCATTTCCCATTTTAAAAAAAACCCGCTTAAATTTCGACGTCACGCTTTGAAATCGCATTCTCGAAAAAAAACCATCATTAAACTTCCCATAAAAAACCAATCAGAAAAGTAATACGCTTAAAGTTTGATATAACGTCAATCTTTGAAGCGGCATAACCCACATATCAAAGCCCACCGTCTAGTGGAAACACAGCACCGACGAACAAGCCAGAAATTATGATGTCCATCCGTCACATGGTTGACAAGCTCAAGGGAAAAGGTTATTGTGCTATTCACTGACTTTTTAATGTGATGATTTCAAAGATTTGAGATTATTTTTCTCTACAAGCCAATTTGCTAAAAAAGAAAAGTTGATATATCCTCGGACATTGGTAACGCGAAACGGACGTGCTCTGGACGTTTCTGGGCAACTCTAGGGATCACTTAAGAGCGCTGAGCCCTCTAAAGTAGTCACTAGAAATGCCCCGACGATTCGCGTCCCGTTCGCGTTACCAAAGTCCGAGTCAGCTAGGGCCAATCAGGAGTTCTCGCTAGAGCGCACTTGTCCAGCTTAAGCAGCTCTTCAATAAACTACGATTCAGTGAGAAAAATTCTATATCGAATTTGCGAATCAAATTTTCAATTTCGGAGCAAAAAAAGTGATTTTCGGAGAAAATTTCTAAACACTCTTCATCTTCAAAAAACTTTTTCCGGTTTTATTTTTCATCAAAAATTTCATTTTAGAAAAAAACGAGTTTACCAGGATTTACAAGAATCCCATGAATTTTTATTGGCGTCTTTCCATTCTCCGTCGTGAGATGAGGAGTATCTCGGGATTCGAAAACCAAAAATGAGTCTCAAAAGAGCGTAAATGCCCACGGAAGAATAGCTAATTTTCACTCTTAAAAAGCTCCCATAATTTGTTCGGAATTCCATTTCGTCTTGAGATGACCATTTCTACGTACGATTTTCTCAAAAAGAAACAGTTTTACAGAACTTAACTGTCAGAAATATTCACACATGAGCGTAAATCTCTGCGGATAGACGTCTCCTTTAACAGCGAGTCTGTTGCGCTAAGCCACGCCCACTAACCAGCCTCCTCCAGCCTTTTTAAAAAACGCCCGACATTTGCTGACGGGCCGGCCCTCGCACAAGCCTCTTTTTATTCACCATTTTCATCCTTCTATGATCTGAGAAATGGCCGATAATTGCATAAAGTCTTGTGGAATATGGGAATATACTTATAAAAATTAAGCTTTCATTCAGTGTGTTTGATCAATATGAAGGGTGAGAAAAATACATATGAGGAGGACATTACTATGAAAAAGGTTTTAGGATTTCTGAAATTGAAAAATGATTAATTCGAAATGAAAAAAATCTATACTAATTTTTTTTCAGAACGATTTCAAGGGGGTTCAGAATCTAACAATGTGTCCACCATTGTGCCAGCGCCGTTCGAAAGTCCGTTTTTTACAAAAATCAATTTAATTCAATGAAAAAAGAGTCCAAAGCTTTCAATATTCAAATTGTTGAATTACAGCGCACGAACTTCTTGTGCCCGTACCTCTCCCAGTCGTTGATCATGCAGAACAGCCGGAAAAGTTCCTCAAGAAATGGCCCGGATTCCACGGGTTACTTATATCTAGTTCTTCATTTTTCTGAAAATAATTCTAGCATAAAATAGAATGTTGAGAAAAATAAAAGCCACACTTAAAAAGAAAGCACCTTATGAGACGCCAGAGAAGCTGAAAATCTGCTTTTTCTAGCGTCTTTTTGGAATTTTCTACATCTCTCAATGTTCCTTTGAGTTGAAGAAAAAACATTATTGTTCCTGATGGAAATCCATAGAATTTAAAACCTTTTTTTTTACGCTATAGATTTCATGATCCCGGATTTGAGCTCTATTTACTCAATTTTCTTTTGCAGCTATATCCCCGACCTGGACGCTCGAAAAATGATCTGCCACGTCGGCGATTACATCATAAGATTGGAAAACGGTTGGTCGGGAAAAAGGCAAGGCGAAAATTGGAATTTCAGACGAATGCAACACCTGGATTATTTTAACCGTGGGTGAACGAATGGTAGAGGATCCTTTTTGGGCCGATGAGTCAAAGGGAGGCGATGACGACAAGGATGGAAACGAAAACGGTGAATTTACCAACTTTCAAGATTTTCCTCCAAAAAGACATTTCAATATTTCCATACTTGTAATTGTTGATTGAACAGCTTGAAACAGTCTCACACTTTTTTTGTCTTTTTCTCTAGAAATGAAAAAAAGAGATTTTTCTTTTGAATGGAATTCGAAAAAGCCGTTTTTCAAAGGATTTCCAAGTTGTATCATAAACGTTCGTAAATATGGATATTCTGATAGTTTCGAGGTTATCAGAACGACCTTTCTCATTTTTGAAAATTCAGAGGACGATGTGGTGCCAATAAGAGCAAAGACGTATGTCATTGAATTGGACCATTTCGGCGTTACCCTCGATGGTGAAAATTATTTCGACAGCGTCGACAATCTCTTATCTTTCTATATTTTCCATAGCGACAAGGTTAGACTTTTTTTATAATCCAGTTAAAGCAAAAGCTGTGAAGAAAAAAGAACAGCTCAAATATCCAAAAAAACTTATGTTTTTCTTTAGTCAAGCCTCGATGTGCAATTGCTTTACGCTGTCCCTAGGAAAATGTTCGAGTTTGAGCCGGAGGACGTCCGAATTATTAAGAACGTGAGTGATACCTTTGGTTCGTTTCCGCAAATCGAAAGGAGAAGACTTCTCTGCGCACTCTTCGTCTCTCGCCGAACTCCTCTTTACGTGGTATTTTCGTGATTCTCTGACCTCGCCGGTGAGGGAACAGGGAGACGCAGACACTCGAAAACTCCTATTAGTCTTCTCCCAGTTTAAATATAGATTTGCCAAAAAAAAAAATCACATATTCTTACTTCTCCACGATTATCTCATTCGAACTGTTTTTTCATGGTTGATGACCTAGTAGGCGAGCAAAAAGAGACGCAGACAGGCCAGAATATTCCAACTGAAGTTGAATGGACTCTATAAATTTGCTATTTTTTTTATTTGACAAGCAATTATTTCTCTTCAAAATCATATGGCCACAAATAGAATGGCTCGGTACGTAAATTGGAAAATTTGCGCAACCACAAATTTTTTTTAAGGCCGATTAAAACTAAACTACGCGAGATTCCACTAGGAAACATTTGGAAAATAGGACATTGATTTTGAAAATCTCATTTCAGTACCGATGCGTTCAGAAAAAAGACAAAATTGTGAATTTTCAGTTAGGCAGCGGCCAATTCGGCGACGTTTGTTTGGCAGCGATAGATCGGCCAGGACTGCTGGTTCAGAGTGCCGCGGTCAAATCGGTCGGTTCCAAGAATTCGAAAAAATACCACTTTTGAAATTATTTTCACTATCATTTGGTTCGAAAGAACTGTAAGCCTCATAATGATAGCAATTCTCGAAAACCAAAGTTCGAAAAAGGCAAGAAAATCAATATGTTTCCTCTAAGAAAGAAATCTTGAAAACCTTGTCATAACGATATCCTCTTCATATTTACTTTCTCACCCTTCATATTGATAAAGCACACTGATTTGATCCGATCTCAGTTGAAGCGTGGATCGGCGAACGCGTCCGAATTAAGTCGGAAGTTGATAGAAGAGGGTCGGGTGATGCTCGAATTGGAGCATCCGAATGTCGTCCAGATTCTTGGCTGGTGTATCGACGAGCACCCTTTCAAGCTCATCATAGAATTTTTGCCGGGTTAGTTCCGAAAAATTCCACGAATGAGATTTTGAAATTTAATGAGAACTCCTTTGGAAGAAAAAGCTTGCGTTTTTGAAAAAACTGTTGAGCATGAAATTTCGCCTCAATGATTGGCGCCATATGAGCTTTTTCGAATCAGTTTATTATGAGCTTTTTTAAATTATTCATTATCGCAAGGCATTATTCCTTCGAAGACTAAGATTTCATGATGAAGAACTTTATGACAACAACAGCAAAAATTCAGAAAGATAAAGAGATGACAAGAAAACAGAACGTTTCCTAAACTTGGATGAGTTTCAGTGACCACTTTAGGGCTTTGACATTCTAGTGACTCTTTTAGTAGTCGAAATAGTGGCAACTTGTGTGCCTGTAATTTAGCGGCCTGTGGAAGTCAAGAAATAATGAATATCACACATCTTTAATGAATCATTTTTTGCAGGAGGCTCCCTTGATATGTTCATTATCAAACACTACTCGGTGACTAGTATGAAAAGACAAATGTTTTTTGCCGTTGGAATCGCTCAAGGCCTTGAGTATATCCATGCAAATCGTGTCTTACACCGAGATATTGCAGCGAGGAATGTTCTCCTCGCGTCCGACGGAACGGTCAGACCTTGAAATTTCTCAGTAGCTGATTTATGAACTTTTCCAAAAAATAATTGAACTTTTTTTGGCGAAAAAAAGTAACTGTAAAGCTCCGAAAATGTTTTCGTGAGAAGTTCTGGATTCAGAGACGGATGAAACAAAAAAAAGGAGTCCATTCACCGCGACTTGAAACAGTCTGATCTCTCTGCGCCCTCTTTTCTCTCAGAGACGTTCATTTTTCACGTGCTGTTTTGGGAATACGCGTCTCAAACGCGAAAAAAAGTGAATAGTCCAAATTTGAAACTTTCTCTTCACCCTCTTATCCCTTGTCGACTCTCTCGTTTTTACGTGCTCTCTCCTTGTTTTATGACCTCAGCGGTGAGGAAAAAAGAGCGCAGACATATCAGACTGTTTCTAGCGAGAAAAAATATTATTTGATTTTTTGCAAGCTGAAAAGCTTTGAAAACCTTTTGAGCCTCACTTTTTGACCGGAAACTTCTTTTTCAGCCGAAGATCAGCGATTTTGGACTAGCTGTGAGAGCAGCCTGCTTCAGGATGAAGGAGGCGGAGAAGGTACCATTAAGGTATTTGTCTCCCGAGGTCCTCACGCACTTCATTTTTTCTCAAAAGTCGGACGTATATGCCTACGGGGTGAGCTTTTCCTTCAATCAGTCCTGTACATAAAGACCATTTTTCAGGTGCTCCTCTTCGAACTTTTTACGGGGGGGAGCATCCCGTACGAAGGGCTCCTCTCACAAAGCGTGAGACAATGTGTATGTTTGCTTTTTTTTCGCATTACAGAAATAAAAATAAAGTACCAAAAAAAATGGAAAAAAAAGTCCTTAGAGCCTTGGAAAATTTTTTTTAATCAGGAGAAGTTAAGCAAGAATTTTTTTCATTGATATAGAAAGGTCCAATCAGCCTTCTGATGAGGCTGATTTTCCGGCTAAACAAAAATCGAAAAACGAAAATATTTTTTTAAGAAAAAGTTTTACATTAATCATCACAAAAACAAATAACGGAAAAAAATATTCTTAAGAGCACAAAAAGTTTTTCAAGTTTTCTTGAAAAAGAAGCCAACGAACGGAAAAAAAATTGTAAAAAGTCGAAAATTCAGAAGTTTTCTAAACTTTACATGTCCAAGCCAACTTCAGATCCTTTCTGGCACTTATAACCAATTTCCGGAAGGAACGCCACCAAAGTTGGTCAATTACGTCGAGGAGAAGGTCTGGGCATATGAACCCATTGAAAGGCCGATGATGGATGAGGTTTTCCATTAGTTCTTGGCGAATCATTCATATTTGAAAACTTCCAGATCATCGAATACCTCGAAGGCTTAATGTGTGAGCTCGAGAAGGTCAGCTACATTTTCTTTCTGTTTTTTTATCGAAATTTCTCAGGAGGGAGCTATGGGCATAGTCACAGACGCAGTAACGGACGAAGAATTCGTCAGTTTTGAAATGGTCGCATGTGGAATGGCTCGAGACGCCTCAGACTTTTAGCGACTTGCGCCAATGCATGAGAACCAGCTGTTTTAGTTTCCATCCAATCATTTCACGTGTTCTCCAAAGCAATTGAAGAGGATTAAAAAAAAAACAAATTGAGACAATTTTACAACGATTATTGAGCAAATCCCGTTGAACGGATCCTGTTTGATGATTAATTAATGAAAAATAGGCGTGTACGGCTCAAAACAGTAACAAGACTTTTGCAGAAGGATCGCCAGCCAAACGAATCTGAGCAGCGCCGCCTCCTCGAACTCCGCAAGGGAGTCAGTTTTTTTTTTCGCTGTAGTTTGATATTTAAACCCAACGTTCACTTCTCAATTTGCCAAAAACATTTCCAGGACCGCCTCGAAGAACTCTGTCCAACGCAGGACGAAACGATCTCTAGAGCGACACAGGCCAGCGATTGAAGACGCTTTTTTCAGCCATTTGCCAAACTGCCAACATGACTGCTTCCTTTTTCGTCTGATAAAAACTTGTCAAAAAAATTTGTTTTTCATTACGGCCTAGAGATAATAGAGCTTAAAAATTTAAAAAAAAACAGCACAGAGAACGGATCGCCGTGTTGCCGTTAGGATGAAAATCGGACAATTAACGTGGAATTTATCCGAAACTTTGGCATTTCTATAATGGTTTGGCCGATCTGGATCTCGTTTTTCGCTACCCTCTTCCTTTTGGTCGCGCAGTGCTCCAAAAAGAAAAGCGGCATGAAGCGGGCCGAGAAGCGAGTGATCATGGGCGTCCCCAGCGCCTCTACTACCGGCATCACACGCAAGAAACAGTCCGACTCCGAGGTTTCATAGTTGAATATAGTCTGTGTGCCACGACTTGGAATTTCACGGAACGACATTCCGCTGTGCGCCTTTGCGAACCTTGGTCGCGCTTGTTTTTTCTTTTATCAAGGTTCTCTACTTTCATATGCTCCCACAGCAATAACAATCAATTGAAATCGGGACATAGATTCGAAAGACGCTTCGCGAACGCACGCAGCGGAACAGCGGAACAGCGGAATGTCGTTCCGTGAAATTACAAGTCGTGGCACACAGACTATACGAATGAATGATTTGCGGAAAATCAGCATCTTCTCATTTTGAACTTGAAGCTAGAGCTCGAATAGAATGTTATTGATAGGGACCGCAGACGAATTTTTAAAATTTTTTTTTTCAGCATTGAGCTTTGTATGGTTTGATAGCTGTTTCGATTAAAAACTCAGAACCGTTTAGTTTTTCGAAAAAGATTGAGGATGAAAAAAGTTATGACGAAAAATGTGGCGCGCCGCGCACCATTTTTTTAGTACTGAAATTTTGGTATTATCCATTTTTGATATTTTTCTCGATTTTTCTTCTGGAACAAGTTTTGATACTGGTCTAATATGATGTAAGAAATCATAATAGAGTGCTAAAATGATAAAAATTTGCTAGTTTGCCGAAAAAGTCGGTATTTTCCAGAAAACAAAAAACTGGCGCTTGCGGGCATCGAACTCGCGACCTCAAAATGAAAAATCGCAGCGCACGCGCTGCGCCAAGCTGTTAGGTCTAGCGAGGGGAGCTTCCATCCGCCTTACCCTTGAGCCGTTTGGATAGCACAGACTGCCTATTTCAAAAAGAAAAGTTTGAAGTAATTTAGCTATTTTTTTATCAGAATATGTTCGCAAATCTTTACTCCAACTTTCCGTGGAAATTCACTTCGAAAAAAACTCTTTTTTTAGTGCTTTTTTTGCCTCGTTAAAAGATCGCTGCATTAAAAACGGTTCCGTAAATTTTTTTGGCAAAGACGAATTTTTTTATTTTATTCTTTTTAATTGAAAGATTTTTTTACTAATAAATGTATATAATCGTTTGAAAAAAACCTGCGTTCGACCGCATTCTGTGTGATAAACGCCGCTAATTTTATTCTCTAGTTTCAAGAGCATTTTTTTGTGTATTAAACAACTTTTTTTCAAGCACATATTCTGTGGAGAAAAATTTAAGTAAGCCCATGATCTAAATTTTGAAAAAAAGAAAAAAACTCGATTATATTCGCTTATTAACGATATTTTTGAATTATGACTTTCGGCACTCCCTAAAATTTTTGGCAAAGACGGATTTTTTATTTTATTGTTTTAAAATTACCGTTACTTGAACTAAAATCATTATTTAAAAAAAGAAAGAGTGCGTTCGACCTGAAAACACATAAAAAAGCAAAAAACGACAAAATTTTTTAGTTGCATTCACGTTTTTGTACGACATTCCGCGAGAACGCATCAAAAAAGCGTGAAATATTTTTTAAACGAAAGAGGAAGCTTTTCTGTACATGTGTCTCAAAATTTATTATCCAGTTCCATATATTTTGCAACTAAAACAAAATGAAAGTTGAAAACCAAAAAAAAGCCACTTTTCTATCGCGAAAAGGGGCGTGGCTTTGCGGTCCCTAGTTATTGAACTCAAACCTACCCTCAGCTTTTTGCAGAATATCTCTCGAAGATAAAAATCTTTCGAACGAAATTCCATTGAAATCAACTTATTGTTTGCCAATCTAAAAACATCAGAGAGCCCTCGATAGAGACCGCAGAGCCACGCCCCTTTTTGCGATGCACTGATATTTTGGCCTTTTTTTTGTGTTGTTTTCGTAAAAGCGCAATACTGAACCGATTCTAACAAAAGTTGGTGGAAAAATAGAGTGAACCTTTCTCTTTCGATTCATGTAAAATTCACTCCATGTTCTTGCGTTCCGGCGGTAAATGAAAATTCAAACGCGAATCGGTACTTTTTTTTAGGAAACTGTATTTTTTCATACTTTTATTCATCTAACCAAACTTCCTGTATAACAGCAATGACCAAAAGAAACATGAAGCTCTCAAAAATAAGAAAGGGGGCAGCTCTCAAATTACCAAGTTTTGAAAAACAAAACGCATGGTAACATTATGAGGAAAAGAAAAAAAGAAAGTCCCTTCGCGTTTAAATTTGAGTAGTTATTGCCAAACCGCAAGTAGTCACGACAGTATATCTTCACCCCTCACCTTCTACATCTTAAATATGTATTTTTCTAAGTGTGAACTATCTGAAGACGCCTCGTCCAACAACAAGTCGACAGCTTTCGGAAAAATGAAACAGATTTTTGGATTGGGCACCAAGGAAAAGGAGAGCAACGAGTAAGTTTCTAAGAAATCCTCTACTAAACCAAAATTCAGGAAACTTTACAGCGCCGATGAAATTTTCAAAAATATGAAAATAAACGTGCCAGATGACACGCCGGTCAGTTCCTTGTTCTAGAAGACTTTCAAAACTTGGATGAAAACTCAGAAATCGGTTTACACCCAAGAGGACGACGTCAACCCACTCGCCAAGATCAAGAAGCCGCAGAACAAAGGAGGAGCAGGTTGAAAAGAGTTATCGAAATCTCCTTGATCTAGAGTATATCAAAGAACCAATGAAAATCCTTCGAAAAACTAGAAAAAATTAGAAATTTCGCTGGAAATGAACAAAACGAGCTCCTATTTTTCATTTTCCGTTGAACTTCCTCATCAATTTCTCTGATAACTTTGCTGAAAATTTTGGAAAAAGCCGGAGGTGGGCCAGTACTCAAAACGGCGGAAGAAATTCGGCCACCCGACCTGGCGTCGCGATACCGATCCCAACACACTCAGGTAAAAAGCTAACAGAAAAACTTGATTACTTTTATTTTCAGCCTTCCCATAAAGGAAAGTCCAAAGAGGCCGATAAAACTGCAGAGGTTTATTCGAATATTTCTTAATACTTGAATACTTTTTAGGTTGAAAAAAAGAGCGAAGTAGAAAAGTTTAGCACTACGGATACGGTAATAACCCTCTTTATTTCCATTCAAGCATGAACTCAGGGTTCAAATACGCCTGTGAGATGCCGGACGCCGGATCGAAGCACAGTAAGAGGGAAAAGTTTAGGAAAGGTTTGCAAAACGTCGATGGGGATCGTGCCACTGGCCCATTTGGTGAAAACCTGTGGCGCTACCAGCTGAGCCAGGGAGCCATGACCCTCTTCTAGCTTTAGTTGTGCATCAGATCCACGCGCCGAGACCTTTCCATTCTTAAACAATCATTTTCAGAGAGGAAATTTCCAAAGGCTCAATGCAACCAGCACATACATAGAGGCAGCAGGTTAATGAAAACTGATAGTCATTCATATTTTAAAAGTGTTCAGAAACCGCGTGACAACGTACAATTTTCTTGAAACACTTGCTCGGGAATGCAGAACAACTTCTTACTGTATCGAGAATAAATTGTCAAAAAAGAACCCCTGAACATTTTCCATTCTTGAATTGAAGCCAGCGAGGTTCTGGATTCACAAAATGGGCTGTTAGAGAGAAAATGCTAAAAAATAACAATGAAAACGCGTGTCTGGTCCAGACTTTGAAAACCCTCACGAAAATCTTTTGAAATGCATACTTAGAGCTATCAGTGAAAAGAAAAATTACAGAAAGTTGATTATATCGAACAAACAATGTGTCATGAAAAAAAAGACTTCATCGTTAAAAAAGGACCCTTTTCGATGGCGAAAACGTTTTCCTGAGAATAGAAACCTTCCGACTTAAGTTCTTTCTAAACATGCACAAGAACAATGAGAATTTCCTGAAATATTTTCTAGTTGAAAAAAAGTTGAGGGAACAAGAAAAAGTTGAAATTTGACAGAACCAAAAACACTTCCATTTTAACTCGTTGAAATTGAAAAATAAACTTTGAAGACAGCCGGTGGTTCTCGTCACGAAACAAATTTTAAATTTGAAGGTGCCATTCCGACACAATTATTTCTAAAAAGGAAACTTCTACAATTGCGTGAATGTGGCGGTTTTGAATCAATTACGGTGCTCATATTGTCTGCGTAACTTTTTAATGCACAGAATACTTTCGTTTACGCGCAACTTCCTATTTCCCTACCAAATTTTTTTTTTTTTCTATTTCTGTAAAATGAATAAAAATGCGAAAGGCAACTTTTTCAAAGCCTCCTCATTGTGTTAGCTGTTTCATTCTTGCTCACCACATTTATTTTATTCTTTCTGTTTTTTTAAAAGGTAATTTGTTTTATTTTTTTCGCAAATACGTTCATTTTTTTCAGAATTTCGATACTTCAGAGGAAGCGGGATTGTTGCGAGTTCCGTTAAAAGCCTTGTTCCTTCCTACTACCGCTGATATTAAAGTTATGTGAATGCCATATTTTTTAATGTAAAAAACATTTACAGATAGGAAAGTCTCGCAAAATTACAGACGAGCCTATACCTATTTTTAGTGAGTATAACTTGTTCTGAAATTCTTCTCAGGGTTTTAATAGACGAAAAAGTAGAAAATAATTTCAAATAAAAAAAGGTTACAAACCTTCGTGATTTGTGAACTGAATTTGAATAGAATTTTAACCTAAAATCTCCAAAATCAGGTATTTTCGTGTAACCGACCTACAGCACTAGCTCACCTTCTTTCTAGACTTCTTTTTGTAAGTTCTTGAAAAAAATTAGTTTAATTCGTAACTTTTTTTTAGGGTGCGAGGACCCGAAAGGAGGGAGAAATTCCCTATAGTCGTCACTCAAGATTGCGATGATTATTTTGTCAGAATGGTTGCTCTAAAGTTTGGCCTTGAAATCAAATATATCAGGGTGAAAAATTTCCCAATTTTATATGAAAAAAATTTTTCAATTTTCAGCAGAAAAAAAGACGGAAATTCATATTCCTGCGGATGAAACAAATTTCGAAACTTATTACCGTATCGCTCAACATTATAAATCAGCAAATGACTATATATTTATGGAAAGAAATTTCTCTAGTGTCATCATTTTGGAAGGTTTTCTTTGGTTGATTTTTCATAAAGAGTTATTTTCAGACGATTTGACGATATCCGACGATTTTTTCGAATATTTCTCGGCTACTCGATATTTATTGGATGTGGATCCGAGTTTGTGGTGTGTTTCCGCGTGGAACGACAATGGAAAAAGTGATTTTTTTCTTCGGTTTTTCGAAGAGGTTGAAGTATTTTTTTTCGAAATTTTTTTGTAAATTGTCTTATTTTTCAAATTGTTTTTAGAAACTTCATGAAAGTATTTCGCATGGAAGTGTTAGTTTAAAAATTTTTTTCTTATTTTTTTGTCGATTAGAGGGAATTTTCGAGTTATTCAAAAACGGTTATATACTGGGAAAATTTTTAGGGGCCACTATAGGGTCTAGACGTTTTGGTGGCCACTATAGTAGACAAATTAGTGGCCACTTAAGGGGTTAAAAATTAGTGGCCACTATAGAGGTCTAAGTGCTACTATTAGGCCAGAAAAAATTTTAGTGGCCACTATAGGGTTTAGACGTTTTGGTGGCCACTATAGTAGACAAATTAGTGGCCACTTAAGGGGTTAAAAATTAGTGGCCACTATAGAGGTCTAAGTGCTACTATTAGGCCAGAAAAAATTTTAGTGGCCACTATAGGGTTTAGACGTTTTTGGTGGCCACTATAGTAGACAAATTAGTGGCCACTTAAGGGGTTAAAAAAATTAGTGGCCACTATAGAGGTCTAAGTGCTACTATTAGGCCAGAAAAAATTTTAGTGGCCACTATAGGGTTTAGACGTTTTTGGTGGCCACTATAGTAGACAAATTAGTGGCCACTTAAAGGGTTAAAAAAATTAGTGGCCACTATAGAGGTCTAAGTGCTACTATTAGGCCAGAAAAAAATTTTTAGTGGCCACTATAGGGTTTAGACGTTTTGGTGGCCACTATAGTAGACAAATTAGTGGCCACTTGAGGGGTTAAAAATTAGTGGCCACTATAGAGGTCTAAGTGCTACTATTAGGCCAGAAAAAATTTTAGTGGCCACTATAGGGTTTAGACGTTTTGGTGGCCACTATAGTAGACAAATTAGTGGCCACTTAAAGGGTTAAAAATTAGTGGCCACTATAGAGGTCTAAGTGCTACTATTAGGCCAGAAAAAATTTTAGTGGCCACTATAGGGTTTAGACGTTTTGGTGGCCACTATAGTAGACAAATTAGTGGCCACTTAAGGGGTTAAAAATTAGTGGCCACTATAGAGGTCTAAGTGCTACTATTAGGCCAGAAAAAATTTTAGTGGCCACTATAGGGTTTAGACGTTTTGGTGGCCACTATAGTAGACAAATTAGTGGCCACTTAAAGGGTTAAAAATTAGTGGCCACTATAGAGGTCTAAGTGCTACTATTAGGCCAGAAAAAATTTTAGTGGCCACTATAGGGTTTAGACGTTTTGGTGGCCACTATAGTAGACAAATTAGTGGCCACTTAAAGGGTTAAAAATTAGTGGCCACTATAGAGGTCTAAGTGCTACTATTAGGCCAGAAAAAATTTTAGTGGCCACTATAGGGTTTAGACGTTTTGGTGGCCACTATAGTAGACAAATTAGTGGCCACTTAAGGGGTTAAAAATTAGTGGCCACTATAGAGGTCTAAGTGCTACTATTAGGCCAGAAAAAATTTTAGTGGCCACTATAGGGTTTAGACGTTTTGGTGGCCACTATAGTAGACAAATTAGTGGCCACTTAAGGGGTTAAAAATTTTAGTGGCCACTTTAGGGGTCAATAGATCAACATAACTGGTCCAATCTGTTTGTTTTGAAATTATCAGAGTTCCTGGAAGGAATACTGGATGAAAAACTACTGAAGTGGCCACTAAGACGGAAAATAGTGGCCACTATAGAGTCCTCCCCTAGTAGTCCTTGGCGAGCCTCTATAGTGGCCACTAAAAATTTTCCCAGTAAACATTGACTTTTTCTTTTGATACTTAGGTTTTCAGTAATATTAAATAAACCTGTTCTCATAATTTGACTTTTTTTTTAATTGACGTTTTTTTTTGGCACTAAGCTTTTCCTTAGTCTAAACTTATTTTTCTCAAAAATTTACCTTTTCTTCCGAAGATTTTTTCTAAAAATGGTCTGAATAAAGCCACAAATTGTTAATATTCAGCCCGATCTGATCGATTTGAAAGGTTCCGAAAAACTGCACCGTACTGATTTCATGCCTGGCCTCGGCTGGATGATGACTTCGTTTGTTTTTATTTCAAAGTTCAAAAAAAAAAGCATTTTTCAGAAGATTATGGCTGGAATTGAGAGATATTTGGCCGACGAGGTTTTGGGACGACTGGATGCGGTTTCCGGAGAGGAGAAAAGTCTATTGATTTTCATTTTGCTTGTTTTTTATCATTTTGTGAAAAATTCGGCACTTTTATTGTGTTTGAGAATTGTAGATCTAGTGTTAGTGAAATTTCATCAATTTACGAAAAGGTGAAGCTGTGAAATTTTGAAAAATGTCCTCCTTTTCATCTTTCAATTTTCAAAATGATTTTCATTTTTTTCATTTTTGTTTCATTTTTTTCAAATTTTTTTCCCTTTTTTTCCAATTAATTAGGAAGCAAACTTTGAAAAAAAGTAAGAAAAATTTTTATTTTTTTATAAGAAAAAAACTTTGTTGAAACTCCGATTTTTTTCAACTTTTTGTAGTGTTTTTAAAGATCCGTAGACGCAATTTATCGTAATTTACAGCGATTTAAATTTCAATTCTGATTTCGAAGTGATTAAATTCAGGGAAGACAATGCATTCGGCCGGAAATCAGCCGGACCGGAATGTCTTTTTTTGGGCCAGAAAGGGGCTAGCAGGTGAAAAAAATTAGATTTTCTATCAATTTTATCACAAAAAATTTTTTTTTAATGGTTTTTTTGCAAATCCCTGCAGTGGTTATGTTCAATTGAAACGTGGAAATTGATAAAAAAATTTTTTTTTGAGAATTTTTTTCAATCAATATTAATAAAGAAAGCCATGAACTTCACAATTTTAAAAATTTTCAGAGGCCTCTTCTACGATCAGCACTTGTCGAAGGTCTTCATAAATAGGAAATTTGTCGATTTTAAACATCTCGATTTGAATTATCTATTAAATGTATGGTTTTTCATTGAAAAGAATACCTAAATGGGAAAATTTTTAGTGGCCACTAGAAAGACTGCTTGGAGATGACATTAAAGTGGCCACTAAACCCACCTCTATAGTGGCCACTATTTTCTGTTTTAGTGGCCACTTCAGTAGTTTTTCATCCAGTAATCCTTCCAGTAACTCTGATAATTTTAAAACAAACAGATTGGACCAGTTTTGTTGATCCATCGACCCCTAAAGTGGCCACTAAAATTTCAGGGATACAATTACTGAATTTACACTGAATTTGAACTGTTTTTTAAAGGAACTATGAATTAAATTGAAATCAACTGGAATCGCTACTGATACTGAATTTACTTGACTTACCGTGAATTAACTGAGTTTTTTTACTAAATTTTATGGAATTTACTTATTTTATTGAATTATTAATGAATTTTCAACATGATTTTCTGAATTTTCATGGTATTTTCAAGTGATTTTTCGGATTTCACAGAAATATCACTGAATTTACTGGCTCGTTACTGAATTTTCACTGACCGAACCGAACTTTTTATTGAATTTTCTGACTTTTCACGGAATTTTTATTGAATTTTTCTAATTTCACGAAATTTTTACTGAATTTATTGAACTTACTGAACTTCTACTAGACTTCCAACCTGGTTTACTGGCTTTTTATTTTTTAATGAATTTTGAATCAACTACTGGGAACATTTTTAGTGGCCACTATAGAGGCTCGCCAAGGACTACTTGGAGAGGACAATAAAGTGGCCACTATTTTCCGTTTTAGTGGCCACTACAGAGTTTTCACTGATAATTCTAAAATAAACAGATTGGACCAGTTATGATGATCTTTTGACCCCTAAAGTGGCCACTACAACTTTTAGTTTTCTAGTAGTAGCACTAAGACCCTTACCGTGGTCACTAATTTTTAACCCCTTAAGTGGCTGCTAATTTGACTACTATAGTGGCAACTAAAACGTCAAAACCCTATAGTGGCCACTAAAAATTTCTCCCTATTTGATATTTTCAGGCTACTTACAATGAAAATTACCACGCAGAAGTGAATTCAGCGGTTTTGGCGACTTCCCAAAAAGTTCAGGAGGAAATTGCCAAGAAGGAAAAATTTTCCGGAAAAAAGTTTCGGTGATTTTTTGAGTTTTGTTTCTGAAATAAAATAAAATTTTGCAGAATCGCCTACTCCAACGCCAGTGATTTGTATAATTACTTGGCTATTTTCGGCCTAATGACCGATTTGAGGGTGAAAAAGAGACATTTTTTGAAGAAACAAAAAAAATTTCCAGGCTGGTGTGGCCAGAACTGCTTATGATGGCATTGTCAGCTGTTTTGTCGAAGGAATTCGCATTTTTCTGATCCCGAATAAGGAAATTTGGACGGGTTATAACGTTGCTTGGTCATAGTTTAATGATAATGTTTAGTTTTTTTTTTCTTGTTACTTGTTCTTTCAATGAATTTTTTATTGCATTTTAATGAGTGTTCTTCGAAATTTTTACATGAAATAGTATCCAATGGTAGTTAATGAAAGAACACATCTTTTACGTCAAAAAAACCAACTTCCCAACACACAAAAAGTACCGTATCTCAAAAAACTTCTACAGTAACCTATTATGGTATGTACTGAAAAATTTTTTAAAACTGGATTACCTATCGATTGATATACAACTTGCCCATAAAAAACTCACCAATTCTTAGATGTGCAGGTGGCCACCCACCTACCGTAACCCGGCTACAGTAAGAAAAAAAAACTGAAACTTTGCTGAAGTGTACTTTAGGACACCCTGATTCTAGAAATGAAAGAAAACTTCTCGCAATAGATCTCGTTTTCGAATTAGGAAACTTCAAAAGCCCAAAAGCGCGCTTTTTTGGCCTAATTTGCGTATTTTGCACACTTTGAAGCTCCATAACTCGGAAACAAGATCAATTGCGAGAAATATTCTTTCTGTTCTGGAATCAGAAGGTCCTAAAGTACACTTCAGCAAAGTTTCATCGAAAGTTCAACTGGGGGTAAAAGAAGTTCCCTGGTAAAAGGTATGCCGGAGGTCTCACGATGGACACATTATGTTACCTTCTCGATTCGCCTGATTCACAGCATTTTTCGCCGTTTTCTCCAAGTTTCAATACGATTTGGATTTATTTTTATTAAACGCAAAAAAAAAAACATAGAATGGAATGTTTGGGACCAGAATGAATTATATACAGACATGAGGAACCCGATTTTTCCGTTTTTGGGGAAGATTACTGCTGACAAATATTGTTGCCAGTGTCTTCAACTCCAATCAAGGAAGAAAGCTTGGAGGAAGAGAGTTGCAAGTCGGCTGCAATGTAGAGTCCGTGCTCAACAATCTTCAAGTCGGGGTGTTCGATTCCGATGGGAAGCGGCAGGTCTTTGGGCAGCTTGAAGGGAAGTCCCTTCTTCAATCCGTCGTTGGCCACCTGGAGGTTCATTTTAGATAGGTTTGATGGCTTTTTTAATATTCTATTAGGTTGTCAAGAAACGGATTTCGTATCTGAATGGTTGACTTCAAACAGTCATAACTCGTTTCAGAAGGCGTTTTTTTGACTGTTCAAAAATTCATGAAATATGGTCCGTTCCGATTTCGAAATTCAAGTAGAATGACGTCATTCGAAAACTCTCTGTGGATGGCTCGCTCTCTGATTGGTTTATCGCGCCGTTAGGGGGCGGAGCTTCATCGAGAACTTGACATTTGAAATCTGAACAGACTATATAGCTGATTCACGGCTCGCTTGAGCCATCGAAAAAAAGATCCTGACACGATAAGAAAAGAGAGAGTGCCTGGTTGGTGGAGAGCGCAGAGAGGCCACGCCTTTTTCCGTCCCAAGCTAGCCGTGAATCAGCTATACTTCGAAACCTTGACTATGATAATACGTATATAACAAAATCACAGTGTTCCCAAACAGGCGGCAGATGTGGTCATTGGGCGTGGCCGTATGCAATGGGGGCGCGGCTTATTGCAATAGTGGCGCGACATTGAGAGCCGATTTTTGTGCATTTACTGGATGAAAACATAGCGTTGAATAGCGTTTTTCAAGGCCTCCTTGAACTTTTAGAATAGATTAAATATATTCCAACGCACAATGAACCTATCGAAAATAAAATATGAACGGAATCGCAAAAATTTATTCAAATGTGCCTAAATTTCCGAAGCACATGAATTTTTTTTCATCAATGTCGTTTTGACATCGTGTTGAATTTAAGAGCATTTTTTACTTTTTATGCAACAGAAAAAATTCACTCAACTTTTTTCAAGAAAATCTTTTTCAAGAACAGACATTGAGCTTCAAAATGATATATAACGTCCCATTATCAAACAATATTTTTTGTCCTAAACTCCTTGTCAAAGTTGAAGCATCGAAAAACGAAATCAGTTTCTTGAGAACCAAATAAAATTGAAGAATTCTCGGGCAAAATCGGAGTGATCGATATATAATGGCTGCTAAAATGGAGAGGCTCAAAAACGGTCGCAAAAAGGTAGCAAAAGGGTCCCTTTATCGAGTCTTCCATTTTTTCTGGGATTTTGAAGGCTCAAGGAATGGTGGAGAAAGGGAGAGGCAGCAAAAATTGTGCGAAATAGCCGATGGAATGGCGCGAAAAAGCAGCAAAAAAGGAACATTTCTATGGATCCTTTTCCACCCTTCCCGACCTTGCCTATGTCTATACTTGAAACTTGACTTTTGCCCAAAAAATCGAAAATGTTTCTATCTTTCTACTCATTTGAAAAATCTCGCAATTCGATCATTATTTCTTCAGACAGCTTATGAAAAACTACTCAAACGTGACATTTAAAAATTCTGGATTCACTGGAAAATCTTCAAATAATGTACTTCCGGGCATTCAAAGCAGTTTTTATCTGATCAATCGCTTTTCAATCGTGAATTCGAAAATAAATAATGGCCCGAAAGTGCAGAAAAACTGTTCAAATCAGACCTAATTAAGTAAGCGATTTCTGGAGAAAGGATAAAGTGAAAAGCTGAAGAAAAAAAGGTAAAACTATTTTTGAGGGTTTTTTTGAAACTTTTCAACATGAAACAAGGTGTTCTCAAACAAAAATGACCTCGTATAGTCCGTTTAAATGACGAGACGTCAAAATAAAAAATACTTCCAAAGAAAAAGCCTCTACGCTCCTACTATCGGGTTGGTAAGGGGCTGATTGGGTTTTTTTAAAAGCCGAAGACTTGTTTTACCGGGGAAAAAAGTTTCTGATTCAAAATCAAAGTTTCTTCGAAGATATGATTTTTCGAATCTCAAGATAAAAATCTTTTGATTTTTTGCTCTCAAATCCGGTCTGACTCGAGCAAATGAGTTCTTCTTTCGGGAAAAAGTTACTGCGTAGCTATTTGAAATCTGGAAAAAGTTTCAAGTCGTTTGAGCCATTTTCAGAGAAGTTATGCTCGACAAACCACTTTGAAATACCTTTATGGCCAGTACTGTAAGTATCTGTAGACTCCGAACCCACCTTTTGCAACAATTCCTTGCCGAGATTGGCCAAATTGTCGAGAGCATCTTGGGGAAGTCCCAACGTCTGCCGACTGTCCTTCAGTTTGATCGTCTTGATCTCAGCTTTTCCAGTCAGTTTCTCGTTCTCCAACTTCACTACGAGTTCGACAGTTGCTGCGATTGAGAGGGTTCCGACCTGGAAAATATGAATTATTTTTGAGAATCATGATTCAATACAAGTTATAATGAAAAAAACTTTTAAAAATCTTCAAAAAAACGAGGCTTTGACAGAATTCTTAACGTAAAGGACTTTAAAAAGGGTTTTTTTTTCTGTTTCTATTTTTTAAAATCTCTACCGCCATTCTTTTTCGCAATCATTAAAATTCTGCAAATTTTCAAGTTGAGCTCAAATTTTGATAGTCACTTAAACACAACGCTGTATCCTTGAAACTTCCAATTTCAATTTGAAAATAAAAATTTTAGTTTCAAAAGTGAGTTATAGAAAATGATAATTTGAAAAAACCATGGTAAGGCTTAAAATTCGAAAATCCATAAAACAAGGCTTTTCAGAATTTCTCATCGTCTCAAAAGCTTCAGAAAAAATTCCAAAAGTGAAAAAATGAAAAAAAATTTTTTTTTGAATTTTCCCGAGGGATGCCTATAGGGGCAAAACTAGGGTCCTTTTAGCGACCACTTTACCAACCCCTATAGTGGCCACTAAAGCTTGTAAAAGTAGTCCCTACATGGTTTTATTTAGTGGCCCCTATAGGGGATATTCTAGTCGATAATTTTAATGAGCTCTATGCGAAAAACTAAATAAATAAACGTTTTTGAATAAAATTGAAATACCCCTATAGGGACCACTTAAGCTTTAGGGGCTAGGGCTCAGACCCTAAAACCCTATAGGGGCTGCTTTCCCCCTAACCCCTATAGGGAACACCCTACAATTCCTAAGTAAGGACTGTAAAAAATAGTTGAGAGACGACTTTTAGCCAAAAAAGTCAGATTTTTTAAAAATCGCCAAAAATTTTCAGCGGTATTATTCACCCGATTATCAGTGCCATCAATGTAGATATCGGCATCGGCGGCCAAATCAAGAGTCGCCGAGCCTCCCTGAGACGAGCTCAGAATGATGGACGGAGCCCGGGTCGTGTGGATCTCGATCGCGATTTTCTTGTCGGGATATTTCTCCCGGATCGCCGGCAGAATGTCGCCGAAGCAGATTCCGAGGTCAGCCAGGCCTAGAATTATGTATTTCTTCAAAACTGAAATTTTCAAGCTTCTGGGTCCTTTTGCGTGTCTGTGATCCTACATAGGCAAAGTCGGAAAGGGGTGGAAAAAGGCTCCTTTTTTGCTGCCTTTTTGCGCCATTTCATCGGCTTTTATGCACCTATTTTGCTGCCTCTCCCTTTTTCCACCATTTCCTGACCCTTTAAGATCCTAGAAAAAATGGAAGGCTTGATAAAGGCTGCCTTTTCTGAGCCTAGGGGCCATTATTCCCCATTCTGACTTTGCCCGAGTAAAAAGATAAGACTTTTCAATTTTTAGGCTTCCGGAAACCCAAATATGAGGAAAAGATCCATCATTTTAAGATTTGAACTTTTTGTGAGCTCTGACAGAAAGTTACTGATTCCACCTCAATCAAAAATTTCTATTTTGGAAAATTAACTTCATTCGGAATATTAAATCGAGTGAGTGGGAGGAAAATTGTCTAGGTTAGCTTAATTCAAAAAAAAGTATTTTTTGAAAAAGCCTAGAAAACTTGCGCCTGATAAAAAATGCGTTTAAAAACTAAAAAAAAGGACCTATCTAGATGCACAGCATTCCTAATGGGGCGTCAAAGTTTCTGAATTTACGAAAAAAAAGTAAGTGCGCGCTCCGGATAAAATGCACTGAGTATTCAACGTTAATAACTTGTTTGTGCGATCGCCTTTGGGTGCGTACTTGAGATTTAAATTTTCGCGCCAAATTTTTTTTGACTTTTCTCCACCCCGTCATGAGATGATTTCACCTCTCGACTTAGAAAAAAGACCAATTTCAAGCTGAAACTTCTCCCAATTTTCGAATATTCAGATCTTCACGATATTCACCAGAAGTATCATCCTGTCTTCTGGTTCTCGAGTCGCGCTTCTGTTTCTTCGAAATGGTGGCCACCATGGGTTTGCTCGCGTTGACAGCTCGCTGAGGTCGGATGAGCTCAACTTCCCGTTTCAGCTTCAGCTTCGACGTCGACGACATCGAGAACCGTCGATGGCGTCTGTTTTCTTTGTCGTCGAGCTGAAAGGGACTTTCTTCATAAAATGGTTTTTTGCAAGTCATTAGCACGATATTTTTCCGAAATTCGTGCAGAAAATGTTCTATACTAGTTATTCAAAACTAGTTTATTTTTAATGATACTGGATATTAATCGACGAAAAAACCAAAATCAAAAGAAATTTGCGAAAAAAAAGTCGGTGTCCTTTCATAGATGAAAATTATAATTTAAAAAAATCTAAAAAAACTGTAAATTTTAAAAAAATAAAAAGGCCCAAGCTTTTACCGTCCTGTTAAAGTGCACATAAACCATCATTGTCAAAAAAAAAAAAATCAAAATCAACTAAAATTGCAAAAATGTAAGGCTTAAAGTATATTGTCCCGTTAAAATCACAATTTTTCTGAAAATAAAAGCAAAATCTTTGAAAATTGCAAAAATATACGACCTAAACCGCTGTTCTATCACATTAAACTGAATAGAAATTCTCGTTTTCAAAAAAAAAATTCTCAAAATTCGCGAAAAATTGCAAAATGTAAGACCTAAACCAGTGTATTTTTCAAATAAGATTCATCATTTTCATGAAAAATGATTGAAAATCTTCTGAAATTTGCAGAAATGCACAACCTAAAAAAAGTTGTTTCATCATGTTAAATTGACAAAAAAATCAACATCTTCATTCTCAAAATTCACGAAAAAAATTGTAAAAAAATGTAAGACCTAAACCAGTGTATTTTCAAATAAGAATCAACATTTTCATGAAAATGAATGAAAATCTTCTGAAATTTGCGAAAATATACAACCTGAATAGCTGCTTTATCATGTGAGAGTGGATAGAAATCATCATCTTCAAAAAAAAAAAACTCAAAATTCACGAAAAACTGCAAAAATGTAAGGCCTGAAGTGTATTATCATGTCAAAATCATAATTTTTCAAAAAAAATTAAAATCTCCTGAAACTTGCAAGAAACTGCATTCTAGACCGCTGTTTTATCATGTTGGACTGACTAAAAAAATCATAATTTTTCAATAATATTTTCCCAAATTAACTCTAAAATTTTTCATAACTCTGTCTAAAAAGGGCTATAGGAACTCAATATTTTAGAATTTCCAAAAAAATATACTTACCTCAACTTCCGTCGGCTCCAGCTCATCGTCATCATCCGAGCAGGTCGTTTTGAGCAATTCTCCGATTTTCGGGGTATCGGACCCGATTTTGAAGGTCAGGAACTTCTTGCTGTATAATATTGATTAAAATTTCACTTTTTTTCAGTTTAGAAGGTACTTGTGAAGTTGATAAAAGAGAGAATTGACGGTGTAATCGCTGACGAGCAACTCGACCATATGGTTATCGGAAGGGCTCGGGAATTGAAGCGGGAACGCGCCGAATGGGGTATCTTAACAGTTTTGGGTCAATTTCTAGTGGTATTCCGGGTTTTCAGACCAGCTTGTCCTTTGGTTTTGAAGCCTCCGTCCAGTTCGATAACGAAATCGTTGTTGGAAGCGTAGGCGTTCTTGACTTCCACGCCAAGGGACAGATCTTTCAGTTTATCCTGAAAATTTAAAAATTTAATTTTTTTTTTTGGCTTCTTACAACGGAGCTCATTTCACTTTGCGGTTGGGAATTCCCTGAAAATTGGCCAGAACACTTATTGATGTACCAGATGAAGATTCTGAAAGTCTCAACCTTCAAAATTTCTTAGTTTTCGAGAAACAAGGGCTCAAAGCCTCAAAATCGGCTATTTTTATGAATTTTGAGGGTTTTCTTTGACTTTGAGACGTCTTTTCCGAGAAAAGAGGAAGTTGTGCAGGTTGAGACTTTCTGAATTTTCTTCTGGTACATCGAGGAGCGTTCTGGCCAATTTTCAGGAAATTCCCAACCGCCAATTTAAATGACCTTCCTTGTTAAAGCTTGATATTTGATGGTTGAAGAAATTCAAAGCGGAAGAAAAAAACTTTGTTCAAAATGGTATCGACTAAATTGACGCTAAATTGAAATTCTGGAAGCGTTTTGAAAAATTGGGTCCTGCAATTTTGAAATTATTCGGGCATTTTTTTTTTTGAAACGAAAATTTCAAATCCGCGCCTAAAAGTCGCCATTTCGTTGTGGGACCCAAAAACTTTTTCAAAGCCGAAATTAGTTTCATGAAAATGGAAAAAAGCGATTTTTAACGTTTTCATACCCCCAGTGGAGCCAAATAACGATTCCTCATCAACTTTCCCAAAAAATAAGCCTAAAAAAATCGATTCGGCACAAGATTTCCATGTACTTTTGGGGGGGTTTATCAAAGTGGTTTATTTTTTTCTTCCCTGAATGTGGCTCATTTTTTTTCAGCTTTTCGAAAAAGTCTATTTTTTTATTGTTAGAACTTTTTTTGAAATTTTGAAGCCACATGATGAATTCCTACCGTCTCCAGCTTGATTCCGAACTGTTCCAGAATGGAAGCCGGATTTTTCTCCTTGCATTTGTCGCATTCCTCCTTTTGTCTGGCAACTCGGACATGCTGAAAATCAACCTTAACCCGAATTTTTGCCTAAAACTTACACTCGATGAGCTTTTCATGGGAGATCTTTTCAGTTGCGGGATTCCGTGGGCCGATTTCGGGCTAAAAATTCGAGGTACAAATAATGGATTCGAAATGAAAATATGATCACGTTAGTGGTACAAAAATTCGAAAAATCAACATTTTAGGGGCGACTTTTTCCAACTTGTTCAAGTAGAGTTTCTGAGCGACGGCGGCTCGTTTGGCGCGGCTCGAGTGGGCGAAAATCTGAAATTACAGTTTCAGAAATTTTTCAAGTACCATATGAACTTAACATTATAATAACAACTCCACAATTCAAGTGATATAGGTTCAAAATGTTAAAAAGACTGAAAATTTCGATCTTTCTCAAAAAATTTTGACGTAAAGTATGCTTTTTTTATATCTAATGAATTTTTAGTCTGAATAAAAAATTTAAAATATCAATTTTTTCAACAAAAAAGACTTTTTGTACTTTTTCTGCACCTTCCAGTGGTTTCTACCAGCTTGAAAAATTTAGGAAAACAAAGATGTTTTTACCTTAAAAATCTTCAGAAAAAAAGACTATTCTCATATTTATAAGGGTTATCAAGAACTATGAAACTTTTTTTAAAAATAAATTCTAAGCAATTATTATAAAATTAAGCTTATCAGAGCTGAAAATTCCTTGATTTTTTTCGAACGAAATTTAATCAAATAAATATTTTTTAACATCGAAATTGCAAAAAAATTCATAATTTTCTTTTTTTTTCAAAAATAAATTTTATGTTGAGAAAGTCGTACTACGCGCTGTGGAGAAGCTGGAACTTGATGTTGGATGGCCCGATAGTCGCGGATTTTCGGGAGAGGAGCAGCATTTCGGGGCTGAAAAATTCGTGTCAAAATGTACTTATTTGAAGGCAAAGTCGGAAGGACCTTTTATGAATCAAAAAGCTTTCCATTAATTGCTCTTATAGCTGACTAATGGTTATCTTGGGGCGCTAAGGGGGCGTGGCCTGTCTGCGCTCTCCACGAGCCAGGCACTACCTCGTGCATTGTCGTGTCAGGACCCTTTTTTCGATGGCTCAAGCGGGTGGCAACGGTTTCCTTTTCACTGCCTTTTTCCGTCCTCTACCCTTTTTGGACCCTTTTGAGAAACAAAAAGGTTTTCAAATTGAGAATAATCTTTACCAGTGACTGTGTATGCACCAAAATGTGCTACAGTAATAAACCCAAATGGCTTTTTAACACACCAAGAAATAAAGGCCCAATAAAGGCCTCAAAACGGAACCCTTTACAACAGCCATTTTGCCCCCGTTTTCCGCCATTCCAGTGCAAGAAACCCACCAAATTCTGATTAAAGCCGCTGGCTCTAACGACAGATTTCTGTTGAGTTACGGGAGATCTCGCGGCGATAAATTTCTGTTGCTCGCTGATCTTTTCGCAGACTTTGGAGCACTGAAAAAATTATATTTTCTTTGGATTATTTTTTCAAAACCTCATTTTTGCCGCCATCCATGCCCAATCCAAGGGCTCCGCCGAAAAGTTCGAGCATTTTGCTGACCTCGACGTCGCGCGGAAGCTCACTGAGCTTCGAATTGACCTAAAATTGGATTTTTATGAAAAAAAAACATCGAATTTTCTTTGGGAATTGTTTGAAAGTTGCTGGAATTTCTAGTAAATAAACTCTGAATTCACCTTATCATCAATAAGCCTTGGAATAGCGCCGCAAAGTTGCTTCGGCGCCATTTTCTTCACCTTTCTGATAATTGGGTCCTGAATTTTTTATATTATATTAATTCCAAGCTCTGCTTGTAAACTCTAAAGTTTCCATTAACGATTTGGCTGATAAATCCGCCATTCTCAACGTAGACATCGGCGTAACCAATGCGGACGTGGCAGTTGACCACTCGCAGGGCTGGACCGCCATTTGCGCTCCTTTCGATGCCCAATTCGACTTTGATCGAGGACTAAGGAACAGAAATCATTCAAAAAAGTGACATTGGTTTAAAAAAAAAATGAATGAAAGGGGAAAACAAGTTCCAAGAATAATTATGCAAGTTATGCTGTGATCAAAGAAATTTCGGCAATCTCGAAATTAGCGGGTTATTCGTGTGAGAATCTTTCGCGAAAAATGCAAAATTAGAACTCCAGATGCCGTTAAATATTGATTTCTACAAAGATATATCGCGATATGGCGACTTTCATGCGCGAATTTTAAATCTTCCCAAAGAATTTTAAAATTTAGAGTTTTATCGTGAACTTCGCCATCTCCTTGTAGGACCCAACTTTCCATAGCTCTTGAAAATCCAATTTTACGTATTTCGCGAAATATTTCGAACGAACAACGAGTCAATTATAAAGATTGCCGAAATTAGTTTTAACACGGGATTAAAAAACAACACGAGATAAACGCCAAATTACATAGGATGACGCAAACCGCGTCTGCGCTAATACGATTTTTCACGGGAAATAATTATTTTTTTAATTATTTTTTTCTGTACTGCAGGCTATTTTATCATTATACATTGTCAGGAAAAAACTCACCTGGAACGCGTTAAGTTGAACGACACCGTAAAGCCCAATGGGAGCGAGGATGGTGACTTGGCCGCCGAGATTTCCAGTAACTCTTTAGTTTTTTTCATAAAAATCTTGTTTTTGAATTCAGATTTCAAACCCGAGATCCACGTTTTTAACTTCGAGAACCAAACGGTTCGGTGGCGCCGGATGGACGGAGATTTTCTGGGGACAACGGTAGCGGGAAACGTAGAGGTTATAAATTTGCAAGCATCCGGAGACCTTAAAAATGTGCTCCAATCTTTTTTGAAATTATCAAAAAAAGGTCAAATATATTGAATCAATAAGGATTTTGGTCCTTTTCTAATTAGCGAAATATTATTTTCCACTTTATTGGAATCTGAAAATGTTTTTAGAAAAAAATTCGGACTTCCGTAACGAAAACCGGACGCGCCCCGGATGTTTCTGAGCAATTCTAGGGATCACTTAAGGGCACTGAGGCTACTCAAGTGGTCCGAGAAGGCTTTAAAGTGGGAATGGAGGTTCTAATTTACTAATAATGGTTGTATATCTCCAAAAAAAGAAAGAAAAGGTCCTAAAATGTCAATTTTAGTCGGTTTTTCACAAAACTTACTGCTGGAACACATTCAGAAATGGTAGGAATGGGCGTGTTCTGAATCTGTTGGTTCAAAACCGAGCCGAGAAGATGGCTGGCTTCATCGAACCCCTTGCGATTGATTCGCGCCTTGATTCCCGGATTTTCGCGGGATCCTCCTTGGAGCGCCGGGTTGAAGGATTGTCTAAATACTGATTTTCAGGATTTCAATGAGAGATAAGGCAGGGAAAAGCTTATTCTTAAAAAAAATATTGGAAAAAAAAATGAGAAAAACATCCATTTTTAATGAGAGCAACGATTTTTCCAATGGTTCGATTTCGGAAAAAGGGTTAGTGGAACTTTGAAAAAAATTTGAATTTGTATGACTTATGTCCCTAAATTTGTCTAAATACCAATTTTTCTTGGTTTTGGTGGCAAAAAAGGCAGAGAAAAAGCTTATTATGATGATGATAAATTTGAAAAAAAGTTGAAAAAAATATCAACTTTTAATGAGAGCAACGATTTTTTTCCAATGGTTCGATTTCGGAAAAAGCTAACGAAGCTTTGAAAAAAACGGAATTTAAATGTTTCATGACCCTCATTTTTTTCTAAATACTTTATTTTATGGATTTAGTGACCAAGACAAGCGGAAAAAACTCATTGATGAAGCCTGAAAAAAATTGAAAAAAAGTTGATGATTAAAAAAATGATTAGCGAAGCTTCAAAAATATTAGAATTTGTTCGTCTTTAGGCTTTTTGAAGATATTTAACATTGTCAAAAATGAATGAACGAGGACGTGTTTGAGAGATTAAACAATTTATAAAAAAACTTCCAATTATCATTCTCATGAAGCGTACAGGTCCCTGTTTTCACGCTTTCAAGCAATTTCTTTTTCATTTTTAGCTTATAATGGAATCTTTTCTCACTCATTCGAATTTCCCGAAGTTGGCGAAGTTCCAATTTCAACGCCGGTCTTCTGAGCGTAGGCGACAGCGCAAACGGCTATCTGAAGTTAAATTTTAGACATTTTTGAATTTTACATGAGTTTCCTGTTTTCTGAAGAGATTTATTACAAGAAAATTTGATTTTTTTTAGTGCTTCAGGAGTTCTGTATTAAAAAAATGTAGTTCAAAGTTTGGAAAAAGACTCGAAAAAAATTATTATTCATCGATTTATTTTTGAGAGGTCGTTAAAACCGAAGTCAAAAAAAGGTTTTTTTCAGTTTTGTTTTTGTAAAATCGCAACTAGATCAGGGTAATTAGAAGCTAACAAAACTGATACGAAATATTTCTGGTAGTTTTTGCAGGATGGGGGGTTTTTTTTTCAAAATATAAAAATTACCAAAATTGTAGCCCACATTGACGGTTGAATTTGGATCTTTCCCCAGATGTGTTCTGAAAAAATTTTTTTAAGTAAGGCGTTATTTTTTTATTTTGATCAGTATCTGTATAGAAGCCGGAGAAGAGCTCAAAAATAACTAAAAAAATTGGATTTTTAACCCCTAAAAACACAAAAAAAGCTTTAATTTTAAAATTATGCTGAGAAAAAAACTGAAGAGAAGCTTCCAAAATGTGAAGAAACAAAGAAAAATTACAGATAAGCCCCTGAAAAAACAAATAAAAAGAAGCAAGAATAGTGAGAAACAAGCTTAAAAATAAAAAAGATGCTGAAAAAAAACCGAGGAGAAGCTCCGAAATCCAGAAAAAGTAGAAAAGATACACAAATTACACAATACACAATAACCTAAACCAACAAAAAAGAAGCTTCCCACACCTAGAAAAGTGCAAAAGATGCTTGAACTCGGTACAAAGGGGCGTATAAAGTGAAAGGAAAAAGGAACCGAAGCGGAAAAGATGAGGAAACACGTTCGGGAAGGCGGTTCAATGGCAAAACCTATAGAAAAAGCCTTGTATACCGAGTTGTTGAACTATAGAAAAAAGGATGAATTTTCCTTGGCAAGTTTGAATGATAAGTGGTTGTAGAGAAATAGCTTGGGAAGAAGATATATGGATTCAAAGGATTTCTGGACTTCAATGATTTTAGGATTTTGAATATTTAAAGCAACTGTGGACAGTTTTCCTTGAAAAATAAATTTTGAAATTTGTAGGGGCTTTTTAAAGTGACTTTTTAAAGAATGGGGTCAATAAGTATGGTTGGAAAAGCAGTATTCTAAAAAAATATATTGAGAAAAAGAGAGACGTGTCGAGTAGATGTAATAGTTGTATTGGGTAATTAAGAAGGTGTAGGAAAATTTGCAAAGAACTGGTTTTTTATTATTATATGAGATTGGGCGTCGAGATGAGAGAGATCTGAAGACTAGACTTCAGGAATATCAATAAAGCTTACCTTTTTTTTAAAGTTTGAAGTTATAAAGGGGACCCATTCTGAGAATTATGCGAAAGAGTACTCTGAAGGTGTAGGTAAATATCTTGAGAGCTTTTGGAAACAAAAAGGCTTGAAGTTTTCAAAGTAATAACAGTTTTATTGTCAACTTCGAGAACTTATTCCTCAGAAGGTGGGATTTTTTCAAAGGTCAGGCTTTTGGAATATTCATCTAATTTATCGAGAAGCATTTGAGATAACTATTAGAACACTTTTTGAATAAAAAAATATTTTTTTAGTTGAAAAAAATTTACTGAGTTTCTACCTAAATTCGGACTAGCTATGATATGAATCGTTTGAAGTAAGGAAAATGAATTAGTGATTTTTGATTGCCAAAAAAAAGATCAAGATCGTTCTCACTTTCAAAATGACAGAAAGCGATCTTTGAGGGCGGGTAAATCTCCATGGGAAAACCCGAAAACACCTATTACGGTGTGAGATGTTTTCGATTGTTACACCAGCAATGGTAAATGAGTTCAACGCAACGGTTGGGTGACTAAGAAAACAAGTGTTCGTGGTTTAAAAAAAGAAAGTTACATGACTGTGCGTTTTGGTGAGAAAGGTGTATGGTTAATGGCGGTATGTAGATTTTTTGGCTTTTAAATGGGATTTTGTAACGAGTAACTGGACACAAAGTATATTTGCCTTGTTTTTAACATGATACGCTTGAGATGGAGTAATTATCGAACGGAAAAAAAAACTAGAGGCATTACAGAAAGATAAAAAAAAAAATGGATTTTATGAATATTTTACTTTAAATTTCTCGGGCAAGGTCGGAATGGTGGAAAATGGCCTCTAAAAGGGAATGGCTCAAAAAAGCCGCAGAAAGGCAGCAAAAAGGCAACAAAAAGGGTGCATATGGGTTGAGCAAATGGCGCCAAAAGGCACCAAAAAGAGAGCCTTCATCACCCTAAAAGGAAAATTTCTATAGAACCTTTATGGACCCTCGGAGGGTCCTTCCGACTTTGCCCATGTTGGAAAATAAAAGTATACCATTTTTTTTTCACAACTAATTTTTTGAAAATTTTTGGCCTGAACATTCAAATTTTCCTCATTTTTTGGCCAATAACTTAATACTCGTTTCTGTCTTCTGACAGCTATTTTTGATTTTTCACTTTTTTTTTTAAAATCAGTTTTTCATTCGAGATACACACGGTGTACTGTTTTTGAAGTTAGATTGAGAATTGGATTGATAAAAAAAAATCAAAGGTTAGACGGCTCAACGAAGAGCTACAAACAAGATCGTCATTTTAACATTTTTTTAATTTTTCAATTTTTATAATGAGGGCTGGTCGAGTAGAAGTCTTGTGAAAAAGGGTAACCTAAAAAAAAACCGAGGACAAATCGGTAAAAGTGAGAAAAAAAAGGAAAGTGAACTTGGGATGGAACAACTTTTATAAGGAGGGGAAACGGCAGGCGCGAAAAGCCGGTATATGGCAGGTTATAGCCTCGGGCCAAACCGACGCCATTTTTCTCCCATTTTCTCTGATCGAAGGCCATGCATAAACACGCCTTACAGTAACGACGAACTGGATATTTATGCCTTTTTCGGTGGAGTTGATATGAATTGTAGGTGGGGTTTCATTGAGATTGAGATGGTTACAACGCAGAAATTGGCGCTGAGAATCAGAAAACTGTGGTTTGGTGATCAAGAAGTTGCATAGCAAGCATTTATCAAATTCCTCTGATTCAGTACAGCCACGGTCGCAGTGGGAATGGCTTTAAATGTCTTGCGACCGACCTGAAACGACTTTCGCATCGAAGAGAAAGCATACAAGGCAAAAACCTTTGATGAAACTTTGCTGTATTCACTTGAGACCCTCCTGATTCCACGCTGAGAATTAGAAAACTCTATTTTCGTGAACAAACAAAACTAGAGTTCAAAGGATTCTGTGGTTTCGTAAAGCCACGATCACAGGTGGAATGGCTTCAAATGTCTTGCGACCGACCTGAAACGACTTTCGCGCCCTAACACGGATAAAGGACAAGAACTGTGTTTTGGTGATCAAGAAGCCTCTTAACAAGAATTCAATAATTTTGTAAAGCCACCGTCGCCGGGGAATTACTCTAAATGTCTTGCGACCGACCTGAAACGACTTTCGCGTCGTGACATGGATTAAGGACAAGAACTGTGTTTTGATGATCCAGAAGCCTCTGAACGAGAATTTGATAATTCTGTGAAGCCACCGTCGCAGGGGAAATGACTCTAAATGTCTTGCGACCGACCTGAAACGACTTTCGCGTCGTGACATGGATAAAAGAAAAGAACTGTTTATTGATGATCCTGAAGCCTCTTAACAAGAATTCAATAATTTTGTAAAGCCACGATCGCAGGTGGAATGGCTCTAAATGTCTTGCGACCGACCTGAAACGACTTTCGCGTCGTGACATGGATAAAGGACGAGGAAAATTTTTTTTGATGAAACTTTGCTGGTGTCCCTTTGGGACCTCCTAGGAATCTAACAGAGTTGTGAAGCTTCAAGTGCGGAATGTCTTAATCAGGGGTCCGACCTAAAACGACTTCCGCACGCTGACATCAGGAAGATTTGTAATTTTTTTCGGGGCCCTATTCAAGGTCCCTGATGGCGTGTGAAACGACTCATAAAATTTTTGAGCTTTCTGGCGATTTTTTCCATGCTCAAGAGCGCAAGTCGCTTCGGGTCTGGAGCCATTTCAAAGAGACCGCAGCGCAGTGAGCCATTCCAAATGCGACCATGAAACTCAAGTTTACTCACAATTTTCCGGAATAAAAATAAAAATGGAGCTATATTTTTTGAGCGATTCCAATTTTACAGGTAGGGAAGGCTTTCGGCGATCTTGGCAGCATGGCTCAGTGGTCGACACCTCAGGGTAAGAAACCAAGGACCAAAGTTCGACCCCTGCTGGGGTAAAGTTTTTTGCCGTTTTTCCCGAAAAATCAACGGTGTGCTGAAGCGATGAGAATTGACGATTTTCAAAAAAAGAAAGTTTTTTAAATTCTGGAAATATTTTGGTGCATCCCCTAGGAACCCCTGAGTGAACTATACTTTTCTTCGTCTCTCTCTAATTTGAAAAAAAAAATTTCGCCTAAGAAACCAATAGATTTCGCATTTCTTAATCTCCCAATCCGTTATAAATCATGTCATTTGGGAGGCAAATCGCGTTTTTAATGGAAAATACCAACCAAAAGAACAACGATTTATCTAATTCGAATTGAAATTGAATTTTTGGAAGGCCTTTTTTCGAATTTTTATATATCTCATTTATCTTTGGAAATGAAATTAAAGGAGCAAAATTATATCCTGAAAATGCCAAGCTACAAATTTTTCCTTCAGAGAAAAAATTAATAGAAAATGTCAGGATAAGATTGTAGTTTCGAAAAAAGATTTGCAAGGCTTTTTCCGTTAATTTTTCTACTTGAAGTGAACTGGTCGCATTTGGAATGGCTCAGGACGCGTCGCGGTCGCGCTGCGGCTTTAGTTAGAGCTTCAAATTAGTTCAAATAAAAAAACTCAAATTCAGACTTTTTTTAAATTTTGAAGTGGTTTTATGTACAATGAAGTCTATATGGATCTCTAAACATGCTTGAAAATTTTCAATTAGGCTAGGATTTTCTTGAATAGCCATTCCAAATGCGACCAGGAAGTTCTAGTTTTTTTAGCGAGGGAAGTATAGTTTCTCATGAGTAGCTCAAAAAAAAAAGTTGTTAAAATTTTAAAATTTGCTTTGAGAAAGTTTTTGAATGATCGAAAAGGAAGGTTTTTTTGGATAAAGTAGGCTTGGATTTTTTGAGAAATGGTTTTTTGTCAATTTTTAGTCAATTTTGAAGCTTTATCCTTTTTTTGCTTTTTAAGACTATGCGAAAAATTCCTCTTGGGTTCCAAAGGGAATTTTTGAATTTCCGGCTAATTCCGAGCTTTCCCGACTTTCGGAATATATTTTTGGCATTTTTTTCAAGCTTGCAGGTTTTTGACCTGATTTTTAGGGTTTAATCTGCT